GAGTCACTAGCCGAGGACGAAGCAGCCGCTGAGGACGAGGCTACTACGGAGGAAGACACCGCCGCAGAAGATGAAACAGCCGAATCAGACGCCGAAGACGAGGCTGCCGCAGACGAAGACGCTGCCGCAGACGACGAGGCTACAGCTGAAGACGACGCTATTAAACCAAAAGTCAGCTATTTAATTTACCAAACAAGAAAACAACCACGCACCAGACGCAGAGTCGCTCGCAGACGCCGACGAGGAAGCCGCAGCCGACGACGATGCAGCAGCCGATGATGAAACAACAGCCGACGAGGACGCGCTATCTGATGCGGATGATGAAGCAGCAGCGGAAGACGATGCTACGGCTGATGAGGAAACGGCAGCAGACGACGATGCGCTATCTGATGCGGATGATGAAGCGGCAGCGGAAGACGACGCAGCGGCTGATGAGGAAACGGCAGCAGACGACGACGCGCTCGCCGAGTCAGATGCTGAGGCAGATGACGAAGCAGCAGCTGATGAAGACGCAGCGGAAGATGATGCAGCAGCGGAAGATGAAGATGCAGCAGCAGACGACGACGCGCTAGCGCTATCCGATGCTGAAGACGACACAGCAGCTGACGACGAAACTGCGGCAGAAGACGAGGCCGCGAGTGAGGAAGAAGCGGCAGCCGAGGACGATGCACTATCTGATGCTGATGACGAAGAAACAATCGACGAGGAAGCAGCAGCGGAAGACGACGCAACAGCCGAGGACGACGCCGAGTCAGACGCCGACGAAGAGGCTGCAGCCGAAGACGAGGATGCGGCAATGGACGAGGAAACCGCAGCAGACAACGACGCGGAGTCAGAAGCGGACGAGGACGCAGCAGCAGACGACGACGCAGCAGCGGACGAAGAAGCCGCAGCCGACGACGACACTGACGCGCTATCCGAAGCCGACGCTGATGATCCATCAATTAGTCATCCATCAAACGAACTGAACAAGCACACGCACCAGATGCAGACGATGACGCCGCAGCGGACGAAGACGCAGCGGCCGACGACGAGGCACTATCGGAAGCGGAAGCTGAGGCCGAAGAAGCCGACGACGCTAAACAACCAATCAGTCACGTGGCACAAGTTGTAAACAAAAAACACCAACCAGATGCAGAGTCGCTGCTCGCTGATGCAGACGAAGACGCGGCGGCTGATGACGACGCAGCGGCCGATGACGACGCAGCGGCCGATGACGAAGCAGCTTCGGAAGACGACACTGCAGCAGACGATGAAGAGGCTGCCGCAGATGACGAAGCCGCAGCGGAGGACGACGCAACCGCAGACGACGAAGCCGCCTCAGAAGATGAGGCTGCAGCCGAAGACGACGCAGCAGCCGAGGACGACGCGCTGTCCGAGGCAGACGACGAAACCGCAGCCGACGACGAAGCAGCAGCCGACGATGACGCAGCAGCCGATGACGAAGCACTATCGGACGCCGAGGCCGAGGCCGACGAGGCCGACGAGGCCGACGCTAAAACACTAATCAGTCACGTGGCACGCAAAAGTCGGACACGAAGCACGAACCAGACGCGGACGACGCGGAGTCGCTGGCTGACGCCGACGAGGAGGCAGCGGACGACGAAGCCGCGGCTGAAGAGGAAGCGGCTTCAGAGGATGAGGCAGCGGCTGAGGACGAAGCAGCGGCTGAGGACGAAGCGCTATCTGAGGCAGACACTGAAGACGAAGCAGCGGCTGACGAAGACGCGGCCTCAGAGGATGAGGCAGCAGCACTCGACGAAGCAGCAGCAGACGAGGAAGCCGCCTCAGAAGACGACGCGGCAACCGACGACGACGAGGCAGCAGCAGCAGACGACGACGCGCTATCCGAGGCCGAGGCCGACGAAGCTGGGAAAAACCGACAAGTCAATAATCAACTAACAATTATATGGAAAAATACGCACCAGACGCAGACGACGAAGCAGCAGCAGAAGACGACGCGGCAGCCGATGACGAAGCAGCCTCAGAGGACGATGCGGCGGCGGACGATGAAAGTGCAGCGCTGGACGAAGCAGCTTCAGACGAAGAGGCAGCAACAGAAGAAGAAGCAGCAGCGCTCGACGAGGCCGCTTCAGATGATGAAACGGCAGCAGAAGAAGACGCCGCTTCAGAAGACGACACCGCCGCGGACGACGACAACGAGGGCAGGAAGCCCGACGGGGACGCCGACGCGCTGTCCGAGGCCAAAGCCGAGGCCGATGATGCGGACAATGATGCTGACAAAGACGCCGACGCAGAATCGCTCGCGGACGAGGCCGACGACGCGCTCGCAGAAGACGCAGAATCACTCGCCGAAGAAGCCGACGACGCGCTCGCCGAAGAAGCCGACGACGCGCTCGCAGAAGGCGCCGCCAGCGAGCTGCTTGCTGCAGAAGCAGACTCGCTGGACGAAACCGCCGCAGCGGACGACGACGACGACGACGCGGAGAAGGAGGCAGAGGACGCGAAGCTTTCGGACGCGGAGAGCGAGGCGGAGGATGATGCTGAAGCTGACGCGCTTGCAGACGCGCTTGCAGATGCGCTAGCTGATGCTGATGCGGATGCACTTTCCGAAGCAGAGGCAGAGACCGAAGACGCAGAGGACGCCGATGATGCGGAACTCGCAGAAGCCGAAGCGGACTCGCTCGCACTAGCACTAGCTGATGCACTAGCACTAGCACTCGCCGAAACCGAATCACTCGCGCTAACACTCGCGCTGGAACTCGAACTCGCACTCGCACTCGCACTGCCACTCGCCGACGACGCCGACGGGGCGGAAGCAGACGCAGACGCGGAAGCCGACGCGGAAAGCGACTCACTCGCAGACGCTGAGACCGATCCGCTGATCGACGCCGAGACTGATCCGCTCGCGGAAGATGCAGACGCGGACGCGGATGCAGACGCGGATGCGCTCGCCGAGGACGCCGAGAGCGAGGACGACGCCGAGGCGCTCGCAGAGGCCGAGGCCGAGACGCTCGAGACCGACGCCGACGCCGACGCCGACGGCGAGGGGGAGGCGCTCGAGGACGGGAGCGACGGCGACGGCGAGGCGCTGGCGCTGGCGCTGGAGGACGGCGCAGAGCTGGAGGCCGGGGCGGAGGACGAGGAGAGCGAGGCCGGGACAGACGAGGAAGACGATGCCGGGGGCGACGCGCTCGAAGACTCGGCGGTAGAACTAGAAGTGGGCGGACGCGGGGTGGTAGTCACGGGCCGGAACGGGATGGGCGTTTGCTGGTAGTCGACCGATTCGTCCGCTGTCAAACAGTGTCAATAAACAGATGAGAAAGAGAGGGAAAAGAACACACGGCATCCTCCGTTGGGCGACTGCGAGCAGGCCGAGGGCGCATTGCAGTCCTGCGGGACAGAGGTGCAGCCCTGCGTCGACCCGGCGGCGGCGAACGGCGTTGATCCGGAGCAGCGGTACACGAAAGCGTTGTTGTAGAAAGACGGCGTCGTCCAGCCACAGCACGCCAGACACGCGCCTCGCATCCCGGTCTTGCCCGCGAATTTCCCGATAGTAGCGCTGATGCATGACGTTTGACCAGACCGAGGCTGATAACTCCCAATATAACACGGCGTCTGGGAGGTGGCGCCGTTAGTAGGGACATAACTCCCGTTCGACGCGGGGAAGCACTGCGTCTGGCCGGGCGCGGGCTGGAAGAAGCCGCGCGTGCACTGCGTCTTCGGGCTCGTCCCGCCGGGGCACGCGTTCCCCGGCTCGCACCGCACGCACGTGCCCGCCGCGTTCCGGTACCGTCCCTGCGCACAGATCAGTTGTCGAGAGAAGAGGTCGCCGAACCTGTCGGGGGTTAGGTAAGCGAGCAAGGAAGACGGCCACTCACCAGGAGCGGGACGGCGCCGCGGAGACGTCGGGGACGCTGCTCGCCAGCACGAGCAGAGCGAGCCCCGCCGCTTTTACGTTGAGCGCTAACATTGCGCGCTTTTCAATGGGGTCGTTAAGAATGAGGTCGTCAAGTTTCGTCAATGGGTCGTTCAGGAAGGGACGCTGGGCCTTGGCAGGTGCAGCGCCCCAACGCCCCCCGCTTCTTATACGAGTGGCACCTCTCCATTCCGCGGGGCGGGTCTGGCGGCGGATCCCGTCTCAGACCCACAGAGGAGCGCTTAGCTAAGTGCATTCGCCCAAGCGCCCAGGGCAAAGGTTTAAGACAGCGGGTGTCGGCGAGACCGCCAAGTTTTTCCGTTACGGTAGCAGCAGCATGAGCAAGATGGCGCGCAGTGGTGTTGGCTGCCAAGCTGTGAGAGCTGATCAACGCGGAAGATCAACACGTGACCATCAACACGGCCACAGGGCCCATGGCCAGTACCACGCTAGGCATCGACGCGTGCTCCACGCCCTAAACGACCAAGACACGACTCCAAATTATTCACCGGGTGTCATCGAGCGCCGCTGCCACTGCGGTGCGCGGGGCGGGGCGGTGCAGCACACCAGCGCCGCGGACACGGAAGATTCACACGTGACCACGCATGCCCCGAGGGCCGACGCCGGGCGGCCCGCGCCGGGACCAGTGCTCATGCGATCCAGTCCGACGCGTGTAAATGGCGCGGAAGTGCACCTGGGGATGCACCGGCTGGGGACTCGGATCCCAGTTTCCAGTTACTTATCGTCCGGCATTATAGACGGGGAGTAAAAGTGCCGTGAGCCGAATGGTGCAGACCCGCACGGTGAGGCCATCCCCTTCGGAGCGCCGCACAGGGATCGGAGGCGATGAGGGCCAGGGCTTCATTGCACCGCTGTATGCGGGGTTTGAAAGAACAGCAGTAGTAGTGAACGACATGGAAGTCGGCTGAAGTCGGGGGTGATTGGTCGCGTGACACCTCATATCTTCACTTCTTGCCTCCATCCTCATCCGCCTCACCCGCAGCATCGACATATCCACCAGTTTCCTTCCTCGGAACAATCTCCCTAAGCACTCCATCTAGCTCTTCGTCATGCAAGACTATCGTGATCACCAAGCGACATTCGAGAAAATTCTAGCAACATGGCCGCAGAATGTTCTCGCAAGCCGCCAGCGCAGTATAAAAGCCCTCGTCGCCGCTGCCCACCGCCAGCACAAACACAAGCACACGCAAAGGCAATGTCTGTCTTCTACTACGACCCCTTCACCGACTTCGAGCGCCTCTTCGACGACGCGTTCCGCGCTCGCACCAACAACACCCACAACCAGCTTGTGCGGCCCACATCGGAGAATAGCGCTGTGCAGGCATTTAGGCCAAAGTATGTCCTCAGTAACTCCCTCGAAGTTGGCTAACCGGTATTGCAGGATGGACCTCCACGAGAATGCCGCCTCCAACACCGTGACCGCCACATTTGAGTTGCCCGGCATTAAGAAGGAGGAAGTCCACATCGAGACCGCCCCCGGCCGCCTGCGCATCTCTGCTGAGTCCAGAATCTCGGAGGAGCACGAGAAGGACGGCTACGCCATCCGCGAGCGCCGCTTTGGCAAGTTCTCGCGCACGCTCCAGCTGCCCCATGGTGTTAAGGTGCGTTTCCTCTTGTCTGGGAAAGGGCTGGTATTGACGATGTCGTGCAGGAGGAGGAAATCAAGGCCAGCATGGAGAATGGTGTTCTGACGGTGACCTTCCCCAAGACCGCCGCTGAGCAGACGCCGAAGAAGATCACCATTGCTTGAAAAACTGTACTATGACCTTCACTGTATCACTTTCTGATAGTTGTACTCTCCCAATTGTATTACTTTGGTATCGGCATACTTTGTACTTAAGTACCTTTTGGATTGTGTTCTGAGAACATTGAATGTTTTTCCCTTGACTTGAGGGCTGCCCAGGCCCCATAGGCATGTCTCCAGGCTGCTGATATTCAACGCGCAATCGTCTTTTTGGCGTTTCCCTCGTGATTGTGGCCCTCGGTCACGGGCGCATCTTCCTTCCCTTCCACCCACAGTTGGAGGCTATATCATCGTATCCAGTAAAACACATCATTGCTATTCTCCTACCGAGCTCCGGATTCCAAGATGTTCACCGGCCTGAACTCCTCCATGCCTTTGTCGCGCGTTAGGTTTGCGGTGTGCATTCCTTGCAGCTGCTGTTTTATAACCGCACATACGGAAGAATTCTGTTCTGAAGTGGCTGGTTGCTTTCCTCACAAACCGAAAAAGACAAGGTAGACCGTGACGGAGCAACGCGGGAATATGGATGATATGTTGACTGACGAGACACCTACATTTGGCGACGATGCCATCCTCGAATCTGCTGCACCCCCCACTCGTATCCCGTCTCCGGCGCTCTCCGCAACTCCAAATTATCATGCAATTAATCGTTGGCCGGGTGGAAAATTCAACGCGCGGATGAATCCTTACGCTGCCATCCAAAATCTCGAGGCCCAAAGCGAAACCAGCCTCCAGGACCCAGTCGAAGAGCGAGGCGTCGTGCGGAAAGTCAAGGACGACCCCGATTGGAACAACATCGGAGTTCAGTGGAAGAATGGGCGCAGGCCAGGTGTGTTATTTGACTACCCTTTATTCCACGTAAGCTAAAGGTATCTGCTCGTTCTGGCAGATGAAAACGGAGACTGCGTGTCCACCACCAATCAAGAATTACTTGAAATCAACGCAAAAATCCAAGATATTGGAGACGTTCCTAAGGATCTCAACCGATGGGACCATGACCATACGGCGCAAGCGGAACGCGTCGAAAGGCTCATTCGGAAACTCGCCGTGGGTTTCACCATGGGCGCCGACGACTTGAACGAGACCAAGTGGATTAAGTTCAGCATTCCACGAATGGTGTCGCGTTTGGTATGCACCATTGTTTCCTCTAAGTTCAATATGCTTACGAGGTGATCTTTCCAGGATACAGTCGAATTCATGTCCCCAGGACTCACAATGGTGTTCTCTTCCAAGGAGCCATATCTTCATAGCCCTGTCGATGACTTTTATGCCCACTTCTACGTGGCTCAATGGGCAGCGGTTTTCCACCCAACTACTGGTACTTTCAAAAGAAAGGAAGCATTGCGAACGCAGTTGAGCACTAACAACAATAGAGATGGAGTGAAAGCCATGGTCGCGGTCCTTCGCGCCAGCCCTGCAGATATTAGGGATTTCGGCGGTTTCTTGTGCAAATGTGCATCTCTTTTCGGCTTCTGGGATGCCAAATTAAGGGAATTGTGGGGCGACTACTACAGAACTGCATTCGACGAAGTTGACCACGTCGAAGACAACGGAGAACTATTGACTCGGAGGTCGTTGTTTAGGGCATACGCGTATCGTGGGGTTGCGGACTACATGGAGGTTTTGGCTAAGTGGAAGGAAGCCAATCCTTCGGAGGTTTAGTGTTCAGTAGCTTTTGTTACAGTCGTCGTTGTTGTTGCCATTAGTACTCACACATACACTGAAAATTTTTGTTGCCATTTTCTGTTACACTACCTCTTCAGAGCCGGCTCCAAACTGCCACTGCTCAACCGCGGTTACACATTTTCAACTCGTGCTTCAGAATCCTTTCATGCCTTTGTTGACTCTGTTGTAGTAGTATTTGTGTGAAAATTATCTTTCGACCAAGAAGACAGCAGAAAGCGTCACAGCCACGGCGCACTTTTCAAGACTTTTCACAGGAACATGACCACAAACCAACAAGGCTGCCAATGCATCGCATCCACATCGCAGTCGAGTTTACCAAAGCTCTACATACGTGGAGACTCGGATTCCTCTCCTCTTGAACCAAATCTTTGAGAAGCCCCGCGTCATCGACATTTGTCATCGGCCCACTGGGCCCACTGACACTCCTCACCATCGCATTCGGCCCATCCAACATGGTATAACTCGACGATGCGCCAGGAGGCCAAGCCAAGTCATGTGGGCTCGGTGGGCTGTGGAGCCAGGTCAGCCCACACTCATTTTGGCCTGCTCACAACTGATTCCGCATCCCAGTCCAAGCAGCTAAACTTCTTGTCGCCCCACTCCTTGGCTCGGCGGTCTGGTCCCTGGCTTCTCCGACGCGCCCGAATCCCTTCTCCGCCTTCTATACCATATCCAATCGAGTCGACGGCACCCGCTACGCAAAAAGCTGGCTGGACCTGGTGTTCGTCGCGTACTATGTCGTCTTCTTCTCGTGGTTCCGCCAAATAGTCGTCGTGTCAATAGGGCGGCGTGCTGCGCTATACCTCGGGGTCCGCAAGAGGGGCAAAGTGGTACGCTTTGGCGAGCAAACTTACGCGTTTGTTTATTACTCGATCGCCTCCGCGTGGGGTTTGGTGAGTTTGCATTTTTTACGGGCTGTTTACGGAGCTTTAACTTGCTCGTAGCACGTTATGCGAGAGCTGCCGACGTGGTGGTACCACACTGCCGCCTTCTGGCTTGGTATTATACTCGTTCCCCCCATTGGTCCACGGCTGACTGGGTGCAGAATATCCTCATTGGGCTATGACGCCTCAGCTAAAGGCGTATTACCTCGTGCAGGCCGCATACTGGATCCAACAAGTACTAGTCCTCCTTCTCCACTTAGAGCGACCGCGCAAAGACCACAATGAATTCGTCGTGCACCATTGTGTCACTATCTGGCTCATCGGGTACTTCTTCTCCTTTGGTTTTATTTGGTTGTTGAGGGCCTTGTCTACAGCTGGAGCTATCTCATGAATCTGACGTTAATTGGCCATGCAGTCTATCTGAGCATGGATGTACCCGAGGTCTTCTTCTCTGTGAGCTTGTTCTCTGATCTTGATTCGGTGCTAACCTGCCCTAGTTCTCTAAACTTCTCAACTATCTTGCCATGGATCGCGCCAAGATCGTCTCCCTCGCAATCTTCACCTATGTTTGGACGTGCGTTACCTGCCATCGTTGGTTGCTTCCCTTGCTGATATCTTGTCAGCTATTTCCGACACTATCTCAACATCCTGATCTTGTGGTCGGTGTACTCTGAGTATGACCTCGTCCCGTAAGCCATCTCACAGCTCGCTCAATGCATCTGACACCATCCCAGTGCTTCTGCCCGGCGATGGTCCCCTGCCGACGGAACTTACTTGACGTGGTGGCTCAAATACTGGATCCTCGCGCCACTTGCAGCGCTGCAGTTGTTAAATATGTTCTGGTATGCACTGGTATTGAGGATACTTGTGAAGTAAGGCTGTTTTATCTGGTTCCACTGGTTTTGACAACTTTCTATAGAGCTCTTTTGACGGCAGAAGCGGACGATGAGCGTTCAGATGACGAGGATGAAGGAGCATGAGGTTTTTACAAGTACGTACCTACAATGCAACTGGGCATAAGTCTTAATGATAATCATGGCATTGTTTTGTAAAAGACCGGCATGATGTTTGACTCTGAGAGTATATGTGGAGAATGAGTCAGTGATTTCAGCAGCTGACAAATACCGCTTGCGTCGGCCAACGGCGCAATTGCGCAAGAGACATGTATTTAAGCTGAGGACCTTTAGTTATTGAACCATGCCTACTTTCCTAGTCACTGCTGCGACTGGCCGCCAAGGACAATCGACCGCACAGATCCTTCTGGCGAGCGGGGCCCAAATCAATGCACTCGTCCGCGATCCCACCGCTCCCCAGTCGGTTGCCCTGCAGAAGCTTGGTGCCCGTCTTTTCAAAGGCTCTTTGAAAGATGCTGCCGCAGTCGCAGCCGCAACCGAAGGCGTCTCTGCTGTCTTCCTGAACACATTTCCCGACTTCGAAAACCCGTTGGGCGAGCTGCCGCAAGCGGAAAACGCTATTGCTGCTGCAAAGGCCGCGGGCACAGTCCAGTCCATCGTTGCCTCAACTGTCGTTGGGGCCAATGATGTGGACGACTGGACGACCATCGCGGGGGAGTTCCCGTTTCTGGCGCGCTACTACACGAGCAAGTCGTCTGTCGAGCGGGCGGTCCGTGACTCTGGCTTCCAGTATACAATCCTTCGCCCAGGGATGCTTTTCCACAACTTCATCGGCGACGCGGTCCGGTTTTCATTCCCCGACTACCCTAAGGAGCGCGTGTTGACGGTCAGCTATCCGGCAGAGTATCGCCTGCAGCAGTTCGACGCGGCGGACGTTGGCCAGGTTGCTGCCAAGGCGTTGCTGGACCCGCGGGGCTTCGCTGGTCGCGAGATCGACTTGCATCACGAGCCGTTGACGTTTAAAGAGATAGCGCAAAGGTTGTCAGCAGCGGCTGGTACAGAAATCAAGGTCAGGTATCGCTCGGAGGAAGAGACGAGGGAGGCGACCAAGACACTTCCGGCGCTCGAAGTGCAGGTTTGGTGGCCAAGGAGCAATAAGAGCGACACGACAGAGTTGCAGAAGCTGGGGCTGCGGTTGACCACATTTGAAGAGTTTTTGGAAAGAGAGAAAGTGGCTCTTCGAAAGACGTTGAACTTGGAATAAGACGTTATGTACAAGTCTTCAACAGCAATGAACGCGTCAATTGACAACCCGAGTGAGTGATGATAACGGGTCATGTGACAGCTTTTTTTTTTCTCCTTCTCGATCCACCGTCAATGTCAGTCTCAGTCAGTCACTGCCTCAACAATACATTCACGACTAGTTATAAAATCGCCTGACCCTGACGTCTGGTGAATCACCATGAATCCACCATTCGGCCTTTGCTATCTCTATCCGGTCCAAAACCGCCTGATCGCGCTGCCGCTTCTCGGCGTCGGTGTTGAGAGCGCCATTAAAGACATTGCGGCACAGGTCAAGCTCACGCAGACCTACTGCCATAACGAGGCGTTCCCGGTAGAAGCGATATACCGCTTCCCCATTCCGGCGCGTGCTGCTGTCTGCAGTTTTGCCATGACAAGGGAAGACGGCACACAAATACGAGGGATAGTGAAGGAGAAGCAAGCGGCGCGACGAGAGTACGACCAGGCATTATCAGCAGGGAAAGGAGCCTCGTTACTTGAACAGGTTACTCCAGATGGTACGCAATTACGAATGAGTTTACTGTCGGCTGACTTTTTCCAGTTTTCCAAGTCTCTGTTGGCAACATCCCGCCCAAAGAGCAAATCAAGGTCGAGCTCATATATGCCACCGAGCTTACTGAGGACGAGGAAAGTGACTCGATTCGATTCCATCTGCCCATGCACATCGGAGTCCGCTACGGAAAACCCCCATTATCACCCAACAATCCGTTCGCAGACCCATTGCCCTCTGGCTCCTCGTTTGTCGGTCTCAAACTGGACATAGAGACAGTCTCTCCGATAGTCAAAATCGGTTCGCCTTCCCATGTCATCTCGACCGAGCTGGGCCCGGATCCTGCCCTCCCAAATTCCAACACTCTACCTTTCTCTAACTACGCTCGAATTTCCGCCAGTTCAGACACCCCATGGGACCGAGATTTTGTCCTTACAATCGGGTCTGCTGGACTTGATGCGCCGCGTTGTGTTGCAGAGGTTCATCCAACGGACGACAGCGTTGCATTATCGCTCAGCCTTGTCCCGCGCTTCACACTTCCTGATGTTCCGCGTCAAGAATTCATCATCCTTGTTGACCGCAGCGGCTCGATGGAGGGTGCAAGGATGGCGGCAGCACGCAAAGCGCTTATAATCATGCTCCGTGCCCTTCCTCACCAAGAAACACTGTTCCAAATCGTCTCGTTCGGCACGCAAGTGACCTCTCTGTGGGCAAATAGCCGCTCGTATAACCAAGAGACACTCGAGGAGGCGACCCGACATGTCGACGGAATGCACGCAAACTATGGCGGCACCGAAATCAAATCCGCCCTCGAATATTGCTTTGCGCGACGCAAGTCAGATCGGCAGACGAGTGTTTTGCTGTTGACCGATGGCGACGCGTGGGACGTGTCTGGTGTTCTCGATGCCGTCAAAGGAGCGGTTGCAGCTTCTGCACGGATAACGCCGTTGCGCGTTTCGGTCCTCGGGATCGGCGAATCAGTGTCGACAGCGATGTGCGAGGGGATCGCGAGGGTTGGAAACGGGACTTGTATGCTCGTTGGTCCCGGTGAAGCAAGCTTCACTGGCAAAATTGCGCGACTTTTGAAGGCTACCAAGTCACCCTTGATTTCCGATATTTCAGTTGATTGGGGCAGGTCAAATGATGCTTTGACAATGCCTAAACAGGAGGACTTCGAAATGGTTGAGTCTGAACAACAGTCTAAACTCAATCTCTTTGACGAAAGCATACATCCCTCTTCTCTCGAAGAGACTTCTGTTCCCCTGCCAACCGCTGTTGTTTTGGCGCCTCCACCAGTGGTCCAACAGTCGCCGTTCAAAATAAACAATCTTTTCCCGGGAACACGGTTGAACATATATGCTATCCTTCAAGGTAAAGTCTTATTGTTGAAAAACTTGACCGAATTGTCTAATGTTAGACAGGGAAAAGTGTCCCGAAGACGGTTATTCTGCGAGGCTCGACCTCGTCGGGTTCGGAAATCGAGCTACCAATCTCGGTTACTTCTAGCCGCCTTCCAAATGATCCTTCCGCTCCGTCCGCCATCCACGCGCTCGCTGCTCGCAAACTCGTGCAGGACCTCGAAGATGGCAGCCACGAGCTGGCGAAGACTATCGAAGACCCTGATCTCCTTGCACGGACAGTCAACGCCCAAATAGCGCGGCTTGGCGTAGCTTATTCGATTGCCTCGTCTCAGACCTCCTTCGTGGCTGTCGACGACCGCACCCCCGAGGTTGTCCGCCCGGTCGAGGTGGACATTGTCAACTCGGCGGTTTTGGAAGTACAGAGTATTCTGCGTGGTACCGCTTTGGATGGGGTGGTGGGATCGATGCGGAGTCGGTTGCTGACTGCCCAACCTACTGGATTTGCGCCTCCGCCTCCGCCACCACCTCCTCTGGCAAGAATGATGTTTGCCGCTCCTGCACCCGTACCTTCTAGCGGAAATGATGATGATGATGATGATGATGATGATGATTGGGAAGGAATGGCAGAGGAGTCTGGGGACGGCGAGGATTCAGACGAAGAAGAGTTGGTTATGGAGCGACTTGCCCCAAGCACGAGTGCTCGTGTCGCTGCTGCCGCGCAAGCCGAAGGGGCTTCCCGAGCTATCCAGGACCCGCTTGAAGCACTCGCCAGGATGCAATCCTTCGATGGAGGTTTCACATCATTGCCCGCCCTCCTGCGTCTGGTCGACCTGCGGCCGGGCTGCGATGCAGCGACGGTTCGGACGCTGTTGCCGGTTGGCGCAAGCGACAGTGTCGTCGCGACCATTATCGCGATGGCGTTTTTGAACGCAAAGCTCGCTGCAAAGCGCGATGAGTGGGAGGGGATGTACGAGAAGGCAGGGGCATTTGTCTGGGCGGCCCTGTTGGAAATGGGTTTTGCTGGGTCTGTAGAAGAGCTGCAAAAGGAAGCTGCGGGAATGTTACTCTGAAGGGTAGAATCACGACTACTGCAACTGGGATCTACTTACGAAACGTATCCAGAATGTGCGATCTAGTCTGAATCCCTCGAAAACCTGATTAGGCCAAGTCGTGTGGAACACGCCTGAATCAAGCTGATTGGCATTGAGTTGAATTGGCTCCTCGCTCATGAATTGCCGAATCTCAAGGCGACAGCGTTCTGGCGTTGCGATGCATCTTGCAATGTTACACATTCCCTATCGCACCCAAGCACCCAAGGAAGACACTTCTTCACAGAGTTCAAGACCAGACCCATAAGGCGAACTTGAAAATGAAATCGGTAAGCTGATTGGTTATATACGACCTGTTAACGTTATTGTGGTTGGCAAGCCTTGAATTTTTTGCTTCTCACGAGAATACATTCGGGATTCCTACTTGTCCTCCTAGTACATTTGTATCTTTAATTACACGTTTGATTCAAAGCGCCAAAGTCTGCAACATAAAAAATCAGTTCCACAACACTTCGAAGAACAGAGCACACACAATCTCAACCGCGCCGGGATGGTTGAGCACAACCGCGGCAGGGTTGGCAGTGAAGAAGACGGTCGCGCCGACAGGGTCCCAGACGAAGCTGATCTGTGGCTGGGCTGCACAGTGCATTCAGCATCGAAAAAAAAAACGGTAAGGGAAAGGCACGCACTCCCGTCAAAGTTGACCCACCCCGCGCCAATCGGGATCCCTGCCGGCGTACGACCAGATCGCGGAGGCGTAGGACCCGCCCGGGATCGACACAGAGCCGGAGGTGGACCCGGCGGACTGCGGGGGCTGGTTTGGCGACGCTGGGTAGCTGACTCAGCCAGCGCGTGATGAAAGTAATAATGGAATTACTCTGCGCGGAGGTGCCGAGCACGCCGGAGTTGCCGTTGCTCGCGGCAAGGTTGATGCCGGCGCCGATGATGCCCGCGAGGTACGGCCGGACCGCCGACACCGCGGCGTAATCCATCAACAGCAGATTCGTGTTCGGCCCCGGGAAGTACGTGGTCGCGAAGATGCTGGCGTCGGAGAACGACGTTGTGACGATGTACCGGTCCCTGGAAAATAAGTCAGCTTGCACGGGAAGTGGGAGGTGTTGGAGCGCACTGGGAGGCGCTGAGGCCGAGGTAGCCGATGGGCGTCCGGCTCTGGCCCACGTATGCCCCGATAAGACCGTCGACACTGAAACGGTCAGCAAGAACGACAGGGAGCGTTGATTAGCCGACCTTAGGGGAGAAGGCGATGCGCTGGGAGCGGCGGATGAAGAAGATGATGCAACAGAGGCGGAATTTGACGCTGGTAGCGAGCCAGAACCTGAAGCTGATGCGCTGACTGATGAAGAGACGGACACTGAGGCTGAAAAGGAGCTTGCCGAAGCAGAGCCAGATGCACTTGCAGAAGACACCGATGCTGAAAGCGAACCAGAAACTGATGCGCTCACTGACGCGGATACTGACGAAGATGCTATCGAGGATTGACTCGAGATTGGGAGAGAAGCAGAGGGCAGGACAATCGAACTCGATGACAAAGAAGCCGACGGCACAATTACCGAGCTGGAGGGCAAGAGTGAAGAAGAGCCCGATGGCGAAGCGACAGATCCGGAAGACGGCACCACGATAGAGCTGGAGCCGGACACTGAAGGCAACGCCCCAGATCCAGAAGCTGACACCGAAATCGAGGCAGACGGCGAGACAGAGCCTGACGAGACAGAGCCTGATAAAGACAGTGAAGCCGAGGCTGAACCAGATGGTGACAATGATGCAGAAGGCGATACAACAGAGGTAGAGGGTGACACAGCGCCTGATGAAGCCGGAGTTGAGGACAACAACGATGACCCCGACGCGCTGGCGGAAGATGGGCGAGCGGAGGAAACTGACGACGGGAGGGGCGGGAGGATGTTGGATGGCGAGGGTCGCATCGAAGAGCTTGATGCGGCAGATGACGACGGGCTTAGAACGGCGGACGAGGGGTACGCCGGCGGCGGCTCGACGAAATCAAAAGAGAGATCAGCTAGATCAATCGCATCAGATGGCTTGCGATAAGATAAGGCGGAAAGGAAAGGAAAACATACGGCACGCGCCATTCGCCGCCTGCACACAGCTCGCGACGGGATCACAGCCCTGACGCGTCGCAACGCAGCCCGAGCCGGAGGCACGCCCGGAAAACGGGGTCGATCCCGAGCATTTCGTCACTCCGGCGTTGTTGTTGCTTTGGGTAGTCGTCCAGCCGCAACACGCGCCACACACTCCGCGCATTCCGGTTTGACCAGCGAAGCGGCCCGCTGGTGCGCCGAAGCAGAAGTTTTGTCCCATGCGAGGCTGGTAGGTCCCTTGGTTGCAGGAAAATTGAGCAGTTGCACCGTTATTGGGGACATAGCTCCCATTCGAGGCCGAAATGCAAGATATCTGTCCTGCAGCCGGCTGGTATGTCCCGCTGTTACACTGACGCTTCGCACTCGTGCTCCCGCTACAGTAGTTTCCCGGCTCGCAAGTGGTGCAAGCGCCGCCTACTCTGATTGTCGTGTTGAAGTAGCTTCCCGCAGGACAGGCTGTTGCACGAGCAAACAGCTCACCCATCCTACAAAAGGAGAAAAAAAAATCAGGACAGGAGCTTGGACGAATTGAGTGGCGCACCTAGGGACAGCGGCCACCGTTGGCAAGCTAACGCTCGCAAGGAACACGGCGAAGCCTGCGGCTTTTAAGTTCAAGTTCGTTGTATGCATCGTCGTTGGGTCGTGTTGTTAATCGCAAGGTTGGTCAACTTTTTTGTCGTCAGAAGCGTCGTGTAGCTGGTAAGTAGCAGTCCTGCTGGGCCAGGCTGGGCCTTTACTTATACGCCGCGGGACGGAGACCGGGAGACGGATGCGGCGGTCTGAGACAACTTGAAGGCGAAGTCTTACTCCCCAATGATTGTATTGCCCACCAGTGGAGCGGCCTTGGCGTTGTGGAGGCGATGTCCTGGCGCCGAGACAGTGTAGAGGCTCTCGAATAGTACTGGTACTTATCTAATCTTGGAAACTTGAATCCACGGTCACGGCGCCTACCGGGTGGTAGCGCGGGCATTTACATCGTGTACTCATGACGGAACGCAAGCGGAGCGCGCCAGGTTGGCCGTTGTGTCAGCAGAACGAATGATTGTGGGTGTAAGGGAAGGAAGGAAGATGTGCACGTGACCGACCGCCACAATCACGAAAAAAAAAGATTCACGATTGCCCCGCTGAATATATCACGCTGAAGACGTAGTAGACAACCCTCAAGTCAAAGTAAAAAAGATACCTGCATTTGTGCGCAATGACACGATCCAGAAGGCACTCAACGTGAAGTGAGTAATACAAATGTTTCATTGGGAGAATACAACTATCAGAGTGATACAGACTCATACAGTGAAGGTCATAAGTAGTGCAATTTTTCAAGCAATGGTGATTTTCTTCGGCGTCTGCTCAGCGGCGGTCTTGGGGAAGGTCACCGTCAGAACACCGTTCTCCATGCTGGCCTTGATTTCCTCCTCCTGCACAACATTGTCAGTGCCAGCTCTTTTTCAAACAAGAGGAAACTCACCTTAACACCATGGGGCAGCTGGAGCGTACGCGAAAACTTGCCAAAGCGGCGCTCGCGAATGGCATACCCGTCCTCTTCGTGTTCCTCCGAGATTTTGGACTCGGCGGAGACCCGCAGGCGGCCAGGGGAGGTCTCGATGTGGACATCCTCCTTTTTAATGCCGGGAAACTCGAATGTGGCGGTCACCGTATTAGATGCGGCGTTCTCGTGGAGGTCCATCCTACAATACAGGTTAGTCACCCAAACTTCGAGGTAGTAGTTGAGGACATACTTGGGCCTGAAGGCCTGCACCGCGCCGCTATGTTCAGAGGTGGGCAGCACAAGCTGGTTGTTGTGGTTGTGGTTGTTGGTGCGAGCGCGGAAAGCGTCGTCGAAGAGGCGCTCAAAGTCGGTGAAGGGGTCGTAGTAGAAGACAGACATCGTCGTTGTGCTTGTGTCTGTGCTGGTGGTGGGCAGCGGCGACGAGGGCTTTTATACGTCGCCAGCGACTTGCTCGAACATTCTGCGGCCAAATTGGGCCATGTTGCTAGAATATTCTCGAAAAATAGCTTGATGATGATAGTCTTGCATGACGAAGAGCTGGGTCGAGTGCTGGGGAAGACTGTCCCGAAGCAGGACAACAGTGGATATCCTTGTTGCCGCTTGTCGGTGAGGGCAAGAGTGGTAAAAAGTGAGGATGGTCACGGGACCCATCGCAATGATTCGCATGTTGCGCCAAACTTCCATCTCGTTCATACTGACTGCCCCTCCTGAATTTCAAATGCAAAACCTTTATTCAAACTTTTACCTTTGTCTCGCCACAGGCTACAGCTGTCAATGAACGCAAGTTCCAGACACGTATGCAAAACGCTGTTCGTGTCCCGCATCCATTCAGCAACCTGGCGGCCTATATGGCATAGGCTACGTGTCGCTTCGGGCCATTGCGCGAGATTGGAGTCGTGGTGACAAGTTGGCGGACGACTCACAACGCCGTGGCCTAGATTTTTTTTTATCGAAGACCCACTCTTGTGAAATCCCATAGCCAGCAAACAATTCAATCAAAAACATATTGTTTACAGATTTTTAACACCCGAGCCTCTCTCTCTTTGGCCTCCTACTGACCGCTACTCTCCTCTGCTCTCATGCCATCGACCCACTGTCCATCGCACGTTCCCATTTAATCAACCTCTCTTTCCAAGAAAGTATTCTTGACCCTCGTATTTGTCGCTTGGACTACCATCTTCTCGTCCTCGATGTGCTCGAGTTTACTTCCAAGAAAGGGAACCACTACAGTGTATGAAACTGGCTGTGCGACAGACCCACTCTTCAAAACTCTTGTTGTTGGACTTTTCTCCATTTTAGGGGACTGCGCATTCTACCTGGCTCTAAGCAGACATCGCTCCCACTGGCAACCTCTAATCACAGTGCGGCTATGAACGTTGACCGTCATCTAATTGTGAAGGCTATTCCTCATGCATGAACATCAATCGCTGCACGGAAAGATCTATGGCAAGCCAGAGTGCGTGGCGTCTTCTACCAGCATTGCCAGCTGCTGCTGTGACTCCTATCGATCAGTCAAGGATACTCAGCCCAGGTTGCAGCAACCTCGTGTTTACTGGTCAATCGCAACTGGATGTTGTGGCACACCCCAACCAAGCTCTGCCACCCAGCCCACACAACGACCGCGCAAACACCGGGTAGACCGGAAGGTTGTCCGCTCATGTAGGTGCATTATGTGCGACCACTTCTCTTACTGATATTCCTGATGTAGCCTTCCCTACTAGAACAAAAGTTGCACAACAAAGTCGCATGAAAGGATTCAAGTTCTGAAGCACCAGTTGAAAATGTGTAACTGCGGTTGAACTGTGGCAATTTGGAGCCGAGGTAGTGTAGCGTAACAACGTTTTCCAAAAATTCATCAGTGTTCTTTTCGACTGGCAACAAAAATGTTCGGTGTATATATGTGTGAGTACTTAGTAATTTGCAACAACGACGACGACTGGATACTAAACCTCCGAACGGCGATTGGCTTCCCTCCACTCATCCAAAACCTCCATGTAGTCCGCAACCCCACGATACGTGTACGTCATAAACAACGACCTCAACGATTCTTCGTTGTTTTCGATCTGGTCAACTTCGTCGAATGCAGTTCTGTAGTCGGCCCACAATTCCCTTAATTTGGCATCCCAGAGTCCGAAAAGAGATGCACATTTGCACAAGAAGCCGCCGTAATTCCTAATATCTGCAGGGGCGGCGCGAAGGGTAGTGACTGTGGCCTTCACTCCATCTTTACTGTTGTTAATGCTCAACTGAGTTCGCAATGCTTCAAGTCTCTCTCCTTTGGGAGTTGGGTGGAAAACCGCTGCCCATTGAGCCACATAGAAGTGGGCATAAATGTCATCGACAAGGCTATGAAGATATGGCTCCTTGGAAGCGAACACTGTCGCGAGTTCTGGGGACATGAATTCAACTGTAACCTGGAAAGGTCGCCTCGTAAGCATGTTGAACTTGGAGAGAACAATGGTGCATACCAAACGCGACGCCAGTCGTAGACCGTTAAACTCAATCCATTTGGTCTCGTTCAAGTCATTGGCGCCCAGGGTGAAACCCACATCAAGTTTACGAATGAGCTTTTCGACGTGTTCCGCTTGCGCCCGTATGGTCATGGTCCCATCGGGTAAGATGCTTAGGAACGTCTCCAATATTTTGGGTCTTCGCGTTGATTTCAGGCAATCTATGATTGGTGGTGGTGGTGGGGACGCAGTCTCCGTTTTTCGTCTGCCAAAACAAGCAGATACCTTTAGCTTGCGTGGAATAAAGGGTCAAATAACACACCTAGCCTGCGGCTCCCATTCTTCGACCCAACCCCGATGTTCCTCCAATCGGGGTCGTCCTTGACTTTCCGCATGACGCTTTGCTCCTCGACTGGATCCTGGAGGCTGGTTTCGCTTTGGGCCCCGAGATTTTGGATAGCAGCGTGAGGATTCATCCGCCGCGTTAAGTTTTCCCTCCGACCAACAATTGATCGCATGACAATTCGAAATTGCGGAGAATACTGGAGACGGGAGACGAGTGGGGGGTGTAGCAGATTCGAGGATGGCATCGTCACCAAATGTCGGTGTCCCGTCAGTCAACATATCATCCATATTCCCGCGTTGCTTCGTCTACCTCGTCTTTTTTGGTTTGTGAGGAAAGCAACCAGCCACTTCAGAACAGAATTCTTCCCTATGTGCGGTGAGAAAACAGCAGCCGCAAGGGATGCACAACGCAAACCTAATGCGCGACAAAGGCATGGAGGAGTTCCGGCCGGTGAACATCTTGAAATCCGGGGCTCAACAGGAGAGCAGCAATGCTGTGTTTTACTGGATGCGGGTGCTTGCAGGGGATATAGCCTCCAACCGAAGTTTGAGGTCAACATTTTCATGACGAACATTCAACAAGCACACTGATGCAGGTAAGCTTTAAGCGTTGAGTGTGGGCTTGAATTATATCATATGTCCTATGGCTCGTCAGCGTAGAGCTTGGACTACGAAAAAGGTCATTGGGTTGGCAATGGCATTGGTAAGTAGAAGAATTTGCGCATGTCACGTGTTGATCTGAGGTGTTTGGCGATTGTTTGGGGGCAAAAGTTGTTTCTGAATTCAAATACTCCAAAACTTCAACAAAAAAAAAACCATGTACTATCAATCCAGCGGATTGTCTTTCCTCCAGCCCGCCAAGACTTCCATGTAGTCGGCAACTCTGCGAAAAGCGTAAGTCATGAACAACGACTTCAACTTGAAGAGCTCTTCATTGGTTTTTGGGCCCGCACCCCCATCATCGGCTGATCGGACGACGGCACGCTCGGCAAGAGCTGTCAAATGTCATTTTGGGATTGTCGCTTTGCTCTCCGCTTCCCATGACGCCCTCTTCGCCAGACCTCCATTGTCCGCCCAATATGACTTCCCAACAAACTTTGCCACTCTGTACAAAACCACCACAAACCACCATCTCTACCCCGTCTCATTCCTGATGCCTGGTAAACCGAAGGACCGCACCCTGCCGCCAAATGGCATTCCCCGACTCACTGCCGCCGACATCAATCGCAAACTACCCAAAAATAAAATGTTTGTCTCTGATGCTGGAGCGGCGGCGATAGTGGCCAAGAGCCACCTAGTATTCAACTTAGTCTATGACCACACCGCCAACCCGTCAGCCCAGGTCGATGCCATCTCACATCTCGCCCGCTACAACGTCCACCATGATCCTGACGGTCCTTGTCCAACAGGGCATTGGTCTATTGCCTGGTCAAACCACAAGGACCGCAGTAGCCCTCCCGCCATATGGAGCATCAAGTACATTCTTATGGTCTGGTGTGTTGTCTTTACATGCTCTGCACAACTCTCTTGCTTATTCTCCTTCTCAGCACTTGTGGCTATGACCACACAAAACGAAACAGCAAGAATCGAACGGCGGCGTTCCCGCTGACGGACTGCCCTGCCCATCTCGAGATTACGGTGCATCCACCGACCGGTGCCATTCTCCGTGTCCGTGGGCTCGCCGAGCATAACGCCGCCTGCGACTCGGCGATGCCACTCCCGCTTCTTTTATGGAGCTTCAAACTCAAATTACACTGCGCTCTAACCGACATGCAGCGCCGCAGGACATCTCATTCCACAAGACGACGCAATCACGCGTCCGCCGAGCACCTGAGCGTGCCGATGACGAGGACGAGAGAGATTCCAAGCGTGCTCGTATAATACCTGTTTCTCCCGAAAAGCGACAAGACCGACAGCAGTCGCACTCAGTAGTGTAGCCCTTGTTTTTTTATCTGGATTTATTTATATTTTTATTTTAAAAAAACTTGAATTTATTTATGGATTTTTCTCTCTGTTTCTTGCTCCGGCCACCCATCCCGCCTCCTGCCTCCCACCTCCGCCTCCCACCTCCCGCCTCACGGTGACGCCGAGCCACTCTCACACACACTCCGGAGGCCGAATGACAGCGTGGAGAGAACCCAGTCAAAGCTTGGTCAAAGCACTCGCCGGCCGGGCAGCCAAGACATGCCGTGACATGATGGGGGTGCAGGCCAGAACGCCAAGAGGGCAGAGGACGAGAGATCGGCTTTGGATTTTGGGAAGACGGAGAGAAATGCTGCGGTATGCTGGCTGGCGTACAAGGAGCGGAGAATTCCGCTCGAGAGTCGAAAGGAATAGATAATTAGTGTTGGCCCTGTAGGGGGCATCGTCTTGGTCTGCTGGGAGGATCGAATAATGGCGTTGAGGGTTCGCCAGCTCCATTTCATTGCTCTCCCGGCCAAGCTGATCTCTGACCCAGGTGTCCTTCAGCGAGGCTTCTATCGCAGCCCTGCAACTGCAACTTGAAGTCCAATCCGTCTTCAACACCGTGACGGGCATGTCTGTGCTCATTTGTCCTGTGTGGATTGCACACCGGCAACTTGCGGAACGAAGAGTTTGCAACCGCTTCGAGTTTTGGTCTGAGGAGCACTGAGCTGGGAACATGAAGTTGGAGACAATCGGCTTTGCTCTGCATAAGTATGGCAAGCACTACAAGGAATACGTCAAGTCAAACCTAATGGCGCGCGAAGAGCGTGGTGATCGCCTTGCGGTCAAGAAAGTCGATGTCGCATTAACGATTTCAATTCTACTCGGTAGGAAGTAGTTGAACAAGTCGAAACACAGCTGCGATTCAAAAATGTTTAAGTGGGAAACGTTAGTGGGAATATATAAAGTTTTTTCTTGGCCCAAAAACTCATTGCAAAACATTAAATATTTTGGTCCTAAAAATCCTGTTGCCCCAGCCAAGTCAACATTTTTTGGGCAGAAAAACTCAAAGTTTTTTACACAATAAAAAATTAATTGCAAAATTTTATATATTCCCACTAACGTTTCCCACCTAAACATTTTTGAATCACGGCTGTGAAAAAAGCAAAAAAGAGTGGGTCACACCAAGAAAAACCAAGGCCGGTGATGTTATGATGGCTGCGATTCGATGCTTCGCAAGACATAAAATGCGCAAGTTCTTAGTCAAGCATTAGAGTAAAAGTCATATATACATCCACAGCAACCTGCTCTAACTCACGAAATCAAATGTCTGCAAATATGACATCAACACACATCGCACCACTACCAGGCTGAAAACGAAGAAACAATCTCAATCGAGTTCCGATACCTCTGCAGCGTGCCCTCCACGTCTGCGGTAATATAGACCGTCTGCCCCGCCGCGTCCCAGACAAAGCCTAGCGCATGGCGGCCTGCAAATTCAACAACTCGTCAGCACCAATGGTAACCGAGAAGAAAAGTGCCGCACTTCCGTCGTAGTTGAACCAGTTGGCGCCGACCGTGCCAGAGCCCACGTCGTACGTCCAGATTGCGCTCTCGTAGTTCCGCCCGAAGACCGACGTCGGCCCGGTATAGCTCGGGGTCGTGTTCGGCGTAGCTGTCACGTGCGGGATCAGCATTATGTCAGCATACTGTGAAGAGACGCACTCTGAGGGGAGCCCCCCGAGGATGCCGTCGCGGCCGTTGCCCGGCGCGAGGTTGATGCCCGTGTAGATGAGCCCGGCGAGGTACGGCCGCGAGGTCGGCGCGAGGAAGTCGAAAAGCAGCATGTCAGCGTTCGGGCCGGTAGGGTTGTACGTGGTGGTGAAGAGGCTTGCGCCGGATACTTAAGAGCGGGTTGACGATGTACTGAGTCTTGGTGGAACAGTCGGTTCCCGAGTCACAGAGTTTATGTGGATATACTTACTGGGGATTATTGAAACCAAGGAAGCCGATGAACTCTTCGTCTGCCGGCGAGTATATCCGTATAACGCCGTCTAATCTACAGGACGGTAAGTAACCAACATGGAAAACATAAAATCAATCGGCTCACCGTTGACTGGCGAGAGAAGGCGACGCACTTGGCGCTGCAGAGGACAATGAAGCAGCAGAGGACACAGAGTTTGACATCGAGGCAGACGATATCGAGGCCGAACTTGACATTGAGCTTGGTGCAGAGAACGATGATGCCGAAAGAACTTGGCGATGAAGATGCCGAAGCAAACACACTGCTTGAAGAGACGGAGGCAGATGCACTCCCCAAAGACGCTGACGATGTGGATCCACTACTCGCAGAGGAGACTGGTGGTGAACCAGAAACCGAGAAAGATCCCGATCCCGACGCCGGTCCGCTTGCGATCGCAGACGACAGAGAAAGTGAAATCGAGGAAAAGGACGCAGATAGCGAGAGGGAAACTGAAAGACCGCCGGAGAGCCAGATACACTCGCCGAGGACACCGATCCGCTTGCAGAAGAGGCGATCGAGTTCGACGACACGGAGGGCGAGAATATGGAGAGGGAACTCGAAGCAGGCGGCAACACAGCTGAGCTGGAGGACACAGCTGACGGTGAGAGCGAGAGCGAGGAAGACGATACTACTGCAGAACTCGATGGCAAAATAGAACCGGACGGCGAAAACGAGGCCGATCCTGATAGCACTGCAGAGCTGGACCCGGAAAACGACGGCAAGGGCGAGGCCGAACCGGATGGCGGAACAACAGGGCCTGATGCAGAGACCGACACCGATGGGGCCACAGAGCCAGAGCTCGGCACTAAAGCCGAGCCGGATACCGCGGACCGGGAAGCCGAAGCCGAGCCAGACGGCGATGATGCGGACCCTAATGGGCGTATACTGTCCGAGATCGCCAAGGAAGCGCGAACGGAGGAAGGGAGGGGTGGGCAGGAAATTGGATGGCGAGGGCCGCGCTAAGGAGCTCGACGCAGCGCGAGACGACGAGCTCGCTGAGATATACGGCGGTGGCGGTTGGACGAAATCAAACGACAGATCAGCTAGATCAGTCGCATCAGATAGATCACGATAAGATAAAGCTTGAAGGAAGGGACATACGACACGCGCCATTCGCTGCTTGCACACAACTCGCAACGGGATCACAACCCTGACGAGTTGCAACACAGCCGGAGCCAGAGGCACGACCGGAGAATGGGGTTGAGCCGGAACATTTCATCACTCTGGCGTTGTTGTTGCTTTGGGTAGTCGTCCAGCCGCAACATGCGCCACAAACTCTTCGCATCCCAGTCTGGCCAGCAAAGCGGCCCGCCGGGGCACCGAAGCAGAAGCTTTGCCAGTGCCCCATGCCTGTAAAGAAAATACCATAAAGAAATTGGTATAAGTCGGAGATGACAACACGCACGAGGCTGGTAGCTCCCCAAGTAACAAGGCAATTGAGCAATTGCGCCGTTATTGGGAACATAGCTCCCATTAGAAGCCGGAATGCACAAAGTCTGGCCCGCAGCTGGCTGATATGTCCCGCTATTACACTGGCGTTTCACATTCGTGCCGCCCGTACAGTAGTTTCCTGCCTCGCAAGAGGTGCAAGCCCCGCCGGCTCTAATAGTGGTGTTGAAGTAGCTTCCCGCAGGACAAGCCGTAGCCCGGGCAAACAGCTCACCCACCCTCCAATAGAAGTTAACACGAAGGATGACTCCAGATAGCGGATGCGCACCTAGGGACAGCAGACACCGTTGGGAAGTTGGTGGTGACAAGGAATATCATGAAGCCCGTCGTTTTCAAGTTGACCGCGTACATCGTCGTTGCAGTCGTTTTCTTGTTGATATCGTTATGTTCGTAAGTTTGCCGTTAGGATTTTCTTATAGCCGGTAGGCAGCAAGTAATCAGGTTTCCATGAGCCTTTATACATACGCCACAGCAGCGGGATGTGGTCTGAGACTGTTGCTCCCACTATGTGGCGGTGTAGCGGCTGTGGCATTGTGGAGGCAATGTGCTGACGCCGAGACAGGGAGGCAAGTCGCAGTCCTGATGGAAATGAGGATTGCTTGTAGGCGCTGGATGGAAGGAAGATGTGCACGTGACTAAGCGCGACATTGAGGCTCACTCAAAAATACTCTCTATAAAGGAACGACAAGTGTTACACACAATAATCCAACAAATAAAAATAGTCCCAGGTATACTAAAAGTTTGAATCACGGCAAATACGTGAAGGATATCCTCTAAAAAAACCAAGAAATCAGTAGCCAATAAGTACACGCGACAAATCTTTTTACCGTCGCAGTCCCAAACTGGTTGGTGAACTCCGCAACATCTCCCGTGATCGCAATCGCCTGGTAGTCCGGAAGGTATATGGGGAATGTCGCAGGGCTGGCTGGAAAACAATAACGATTCAGAATCTGCGCCACGTTGAAGGTAAATAACACTCACTTCCGTCGGTGTTGATCCATTGCGGGCTCACACGCGTAGAAACACGATCGTACGACCACTGCGATAAGTATGAACGAGAGAGCATCGACAGAAAAAAGGCTCACAATTGAAGATTCCGCAAAGCTCGGGCTGCCAGGGAATGAATTCGGCACAGATTGTGGACCAGAACCAGTAGGTGCTGCAAGTCGAGGTCAGAGAAGGCAAAAAAAATCGCAATCAAGACTCTTACTTTGCGAAGTGCCTTGAATATATGCATAGCTGTTGACAAGTCAGCTCTAGTATGTCCATAAGACTGTTGGCTTACTTAGGACTTCCACTCGCAAAGTCGTTCGACGAGCTGGCTGCGCCGACGATACCACCCATGAACGGATAAGTCGCCGCGTATGACGTAGTCTAGCCAGAAGTTGATCAATAAGAGCGAAAAAGGTCAGGAATTCCGCACCGTTGCCTTGATATTCAGCTTGGACCCATTTTGCATGGTCGGGTCCAGCTGGATTTCAAATATAATCGCATTCGCCGGGTTTGGGTCGACATTGAAGAGGCCATAAGCGGCGTATGTTGCCTTGGTTTTGTGCGATGTATCCCATCGCAGCACCCGTGTTGAAATCGTTAACTTGAATCACCTTGGAGATCGCGCCTGGGGCCGGTCCGACGAATTCGAACGATTGGTCGGCTAAAGAATACGCATAAGCTTGACGCGAAGAAAAAAGGAAGACGACTCACGGCAAGCTCCATTCGCTGCCTGCGCGCAAGTTGCAACTGGGTCACAACCTTGACGCGTCGAAACACAACCCGAGCCAGAAGCACGACCAGAAAACGGAGTCGAACCAGAGCATTTGACCACGCCCGTGTTGTAGTTGGTTTGGGTAGTCGTCCAGCCACAGCACGCGCCGCAGACGCCTCTCATCCCAGGCTGGCTAGCAAAACGACCAGACGGGGCACCATAGCAGAAGTTCTGGCCAGCGCCTACAAGTAACAACAAGATGAGGTTAAAAGCCATTAGGCGAGACGATAATACGCACGAGGTTGATAGCTGCCGGCAGCGCATAGGGTAGAGGTAGTCGCTCCGTTGTTGGGGACATAGCTACCGTTCGTGGCGGGGATACACGAGAGGTCTGGCCGGAGGCTGAGAGGGAGTATCAGCGAGAATACGAATGGCGAGAAAGAAAGGAATCGTCACCTGGTTGATACGTGCCACTGTTGCATTGCTTCTTACTCGCGCCAGCGGTAGCACAGTAGTTGCCGGGCTCGCAAGGAGTGCATACCCCAGCAGAGTTGGCGTAGCTTCCGGCAGCACAAGGTGCGGCTCGAACCAAGATGTCGTGGTGCCTGCAGCGAGGATAAGTAAACGGCGAGGTCAGCTAAACATAAAGCTTACTTGGAGGAGCCGTGGTTGCTCGCCGTGGCCGTCAGAGCAGCCACCATCAAGACGAAGAACGACGCGGCATTGGAGGCAAACATTTGCGACGGATTGAGTGGGGGAGGGATGTCGAGATGGAAGTAGAAGACAAGGAGGAGTTGTATTCAACCAAGTTTTGCGTGCCATTTTTGTAGACAGCGCGGAACGTGTCTCAGACGGAAATCCAAAGTGGGCGCGTTCGCCGTCAAGTCATGTTGCCGTGACAGTCACAATATGACTTTGGGGAAGACGAGAGAGAAAGTGCTGCGCGCGACATATGCTTGATGGTTTGTGGGACTAGAGAAAGTAGTTTGCTTTAGAGATCCACTGTGGGCACTATATGATGCTATTCTCAAATCCAAATGCTCGGACAAATAAGTAAATCACGACACGTGACAGATAGTCTCTTTGCTCTTACCGCCGACATCGCCCTCGTCTCCGATTAAGTGCTGCACGAGCATGTCAACGTTTACTGAACACCTGGGCACGAACTACACCCCAGAGGACGATGAAATTGACGTCATAAAGTCGTATATTGACCGCGTCTCGCCTGCGCTGCGAAATGCCGAATCGGAGATTGCTGAGATGCAAAAGGCCATGGACGCGCTTGTGGCTCAACGAGACACGATTCGCGGCGACATCGATGCTCATAAATCACTCATAACCCCCATTCGCCGCCTTCCCCTTGATTTGCTCGAGCGAATCTTCATCGAATGTCTTCCTGAGGAGCGGAATTGTGTTATGTCTGCCACGGAGCCCCCACTTCTGCTTGGGAGAGTATGCAGCTCGTGGCGCAGCTTGGCGTATGAAACGCCCCGTCTATGGTCCCGGCTTCACGTCTACATCCCCAACAACAACGTCTCGTTTTCGCGATTCACCCATGTCCCAGACTCACCATCGCCAAGACTCAAAAAAATCCAGGAACAGCGCATGGCGGTAGTCAACTGGTGGCTTTCCAACTCAGGGAACTGTCCGCTTTCCATTTCCCTCTATCTTCCTGGCGGTGGCTCCATTGCCGACATTCTCGACCAACTCCGGGAATTCTCGATGCGTTGGGAACATATCAGCATCCGAACGAACTCCGATGTACTCAAGTGTCTTGTAACGATGACACGGGAGGAAGTACCGCTCCTTCGCTCTTTTGCAGTTTTCGAGCGGTCCACCGCCAGAACCGACGACATGGCTGCGTTCATGCAGTTAATGCAGCAAGCTGGCAACGCGCCAAACAATGCATTCCCAATGCCCGCTAACCCCATTCCAAACGCCAATGCAGCGCTTGCCAACCCTAACCCAAACGCCAATCCCATCCCAAACGCCAATGCCCCCGCCAACCCTGCTGCGGCACCGCTGTTTATGGGAATGCAGCCGCAGGTCGCGCTAGGGAATCTGATGAACTTCCACTTTGCCATTCCTGCACCTGCACCGGCGCCTGCAACGAACCAGCCTAACCCACCGGCACTTAATCCTCCCCCAGCCAATCAGCCCGCTTTAAATTTGCCTATTATCAATAACGTGCCTGCACCTAATCCACCCGCAACTAACCAACCCGCGCTTGGCCAACCCGCGCTTAACCAGCCCGCGCCTAACCAACCCGCGCCTAACCAACCCATCTTAAACCCACCTACGGCTAATCCTCCTTTGCCCAACCCACCTATAGGTCACCATCCCGCTCCTCCCAACTTGCATCTTGGATTCCCTCAACCGTGGAATACAATTTTTGGTGTCCCTGGCCAACCTCCACCCGGCCCGACTGAACCCGAACCTGAGCCACCCCTTTGGGAGACCGCTGCCATACTTACCGCCCCGATCCTCTCCTCACTCTCACTGACTTCCGCTGCATTCAATCTGTTTGAGTTGCCAATCCAATGGGCCCAAATGACCGAGCTCAATCTTGAAAAGCAGGGTCTTCCCGGAGTTGGGTCTGTTACCAGTCGCGAGGTCGTCAGACTTCTTGGTCGATGTCAAAATCTGGTCACTTTGCGGGTAACGGTCCAGGACCTATTTGTGCCTACCGCGGTGGATATCGAGGGCCGGGTCCTGCAAGAGAAGCTCGAAACGTTCCATCTCTCCTATTCGACGGGGTACAACGGAACCACTCCCCCACAACGATCGCCTTTCCGCTTGATTGGGTCGCACTTGCACTTGCCGGGTTTGCTTCATTTCCACCTCGACGGCAGCTCTGGCGGTATCGACATGACAAACGAATTTTTTGCCCAAAACTTCTTGACGTTGGCTCCCGCTCTAAAATCGGTGCATATCGGGGTGTGGATGTTTTCAGAAGCTGAACTAATCGGTCTCATTTCGAACCTCCCGCCCACCTTGCGTATACTCTGCTTCCCAGCTGGCCACGGCCCCGGGCCATTTGAGGTCGGCGCTCCGATTGGAGACGGGATTTTGACCGCGCTCTTGCCGATTGAAGACGTAATGCCGCTCCCCGAACTGCATACTTTGGAGATACACGCACGTGCTGGGTTTTCGGAGTCGTTCCTGCTCCAGTTCATCGAGCAGCGCCTTTCGAGTCTGCAGAAGGTGCTGGTCCACTTCCAGCGCTACAATCCGCGCTCGTGGGGCGTCAATCCGCCGCAACAGCAGCCGGAGAGGAAGAAGATGACGTCGGAGGAAGCGGCGCGCTTGAAGGCGCTTGTGAAAGGGGCCGAGAAGGGCCTTAAACTCGATCTCAAGTACCCGGACAAGCACCCGCGGGTGTCGATGTCGCCGTGGATGGGCCTGGGCCAAGACGAGCGGGAGCGGGACAGCCTCTTCTTCTTCGACTAGTCAGGGGTCGACAAATCTTAAATGTAAAGTGGGTATTTCTCTATAATTCTCCGAGGGAGAATGCTTACAGACCTTTGCCAGATATCGAATAAGCAGCATAAGAATAAGACTGCTGTAAGTGTAGACGTGTACTTACTGCCTTGAAATTAAATACAGCACGCTAAAGTGTGTTTACTTTTGCCATTAGCGCGCGTGACATTCGACGATATGGGGGTGCCGTGCGAGTAGCTGCAATACTCGCAACTTGAAATGGAAGTAAACATCAATCCAGCCTGGGAGCGATCATGTTGCTGCATCTCAATGATACTGTTCTCTTCCTACCACCACCACCACCATGGTCGGTCTTAACATTGACTCCTTGATTTCTGCGACGAATTCCAATAATCACTCTCGCAGGCTGAACACACCTACAAGTTCGATGTCAAGGTAGGTCCAAGAGCGGTTAACCCGCACTTCGCTCATCTGCGATCACAGATGACATGTCCTGGCTGTTCTACCGCCGTCTCACGCGTCCTAGAGAAGGCCAAGACAGATGGTATACCGTGACAACAGTACCCTAATGCTCATGACAATGCTCTTTGTAGGCGTTTCCGAGTACACTGTCAACCTCGAGACCCAAGAAGTCCTGGTTAAAGGCACCATCCCGTACGAGGATGTCCTCGCTCGAATCAAGAAGACCGGCAAGGAGGTGGGTGACTCTTTCTCGCACTAAGTAAGTATGGTCTCATCGGCACCAGGTTCGTTCTGGGGAAACGGTGTCCTGAATAGCGATGGATTTGAAGGATATAAGTGATTGTAATACTACCGTGTTTGTGAATGTCTATGCGTTCAGCGGAGACTACTTAAGCCAATGTTTTCATCAACATTTTTGTTCCAAGACCAGAGTCGATGAGAAAATGATCAATTTGTGCACGTGATCGCGCTATGGTCCGTGCGCCAACGCGCGCCGTAAAAGGACGCGCTGGTCGTTGTTGATCTTCATACTTACCTTGATGGCACAGTTCCCTTCAGATACCTGGAGCTGTGGGCTGCGGGATCTCTCCATTGCACGGCGACCCTGTCCACACAGAGAGCGCCCACGGTTTGTATGGGCTTCGGCTCATGCACCGTCCCAATATTTTCCAGTCCTGCCACGGCCACTCGGCTAGGCGGGCCTCTTTTTTTTATGCCGGTTGGCGGCGCTAACCCTAACCCTAGTGTATATAGTCCCTTCTCAATGATATTCTTTGAACTTTACTTAAGCGCCGGACCGCCTTTTTGCACATCAGCATGCACTTCTCAGCCCATCCTCCTTATCGAGAGCTGGCGTCATCACTGTTTGGCTCGGAGTATCTGACCAGGGCAAAAGACACGGACTCTGTGTGATGCCGTGGCGCAGATAAGGTTGAAGAGATAAGTGGTCAACGATGACTTCGATTTCACCAGACAATAATAGAAAGACGGCAGCAGGGAAAAGGTGCAAATGAAGGGGTATTATATTGCAATCTACGAGTACTGGTATCCATTCCAGCAGAGAAAACGCTAAGACGTGTATGCCAAGGAGGGTGGGTGAGTTAGACCTGGGCTGGTTGAATATGGCATGGCGACCACCAAAAGAGGACAACGTACAAGACTGAGCTCCAGTGTCCAAACGCGACGGGCCCAAAGCTTAAACGAGTGTGCCGGTCGGCCGTCCTTCTCTGGGAGGTCGACCTCTAGACCGTCCCACCAGCATTTCCTCTGTTGTTCATATATATGTCAGAAACGCGAGCGGGTAGAATGAATGAATGACGCACGGCAGGTTTCCGCCAGAAGAGCAGGAGTTTTTGGGCAGTTGCCATCTGGGCGTAATCGACCTCGACAGGCTTGCTGTGGTCGGGCGAGTGGTTGATGCCGGTTTTTAGTAGGACGAGTGCAATTGAGGATATGCACGACCGCGAGGGCTCCAAGGCGCGGAAGCCCCATTCGTCGTCACGATTGAAGCCACTTTGGAATCCATTAACCAAATCCAGGGCGTCAACTGGGGGTCATAACGCACCTCATGCAAAGCATGTCGATGAGGTGTTGCTCAGCGACATTATTTTCTTTGTTGACATTCCGTTGGAGGGCGGTGAAGATGTTGCGCTTCTCCATGAGGTGCTCCCCACCATCACGCTTGATTTGGATAAGGTCCTCGTTGGCAATACCGTTGGCGTCGGTGGCGGCGGCAGTATTCTTCGGGGGAATAGTAAAATATTCAAGCTCTTCACGCAGGACAATTATGGCCTGCTTGGCCAGGAGCGGATTTTGGCTCTGCAGGTCAGCAGCGCCAGGCGACCCGTTCGGAGAGGCGTCCAGTAGATGTTGTTGGAAAGAAATAAGTCCAGGGGTCGTCGCATTTCCGTAGAAGGCCTCTGAGGCGGTCCGGAAGAAGGTGAGGACGTATTGGAAGCAGTCGGGGTCAAACTACACGGTGTCAACGCCCCATATTGCAAAAGAAGGAGTAAGGACACACGTCAACACCATAGACCTCGTCGTCTTCCTCGTCTCCGCCGTCAGAGAGAGCCACACTCTGTCTGCTGAGGACCAGGCCGTTGGGGAAGAGACAGAGCAAAACAGACTCCGGTAAGTTCATGATTGTTTCCCGGTCGACCTCGAAGCGACGACCACGTAGGTCGAGAAAGAGACGGGTTAGAAGCTGGGGTTGAAGGTTGGAGTGAGCAGGGGGAGCATGCTGGGAAACCTGCGTTATGGGCGACGAGGACATGGCGAAGAAACAAGGATACTCCACGCGTGATCAGAGCAAGTGATACCTCTCGCTAACAAGAAATTATTTTTTTCAGAGTGAACGGGGGGCCGTTCGTAAAAGTAGCACACGACAACTAATGAGAGTGGTAGTATTCAACAGGTCAATGGGGAGTGGCAAGGGGGAACGAAGATCACCCCCAAAATCGGACACGTTACACGTCTCCTTCTGCCCACCACACCATGCACACAATATTCGCTCGTATAAACAACATCTCTGCACTCTTTTCCTCATGTGTCATGGGCCTCTTGGCGGCCATAGCCCTCTCCTCGATATTCGTCTCGTACTTCGAAGCGCCGCTGGAGGGCGGTTCGGTGACGGTTCATGGCGTCAAAGTGTAAGTGACTAAAGCAACTCAGTCGAGCCCAATAATATCAACGGGAATATAGAAAGCATGGGAAGGGGAGGCAGTATCGCTTCGAGCACGCATTCGTTGACTTCGAGATTGACTCCGGTTCGTGTCAATCCAACCACTGTTTCTCTTTACCTGAACGCGCCGTAACTTAGACCTCTCCCCACTGTTCAACTGGAATACGAAGCAGCTCTTTCTCTATCTGGATGCGGAGTACACAAACGCAAAGGGGGTCCGTGCACTCTTACCTGATTTTGCCATCTTTTTCCTCAACCAACTAGGTCAAAAACGCCGTTGTCATCTGGGACCGCATCGTTCGTCGGAAAGAGGACGCCCACATTCAAGTAAAAAATCGTCAAAAGTACCAATTCAAAGATGTTTCTGGCTTCCGGTAAGGTTATTGCCAAGGTCTTGACATTCGCTTATTGAATTGACAGAGACGCGTCTGCAATCTATACTCTGCGGTATAATGTGATGCCATGGGTTGGTGCACTGACCTACGGGACGGCGGGCAGCACCAATGTCACTGTACCGTTCCCGCCCATGATCAACCATTCTTAGAGTGTAAACTATCCGGGTGTAATAAGACGAGCTACTCAACTTCTTCAGCGACTTCTTTTGACGTTCTTATAGTCCAGCAATACGGTCTGGAACTGCTTGGCAGATTCATGAGCAGAGACCCGACAACATCCACTTTTTGCGACGGGATTCGATGTTTTCTTTCCTTGTCTTCTACTCTCCGGGTCTTCGGTGTATTCTTGACCGTTGCCGGAGGTCCATGTCTTGGTCGCGCAGCTTCAAAGCCTTCGCAGATGGATACCAGCAGGTATCTGTGAACCCAGTGTTATGGTCGGACCATACGAAAGGAATTTCTCTTGCACATTCATTCTTCACGTCGCTTGGCGTTGAGGACTGTTTTTCGACTTACACGATTGGCCTGGAGACAGGAGAGTCTTGCGAGAGTCGGACTGCGCCCTTCTCGTGCCGATAACTCGGGTTTTCCCTGCCTCTCATTATCTAAAGTGCTCATCTGATCATATGGCCGCTTCTGCTTGTTCCTTGCCCTGGCGATGCGATTGGGTTGACATTGACACGGCGACGCGGTCGGTGTGCGTGGTCGCGGCTTGGCGCTGTCGCCGTCGCTGTTATGCATACGGCGACCAGACCTCAAGGCGTAGATCCTTATTGGCCCTTCGCCGTTCAATCCTATTCGCCTCGCCTGTGAACCTTCCATCTTCTGTTGTCCCATTGTTTCGTTATCCCGCTCTCCACTCTTGCATTGTTTCGTGAGCGGGAAGTGGATCTTGCTGCTTCTCCACGTGCCTTCCTGCCCCCTTCTCTCTCTCTTGGGTATGGATGAACTTTAATTTTTCTAGTTCGTCCGAATGCAAGATCATACTGCCCACGGATCCGTGATGCGCTTGGGCTCCACACTTTAGCTGTTTACAGTGGGTCCAGACTCCAAAGGAGGAGCCCGATGTCGCACAAGAGGCTGAGCAAAATGCGGTTTTCACGCAGTCTCGATCCACGACATGAGGAATGGGCCTCCAGAAACAATTGAATCACCGAGATGGTGGAGTCGCAATCGCAGTTGGCTATGGAGCGCGGTCTGGTAAGCTAATTCCTGCACCCACTCTGGCATTAGGCTTTCCAGTGATGTGCTTGGCCTTTCTTTTGCCAGCGCCTGACGGGTCCACAATCTTTTACAGTTTTGACGGCCACATACGGTGTTCAGATGTCAAAACGCGGATCTTCGTTCCCCGTCTGCAAGCCCAATTCAGGCATTGTTCTTGACATACCATTGTTTCGTTATCCTGCTAATTAGTAACTCTTAGTCTCTCGCTGTCAGTCGTCGGTCGCGTTCGTGGGCAAGTTCGATGTGATATCCTATCCTATCCACCTCAGGATCCAGACCGACAGCGACCAATCGCAGCGACTACCAGCATCTGGGGCAACGGGTGGTTCTGCCTTCCAACTCGGTACCGCGACGGGGTCTATATCCCTAGTAACCACACTATCAGCAGGGAGCGGGGGCAATCCGATGCCCAAGTTGCATCCGTGATGCGCTTGGGCTTGCCATTTTGGCTTTGGGTCGGACGGGAATGACCCGCTGGTTACTTCCTCTGGCTCGTGAACAAGGCGACCAGATGCTTGGTCAATTTGAACTTCTAGGCTTACTTCCTGGTTGATACCTGGCAGTACATAGACTTTGCGAATTACTCACGCACACACTCGGACTTGCAATTTGGCAGCCACAGTCCCAAGATCGCGGTCGTTTGGCTTATCGCCCTTCGGCACTTTCCGTCGAGGGTCGAGGTCCCGCCAGCCGACGTCCCATTGTCACCAAGCCACTTATTAGCCATTGCTTAGCCGCCTAATTTTCAAGACGCCGGATTTTTCGTTGATTTGTTTCACGCGAGCTGTCGACGCGGTTGATGCGCTCGTTACCATAAATGACGGGTCTCGGGCGGGTTAGCGCTGCGCATGAATCAGTGAGATCTCACGTGTTGATCATTTGATGCGCCTCCAAGAAGGCTTCGACGGTTGCCGGTAAACACCGATGAGCGACGTTGACCTGCGTGAGCCCGCCCGGGTCCGCGTTTTTCGATATTCTTTTCCTTTTGGCCAAGAATTTACAGCTTATACGGAACTATGTTGCAGTTGCGCGTCGGGCTACGTCGATGGGTGTTGCCAGCACCCGCAGCAGCAGCAACACGCAAGGGAGGACTACTGGGAAGGTCGAATCAAAATGGACGGGAACTGCCGGCCAAAGAGCTCGGCCAATAATGCGCCGAGCAGACAATTTTCGGTCCTTTCTTTTTTTTTGTCTTTACAATTCCTTTTCCTTGTCTTTTCCGAGTACTTAACATTGACATTGTAAATGACTTGACTGACCTATCCGAACGGGATCTGCTCGGTCCAACCACGAGCTCGGGCCCTACATATGCGTCAGAAAATTTAGAGTTTTTTATTGATGAATTTATCACGGAACAGCATGGCGCGCTTGAAGGCTTGAACTAGGTGCCTCAGTTCCTGAGATGGCTGGCTTGCTGGACAATATGCGCCTTGTGTGCGCGACTGAGTTCGAAGCCTAGTTAGCTACCTGATGAGGCAGCGAAAATCCCCCAAGTGTTCATAAGGCTCCATTTTGCTTCCCGTGAAGAAGGTTACCCAACGCCGCCCGACTCGGACGATGCGGGCCCATCAGATTCCGCGGGACCTACCGAGAGAGGTGGCCAAATCAGGCAAGCGCCCAGATTAGGTTGCAGGCTTGCTTGACAAAGATTGCGCCATCTTGGATCCTGAGCTCCGGAAGGAGACCCCGTCGTTTGGCTTACGAGTTCAAGGCAGTGAGAAAGAGCGGGAATCCACAAGTCAGTTGCTAATGCGCATAAGACTAGTACAACATGAGTACAATGCAGGAGTTGGGTTGAGTGCGTCTACGGTGTAATGATGGGATAGATAGAGTCCAAGGAGCGTGTTCAGGACGTGATAATGTAGGTCGGTGAATCGAATGCGAATGGTAAATGCCAGCAAACAGTTGGCGTCTAATGCGGTTGAAGGCAATATCTAAACTCTCCCTGCGGCCTTTGCATGCGCCCAATGGAACTTATCGGCTCCATTGACCTCTGCGACGAGTGTTGGCGAGCCCGTTGAAGGCGTCGTGGGCCGCGTATAGGTCGATTCAGTCGACTTTTGTGGAAGAAGTAAGGGGAGTCGTGTTCGGTGAGGCTTCTCCGGTGAAGCAGTAACGGGTGGACATGAACCTCGTCTGCCGAGACTGAGGTATCGTTTTGCAGCAGAGGAAGTGGAATAGGGGAGGGAAGAAGCGACTATCGAGAGGGACTCGAGAGCAGTGTTCCTACTCCTGGTGGATATGGGGGATGATGGGGAGGGGAGGTCGTTGTCGTTTGTGCGAAGGGTTACATGGGCAGTGGGGCGTTGTTGCTGCTTCAGTCCACTGAGGAGAACGGGGTGGGAAGCGGTAGAGCGGATGGTTTTTGGGGAGGGCCGCGACGATGAGCAGTCGACCTCGAAAGCCCACGCGCTAATTTTCGCCGTATTGTGTTGCGACCAGGAAAATTGCGCATCGAAGTATGAAGTTTCAGCGTCTATTGACGGCTGGCACGCGCGCGAGCAGTAAGTAGCACCGCTGGGCTGCGTAGAAAAGTCAGAAAAAGGCAGGGCGGCAGCAAAGAAAACTCACCACAAGGTTAGAGCATGTCAGACACGAGTCTGAGCACCATTGTGGAGAGTCGCTCATAGTTAGTGGCTGGGGAATGGGAGGGTTGGCGTCGTCGTTGGGAGGAGAGGGAGGTGGTGGAAGACCAGTCAGACCATCGAGGTCGAGGTCTTAAAACAAACGGGGTTTGATGGAAAGTTCTTCTTGGGCACTTGCCTGAATAACGGCACAATTGAATCGGTTTCTCACAGCTGTCGAATCTGAGATTTGCTTGCTCGTTTTTTCCCTCTGCGAGTCAATGCTAGCTCGATAACCGGCCATCGCAATTGATGCGCATTTATGGATGGCGATAGCGTGGCGGGCCTGACACTCTCAAGGCGTTCTCACTCTCAGTCTGGGCTCACCGAGAAAGGCGCAACGGCGTTCTAGCCCAGTGACTTGTGACCTACAAAGTCACACCCCTTCAATGGTGAGCAACGTTCTCTGCCTGCTCGATATGTCTCAATCTATGGCCAGTCCGCCCTGTTCAATTTTCAGTCTCTCCTCCTGGTGATACTTCTCCTCATTTGCACGTGCACATACGTCCGTGCCCTCTTCCCGAGTTTGATTGACCGCAACAAGACCGGTTTTCTTGGCCTATTCTTCATGTCTGCTCGCATTGGTGCGTTTGGTTGCTGTATCTTTTTTCATCGTCGGTAACCGAGCTATGAACAGGCGAAAGACTCTCTCCATACGTGTCCCTCGCGTGTCTGATCATGGCTGCGACGATGCTCATTCAATAGCCATTACTTTGCCTTACAACGAACATGTACCATTCCAGGCTTAATTGTCATTTTGCACCCACCCACCGACCCACACCAATTAGCGTTCTGTTTCTGTCGTCGGACTCCCCATCCTTCTTCCCTGTTCTACCCACGCCAGCGCCACGGTCAACAAGCCCCCAACAAAAATTCACAACGCACCTGTCAACTCGCTAGAATCACTCCCTTGGTCCAGGTTTCTTTCGTTTTCGTGCTTTTTCCATACTTGTCATGAATCGAAGCGTCAAACGCATATGCATTCGCGGGTTTTTCCCCAGCACGTCCCGTTATAGCGTGTCCGTCTTTGTGTCTGTTTGGCTCTTTCTCTTCCTTGACGGCCGCGGCCTTTTAATTTCGCCAACGCCGACCTCCGAATCGCCATTGTCCGCCGAAAGGGGGCGTTCCAGCTTCTCGTTTGTGTGGCCAGCCATGCCTACCTATCCCATCACCCCTTCTCTCCCACCAAACTTCTCAATTCGACGTGCCAGCTTTGATCCTACGGCACGGCGTCTGGCTGCATTGCCTACGCGTGGCCATAAAAATCTACATCACACGAAGGAAGCCACAGAAAGTCGTGTTTGCGATAGATGGTGGAGCGGGAGTCTGAGGCGTACGACAGCCCAACCCTCTATTTCTTGCTTGCTGGGATCTTACAGGACCGCTGTACTCCACCACAAGAAGATGTAAACTCGGCACCCAGTCTAGCGGCTGCAGTGGTCGCCCCCTCGTAGATCAGTTCCCGCGCGCCGTCACGCACAAGAAGCTCTCAAAGTGTGACTCGCATCCGACAGAATTTCTTCCCTCGAAACCGAATGGGCACACTGGCCTGTCAAACGCGATCCGTTTCGTCGCATCGCTCATCGCGTCCTGTTGCCGCCGCCGCCGACTGACTGGCAGCATCGAGCGCAACACGGCCATATGTGGCCTTTCCAGTGAGCTCACCCACTGAGAACTGCGCTTCCGATGACTGCCCCGACGTTCCCACGACGATAAGGCGGGGAAGAGAAGCGACGTTTTGTGTCTGATGGCTGGGGGGCGAGATTGCGCGAATCAGCATTGCGATTATTTTAGGATAGCAAAGGCAAACAGATAGTCGGGCCCGTACTACAGGTTTTTTTTTGTTTGGCTTTAAGGCGCTAAAACAGGGTTTGCCCGGGACTAGTGCCTATGAAATGGCGATTGTTAGCCGCGGGAGAGGCCCTGACGAAAGGAAGAGTCTAAGCTTGAACCCAACCAACGTCCCGGGTTCATACGCCGTCAGCGAATTTCGCAAACAGGTCAAGGGGGAATGCCGCGGCCATTGCCGTGTACCCGGCCACATTTGGATGCAGGAAATCGCCCGAGTTGAACTGGCTGGCTAATTGTGATGGAATCTGCGGGTCTGCGATGACCTTGTCGAAGTCCACGACTGCGTCGAAGACATCAGGGCTCGTCCGGATGAAGGTATTAATACGCTGGCGCTGCTTTTCTCGGATGGGATTCGAGTAGGGCTGGATGGTCACATTCGCAGGCGCACTGAACGGCGTTATGGTGCCCGCGAAGAAGGGTATCCCCTGAGCATGCACGATTGTTGATATCTGTTTGAACGCCGCAATGAGTTGGTCCCCAACCGCCTGTTGGGTCGTCTCGCTGGTGTCTGCGGTGCCAATGTCGTTGACGCCCTCAAATATCATGGCATACTTGACTTTACCCGTCTGAGCAAGCACGTCTCGCTCAATGCGGCCTATAGTAAGATGTTGGAGATAAGCCGGGTGTCTGCCACAAATAGTCCGCGATACCTACCCAGGGCGGCCGGTCCGAGTCCATCAGCGAGTATACGGTTGCCGCCTGCTGCTTGGTTGTTGACCGAAATCAGGCTTGTTGGCGCGTTTTTTTGCATCCGCGCTAGAAGCAGGTCGGGCCATCTGCGATGGTCCTGAGTGAGTGGGGGGAGAATACGCGGGGGTTAACTTGGGTGGACTCACCGATCGTTCCCATCCGTGTCGCTTCCCCGTCCATCCGTAATGCTGTCACCCACGATGAAGAATGCAGATGCAGAAGGTGTTGTGAGTGTCTCGACCGCACTCACGAAGTACCTGTCGCTCCCAGTCACACAAGGAAAATCAAAGAAGAGGAAGAAAGGCACCAATGTGCCAGGCTCGTTACACTGGGGCCCGTAATATTCTCCGCACTCACGGCATTCCCAAGCTGGAGCCAGGTCGTCGCGCGACTGCCTGAGAGGGAGTTAAAAAGACATCTTCCCCAGTTCCCAGCGAACCTCACCTGGGTGCGATGTGATGCTGAATCCATTCTGCCCGCCCGCCAGATACAGAGTCACCGTGATGGTCTGTTGGGGCTTGATGGGGAACGAAATCGGGTCGCTGACGACGATGCCCGCGTTGGGAATCGAGAAAGTCGGGTTTCCGCTAAACGTCAAGGGCTGGATCGAGGCGGGGATCACGGCCGATGCGCCAGAAACTCCGCCAGCCGGCAGCGCAACTGTCGCTGCCGCAATATTGAGATTGTTGACACCAAAGGCATTCGAGAATCGGATGCGAATAGTGTCGCCCCCTATCGACATGTGCAGCGTCTGTCGGATTGTCGAGTTGAAAAACACATTCGTCGTGCCATTCTTTCGACACGCGCGTCAGAAGGCGCCATTACTCGAAACAGAAAACACACAAATGGAGCTGGGGGCAGGTTGTTGAACTCGGTCAACTGGGGCATCGCTGTCCACGTGTTGATCCATCGTGCGGTTGCGGTTTTCTTCGCGGCGGCAGCAGCCCCAGCGAGAAGCAAAAGAAAAGGCGTGAACATCGTGTGAGAGGAAATTTCCCGCCAGTCGCCCCGCTTTATACTGGGGAATGACGCGCCGCCGCAATAAAAAAAGAGAGGTCATGCGCCCGACGATGAGCCGTGATTGACAGACCAGCTGAGCACTCCGAGACGGCCCGACGTGGTGAAAGCCTTCGCATTCGACGAGATGCAAATGTTGGACAAATCTGAAGAGCAGTTTCGTTGTTCAAAAACTCGCAGTAGCAACTTGGGAACATTAATCGGGGAACCAAGATTTGTAAGTCTGTAAAATATCCTCAGTCGGTATGCTTGACGCGGAGAAACGAAGGGCGGAGCCATTGATACGTGTGGGAAGAGATGCCGACGAGACGCTTACTGTTTCGTTGGTCGACATAGGAAGCCAATGGTCTCGTGACTCCGATTACGCAATCATCATGATCGTCGTGTCGCAATCTTATCCAAAAGCGACGGGCTATTAGCACAGTCCGGCAGAAACTTTCGAGCTTGAGCAAGCTGACATGAGTTAGGAGACCACACCTACATATACACCCTCTGAAATGTCGACTTTAGTAGAAAAACGCTGAACTTCAAGTTGTCAAACTAGACTGGGCTCGCTTAGCGCTGGGAGGGAGTCCAAATGCTGTTACAACTTACTTACAAGTCCACGACTATGAACACAAAGCTCGGTCCCAGCCGCATTTATGGTCGCGTTTGCGTTATCTGCGCCGTTTCTGTCATTGTCCGCGTCATCAATAGCGTCCACGATAACGAACGAACGATCTCGACGCATGCCGTATGACTGCCCCATATTTAGGACCGGTGTTGTTGGGGAGCCTATGATGTAAGACCGTTATCTGCGACAAAAAATTGAACGAACGCTATCGCGACTTCGTTGGCGAGTGGAATTCGAAGCCCCCGACAGATCCTACATCATCCCAGTCGGTGACGTCCTCCGCGCACGATAGTGCGATTGTCCAGAACGCGCCGATAGAAGAGAAGGCGTCCTGTCCCGTCTCAGTGAATCTGCCCAACTCGCAGAACGTTTAGACTCTGTAACGGCAGCTCTGCGTCATACTGCTGTGACGCAGCTCTACCCGGAGGAAGTAAGATAAGTACGGGGAGAACGCGCAGATAGAGCCTGAGGATGGCTCGCCCCCTCTTATAATAGTCGCAATGCATGGCGTTGTAATGCAGTTGTGGTCTCGAGAAGCCAGTGTAGATATGACGCATCGTGGCCGGATAACGATCGATTTCAAGTTTGGAAATTGAAGACGTCTTGACAAAGTTTGCACGGTTAAGATTAGGGCTGGCTTGAACCAGATTTTCTTTGACGATACCAAGTAGAGGTGCGTGTTGCACCGCTCCCGAGGCATCGTGTACAATCCGTAGGCCAGTGTGGGGCTGTTTCAAGTATACACAAACAAATAACCTCACTGTTTTGCCTTCGGGTCGGGAACCTTTTTGAAGAGAGGGTGCCGAGATGACAAAAAACCAGAAGTGAAGACTTTTCGGGCTCAAGAACGAGTGTTGAGGCTTGCGTGAGTAAGAGTCGACCCAGGAGTGGCGATTCCTTGCATGCAAAAACTTGAATTCGGCCTCAATAGGTTGATGCCCAGGAATCCACAGGTGCGACTTGCTTGCTGCAAGACTCAAAATAATGCTCTGTACGAAGCAATAGGATGGGCGCAGATGCATGCTCACGGCCAAGTGCAGTTGAAAGACAAAAGTCAACTTGGAATGTGACTCATGATCATCATGATGCTCTGACTGATGGTGCACGTGCCACTTTCTTGTTGACCAGCTCCACAAGTCGTAGTGGGCTATTGGCGCTCCGGCCAGCGATACACTTGTCAATGTTCGATTGGCCGTTCGTGTCAATGCTGTTCGAGCTAGCTGAACAGGTGGGCTACATACCAACATTTTGAGCGCCGAATCAAACCCGGATCCGATATCTTTTTCACGAGAGGGCCCAGACCCGTCTGCAGGTGTGGCCAATCATTGATTCAATTGTGCGCCTTCTCACTGAATGCCCGACCAGCGACGGCGTTTCAAGTGTATGACAAGACCTCCCGCCGGCCAACCCGCAAGTACGCGCCACTCAGAAACTGGGCATTCAACATTTTCAGTAATAACGGCTAGCGTCTTGTCAGACCGAGGACAGCAAGAACCAACGACACAAGACTCAGGCGGCGGCACATCTGACTACTATCTGACTTCTTTCGCCCTTCAATCTTCGACAAGAAGATCACCTGCCAAGTTGGAACAGCCAACAGGAACGCAAACCACCGGAGCCGTGTGATTTGCTCGCAGATTCAATTTTGGGGATCGGAATTCGTATGTTCAGACGACATTCTACGTGCCGATGAGTCTCAGTTATACCTATTAGTGTGTTGGGATGAACTTTTTTGGGGGGGGGGCGCCCAGCGCCTGTGAATGGTAGCGCCGTCTGACAGTGTCGCGTCTGTCTAACGTGAACTTGCCCGGGAATAAATGCTTACAGTGCCTGATGCTGATGCACATGTGAGATTTGGGCTTCGCGTCGTCGGAGGCCGCCTACTCCCTTTCATGTTCACGCCCCCACCATCTCCTGGCTTACCCCCTCCGCTTGCCACATCCATCGACGTCCCGCAATACCCTTCTTCCTCTAGGCGAAGATGGCCTAGGTGGCCCGTTTTTCTGATCCCACTCGCTCTTGTTGTTGCTATTGTCCATGGCGGATACCTTTCGCAAAGCCGAGTTCCTCAAGTTTTCTCGCAGCAGGAAACATGGAGAAGACATGAACGCGTGGGTCGGGCTGCATCGGTCCCGTCAGGCTCACTCTCCAACGTCTTCTCCACCCCCTCTTCTTCCAATTCTGCCGCGAACGCCAATCCAACAGGCCCTCCATCCCAGCAAACAGTGCCCCCCGTCCCAAATGCACCGCCAACGCTCCCCAGTCCTTTTCCGCAGCCATTCGACTCCGGGCTGAGCCAGAACTTCTCCAGTCTGTCGTGCTTCAATTTCTTCCAAAACATGACGAATACCGCGCCGTTCCGGTCGTGCCGCCCGTTTTCTTTCCTGCTTCAAGCATCCGATGCGTTCATTTCGGTGCGTCTTGGCGCTTCGTACGATGGGTTTTTTTGACTTCATGCAGGCCCAATCAAACTTGAACTACCTGAACACGCTGGTTTGGGGAACGTGCAACACCAACACGGATGCGAATTCATGCGCCTCCAATATGGCGTGGTTTTCGACGACGCTTGAATCGGCGTGTGCTGCAGACCTGAAGGACCAAAACAGTATGGCAGTCAACGCCCAAATTGGTATGCTTTCTCTACCACCAGAATGACTGACCTAATAACTCCTCCAGCGCTGCACGCATATGGCCTCATGCGGACCGCGGCCTGCCTCATCAACCCCGCGACAAACTCATACTGCTACCTCGACGCGGTCCACAACTCCAACCCCTCCGACACGTACTTCTACTCCCTCCCGCTCGGCGTCAACATGCCCAACAACACCATCGCCTCTTGCTCTGCATGCACCAAGAGCCTCATGACGCTGTACTACAGCGCCCTGGACACGCAGAGCAGCCTCAAGACCACATACCCCAATGCGGCCAAGATCGCCGTCGCCGACTGTGGCCCGGCCTATGCGACGCTCGCGCCGAAGCAGAGCAGCGCAGCACGTGCACCCTTGGCGCTACAGTGGCTGGCGCTCGCACTCGTTTCCCTTTTGACGCTCCTACTACACATTCCTTAGACTATTTATTGGGACTTGGTTGGGCTGTAGCATAACATATATAACGTATGTACAGAGCATGTAATCATATCCGACTTCGAGACTGGTCAGTAAAACCACCCAGCAGAACAAGGTCGTCTCAAACCTTGTCACTGATTACAGTCGCTGGCTCTAGAGGATGTCTCGTTATTCTCGTATGTCTTCCAATCGCTCCGAAGGAGGAACAAGTCAAAATCGCCGCCATCACTGTAATCTGATGGTATCATTGATGAGACATTCCCTCCACCAAAATCGCAGGAAAAAAAGCAGGATAAATACATAATATTCACAGTCCGCCTTCCTACGATTACACCACTTTACAAGTCATATACAACAGCCTACGCCTGCGCCTCCACATCTCTCGGCGGTGCCCGGTCGCGAATCGACAAGCCGCGCAAAAACGCGGGCCGCAAACCGCTCAACAGCCCGCCCCCATTCGAATTGGCTTCCTCAATCGCTGCTGGCGCCATTGGAGGAGCCACCGCGGGTGTAGTCGGGGATGTCGGGGCGGCATCGGCCGGCGGTGGCGGGCTGGTGGTGATCCGGAGGAGAGAGGTATAAGCTGTGCAAATGGGATGAGCTTCGTTTATCTGTTGAACATTACTAACGTTGGCGGCAGACGGGGCAGAACCAGCCCTTGGCCTTGCGCTTCCTCCTGGTTGTGACGACGGGAGCAGGAGCAGCGGTTGTAGCTGCGGCTGGAACGGGTGTAGCATTATCAGCCGGGGAGGCCTCGGCGGGTTCTGCTTCGCCTTCGTTGTCTGGCGGGAGCGGTACTTCAGCGGGAGTCGGAGCGGAAGCCGGAGCCGGTGTCGGCGCGGGAGCTTCTTCTGGTGCGATTGCACCACCAGCGCCAAATTCGACCATGTTGACAGCACAAGGACGACATGCGACCAGATGGCGACACGGAAGGAGAACAACTTCACGAGGAGCACTTAGACAGAGCAAACATTCACGTTCGGGAGGCTCATCCGCTGCAGCTGGAAATAAGAGTGAGAAAAACAAAGACTGGAGATCGGAAACTAACGCTGAGGCGGATATGTCACAGGAGTGGCCGCGGGCGTTGGAGTGGCTGCTAAACAACCGAAATTAGTAACAAGGTAGCGAGCAGCGGCAATACGCACCTGCCGCACTACTGAGGCCATAAATTTCATGCAAATGGAATGTGTGTGGCCCGATAGTGGCCTCTCGCTTGACGACGCGAACAAGCCATGGCCGACCATCAGGGTCTGGCGTATTATCATTTTCGCCGTCTGCGTCTTTAGCTTCAGTGTCTTCTGCGGGTGTTTCCGTGGTCGTAGCCGTGGGAGGAATGGGCACGGCACCAAGACGGCCAACCACAAGATAAACGGTATGCTCGTTCGGTGCATCCAACTCGTGGCCTTCTGCATCCAAAGCGACAAGCCTTATGGTCACACGAACACCCTTGCCGTCATCCTCCTCTTCGGCAGCATCGCCCTTCTTATCGCCTGTGTCGACAACCGCGACGGCAGCACCAGTGGGAGCGGCTCTGACTTCTCTTTGTCCACGACGCAAGCGGAAGGGAGTGAATCTTCTGCGAGTGGCAGCTGTTTCGGGTGCAGTAGCTGGAGCTGTGGTATTTGCAGGTACCGCGGGAACAGCGAGAGTATTTGTGGTCGTGTTTGCCGGGATTCTCTCGAACCGGGCCAATTCTATGATCGCAGCATCACTAGGCCCTAGAGTCCGGCCAAAACCACCCTGAACAACGGCTTCGAAGACTCTGAGTGAGCCACCGTGGGCGGGGGCATCTGGATGGGTTGAAGGGAGATGGACGTGGACATGTACTCCACATTGCGCTGATGCACAGTCGAACGAAAATTCGAGGAGGTGGGGGGCGTCACGCAAGCGCAATCCGGGGGCAGCAGCGACTGGCGAAAGCCGCAAAGTCGGCCGACGAAGGTTGACGAGTGCCTGGAGCGTCGTTGTCGGTGTCGTGGGAAGCTTGGATTTCTCGATCCATGTCCGGACGGTATCCGTCGTCAGCTCGTCTGGCTCGACAAGTCGCTTTGGCTGGGTGGCTGCTGTTGTCCATGCAGGCCCTGGCTGGATGGGTCCAATGTTCGGTCCAAAGAGGGAGTCGGGGGTGCCCGTCGCTGGTTTGGGGTCCGTTTGGCCAAGCGTGGTCAGCCCCACCGGGTTTTGCGTAAACGTGGGCCCAAGTCGACGGGCAGAGAATTGAGCGTGGTCTGTCGCCATCGTTAGCACGCCTGGCCGCAGAATAGCGACTGCTCTTACACCAGGCCATCGCGGTTAAGAAGGAAGATGCTGTGAAGTCTGTGTGACAAAGATAATTTTAGTCACCGACGGCGTTATCCTTGACGCTCAGTGCTGACAAAAATTGCCCGAAGCTGCCGAAATTTGGGCCTCTGAGAGTCCTGCGCAGTCCGAGGGTGCTCTAACTTGGTTATATTTTCTTGCTACAGCTACAGTACGTCACTAGTATGGCAAGTGGCACCGAACAGCGTTTGGTTTACAGCTGTTTTCAAAATAGTTGGCCACGGCCCGATTTTTCGTCACACATCAAAATTTGCACAAAATTGGTGGTCCGAGATTGTGGAGGCTTGTTCTCACTCAAAACCATGTATTCCTCTATAAATTTTAGCATATTTGGAATCTACTTGACGAACTGGACCCAACGGTGTGGCCTACATGAGGAGATACCCAGATATGACTGATCTCTTGCCTCACCTGATTTTCAGCGTGGTTTTTTCCATTCCTCTATAACACAATAGCTTTTGACTTAGAAAAGACAGATATATGGTTTATTAGTGAGTATGAAGCTTCTGCAAATGATTGTGAACCGTAGGCTGGCCTTATCTAGTCTCCGCGAACAGCTCTGCTGTCCCTCCTCTTGACCTTGATCCATTTCGGCACCTTTCTCACCTGTCTATGGCCGCCAACATTCTCGGAGCTCTCAATTCACACCCTAAAATCTCCTGGTTTGTCGTTTGGGCTGCCAGCCACCCTGCTTTTGGAGAATACAAGTATTTGGTCCAAGCATTGATATCCGTCAAACCTCCTCAATTGCGAGACAGAATGCTCATGTAGGTGGCCAGTAGGCCACACCGTTGGGTCCGGCTCGTCGAGTAGATTCGGAATATGCTAAAATTTACAGAGGAATACATGGTTTTGAGTGAGAACAAGCCTCCACAATCTCGGACCACCAATTTTGTGCAAATTTTGATGTGTGACGAAAAATCGGGCCGTGGCCAACTATTTTGAAAACAGCTGTAATAAGTATCATTCTAAACACAATGTCATTGTAAGCCGGTGTTGCCTCACCGTCCCGTCGGAAAGTTATCCGGTTTACCACGAAATACGTCAGTCCCGAATTTTACAATGGCTGGAGCTAGTGTTGCAATGAAATCTTGGGTTAGATCTTTCCGTGCGACGGGTATGAGCATCACTAACAGCAGCGATTGATGCTCATGCATGAGGAATAGCCTTCAATTTTACGGGTAGATGACGGTCAACGTTCATGATGATTCAACTTCATGGCCGCACTGTGATTGGAAGTTGAAAGCGATGTCTGTTCGGGAGCCAGGTAGAATGCGCCGTCCCCAAAAATGGTAAAAAAGTCCAACAACAAGAGTTTTGAAGAGTGGAGTCTATCGCACAGTCAGTTTCATGCACCATAGTGGTTCCCTTTCTCGGAAGCAAACTCGAGCACATCGAGACCGAGAAGATGGTAGTCCAAGTGACAAATATACGAGGGCCAAGGATACTTTCTTGGAAAGAGAGGTTGATCAAGTGGGAACGTGCGATGGACAGTGGGTCGATGGCACGAGAGCGGAAGAGAGTAGCGGTCAGTAGGAGGCCAAAGAGAGAGAGGCCCGTGTGTGTCAAAAATCTGTAAACAATGCTTTTTTGACTGAATCGTTTGCTGGCCATAATATTTCACGAGAGTGGATCTTGGATTTAGAAAAATCCAGGCCACGGCGACGTGATGGCGTTGTGAGTCGTCCATCAACGTGGTGACAACTCCACTCTCTTGCAATGGCCCGAAGCGACGCGCAGCCTACGCCGTATGCCAGTGTGTTGCTGAATGGATGTGGGTTACGAAGGTTTTGCATAAGCGTCTGAAACTTGACAACTGGGACGAGAAAAAGGTAAGAGCTTGCGTTTGAATTTTAGGAGGGGCGCAGTCGGTATGAATGACGACGATTGCTTTGTTGAACGAGATGGAAGTTTGGTGCAAGGATGCGATGGCCGGGCCGGGGTCCCGTGACCATCTGAACTTTTTACCACTCTTGACCCGCAACAAGGATATCCACTGTCGTCCTGCTTCGGGACAGTCTTTCCGAGTACTCGACCCAGCTCCTCCGAGTCGGCCTGCAAGACTATGACCATCAAGCTATTTTTCGAGAATATTCTAGCAACATGACCCAACTTGGCCACCGAATGTTCGAGCAAGTCGCTGGCGACGTATAAAAACCCTCGTCGCCGCTGTCCACCGCCAGCACAAACACAAGCACAAGCACAACGACAATGTCTGTCTTCTACTACGACCCCTTCACCGACTTTGAGCGCCTCTTCGACGACGCTTTCCGCGCTCGCACCAACAACCACAACAGCCAGCTTGTGCGGCCCACCGCTGAACATATCGACGCTGTTCAGGCATTCAGGCCCAAGTACGTCCTCAGCTACTACCTGGAAGTTTAGGTTACTAACCTGTATTGCAGGATGGACCTCCACGAAAACGCCGCCTCCAACACCGTGACCGCCACCTTCGAGCTGCCCGGCATTAAAAAGGAGGACGTCCACATCGAGACCTCCCCCGGCCGTCTACGTATCTCCGCCGAGTCCAAAATTTCGGAGGAGCACGAAAAGGACGGGTATGCCATCCGCGAGCGCCGCTTTGGCAAGTTCTCGCGCACGCTCCAGCTGCCCAACGGCGTCAAGGTGAGTTTCCTCCTATTCGAGAAAAGAGCTGGGTGTTGACGATGTCGTACAGGAGGAGGAGATCAAGGCCAGCATGGACAACGGTGTTCTGACGGTCACTTTCCCAAAGACCGCCGCTGAGCAGACGCCGAAGAAGATCACAATTGCTTGAAGGGTCTCCGAATTGGACACTGTTATGATAACGGACTGTATCATTTCCTCAACATTTTTGTAGTCATACGGAAAGAATACCGATGCATTTCTCAACAAAATCGTTGTACATATCCTGCTGTACTGTCCACGCATCAAGCGCCCTTAAAATCTAGCTCGTACTACTTCGTTGTGTGACTTGGTTGGAAAGGCTGTACCAGAAAGATCAATAAGAGGAGTGGTCGCATCGTAAAGCACCTACATGAACGGACGACTGGTAGACGATGCCACTGGGACTTGCCTGAATAGAATCAGCCCAGGTGAGCTCAGATTCCAACAGCGCATCCGAGTCGGCTTGCATTTGGTGCAGGTGAGCCGCAGGGGGTATGTTGGCGGATTCATCGATCGAAGGTTGAGAGATGGACTGGGGGTTGACGAACACTTCAGAGGGAGTGGGACCAAGGATAATTGCAACCATCTCCTTGATATGGAAGTCGAGATCGTCGTGTCTAGAAGAATAAAACGATGCGAGTAGTGCTGTGGGAGAGGGTGTTGGACCTGAGTAGATTCTAGAGTTGACCGACTCGAACTTGCGGAACCTCGGCCGGCCATTGAAGGGCGTAGTTAAAGAGCAGTGACAAGGAGCTGGAGCAGGAGACGGTGCAGTAAAGGGAGCTGCAGTAAAGGGAGCTGCGATTTATTTTGGTAGGGGTGAGTTTAGGTGCCGCCAACAGTGAAGGAGGTACGCACTGGTAGGCGGGGCTCTGCGGTCCAAATTCTCTGTGTCTTGCGGAGCCAACGAATGCGAATGGCTGGAACCAAACAAACGCGGTATCTTGGAGGAAGTAAAACTCGTGTCCGACGCAAATGCTTCATCAGCAGATCTCTTTGAGGTGATTTTCCGTTCGAACATTGGACTATCCGGCGAGCGAGGATCGACTAGCCAAGAGGGATGGGGACCGAAAATGCCAGCTTGATTGATTCCACGCCTCGGGGTCACTGTCTCAAAAACTGCCGGTACTTGTCGGAGAACACGGGCTGAAGAACCGGGTACAAGAGTGGTATCTGGGGATTGAGAAGCGGAATCTATCGTTTCGAGGTTGTGATTGAAGGAAGAGCTTTGAGGAGAAGAAAGAGGTAAATGCGACTGCATCGATGACGTTGGATGGAATGACACGATGGGAGATAGTTTGTTGAGTTCAGCGAGCTCAGATGAGGGCTTAGCAATTGACCAATGGTTGACGAAGACGTCTGGGTTCTCGCCGCGCCCAGATGAGCGAGCAGTGTCTAGCGGTTTCACAGACGGGGTCGAGACATCCTGATTGTTGCTGTGCTCTGAGGTGACTTCATGGTTGCTTGAGAATTCGGGGTCCGCTCGCCGGGGCGTCAGCTTCACAAAAACGCGATTGCCACGACAGATCGACGTCGCCGTCATTGAGAGGTTTTCCCTGTTTGAGTGACTGGTTGTGGTTGTCGTTGGGCTCGGCAAAGCTCGTGAGGCTGGAAGGTCCAAGACTGGTGGCGAGAAGGATGGGGGTGGTGGGTAAACGTTTGGGGTCATCGTTGCGCTGTTGTTGTTGACTCGATTCTTCTGCGAGGGGTTGGATAGTTTGGTGGGCTCATGATTTAGCTCATTGAGATTGGTGAGAGGCCGAGAAAAAGGTTTTCCGTGGGTCGCGGGGGGCTGCTGGGTGGAAGGACGAAGGGGAGTGGGCCAGGACATGGAGGCGAAGAGCAAGATGTGAGAGCTTCGTGTGACAATTATGGTCCTTGTGTTACCAGGTAGTCTACGCACAGAAATATATCCAGCTTGAACCTTGTCTTGCTAGCAACAAAATAAGAACAGTGCTACTCTAAATTATACGAATCAGGACTACAATAAGATCTACTTTTGTCCCCACCCGATAACAGCTTACATCTGCATATTCATATGTGCGTGCGACCCACTCTGGATCGCCATCCAATTGTCCAGTAAGAAAGACATGTCCGTCCCAGAGCGCGCAAGCATCTCCAGGTCAATCTGAGGGTCCGCAGCAGAAAACAGCTCCCGTCCAGCAGGCTCGGTAAACATCGACATCGACATGTCGCCCAGGTCAGGAGGACTCTGCGACGCCTGGCGATACGCGGTCAGGTGCGCCTCCATCCGCGTGATGAGCGTGTCGAGCCGCGCGCTGGAATGAGTGTACCCGAGGCCTTTGAGCCAGTGAAGAATACTAGCAACAACCACATATCAGAGAAACGTCGCAATAAAAGTCAACAAACACACTGTTCATAGGTTGAGACAGTTTCTTCGATGCTGACCTCTCCGCGTGCATTCGGTGTCCCGCCTAGACCAGCCAAGCCTCTGGCGCGGTCAGCCTCTTCGATACAAAACTCTGCCCAGCCCATGATATTTGTCCACATAGCAGACAAGCCATGAAGGGGGAAGTCCTGCAACATCAGGACGCGGCGCAGGTCCGGTAATGCGCTCAGGACAAGATCGTGTGCCTGAGACCGTAGGAAGGCAATGCGGGATGACGTCCATGGCGATTGTGTGGAATGGAGGTGGGTGGAGGTGGGGTTATGAGTTCGGAAAAAAGTGCGGACAGACGCCCAAGACGATTGGGTCAAATGGGAGTGGATAGACTTGTTTGAAGTAGTCGATTCAGAGGGTGGCGCGGCAATTGTTTCGTATGCGGGGTTTTCATTCGCTCTCTTCTCGAGCTCCGTATGAAGAGTCAAAGCCATTGCAGCGAACATAATGGACATCGCGAACGCACATGTGCGAACGCTGTGTGATGTTTCCGGACGTTGGGTTTGCCGCGACACTTCCGTCAGCTGTTGCAATGCTGCTTGATTGGGGAAGTTCATATCGCTGAAGCAGAAGGAAATGAGCGCCTGCATGGAGGTAAGCGTTTCGATGGTATCTCGCAAGGCAACATCGGAAATGGGTTGTCGTCTGGCATAATCTAATCCACGTTTTAGTAAAATGACTGCTCAGGTTATGAGAGAAACAAACCGCCTGAGATGTTTTCGTAAAAGTCCCGACAAAGCTTCGTTGTGTAGTAAACGACTAAATCAAGTCAGAAAATGATGAATGCTTTTCAAATGACCCTACATGAGCGGATACATTCAAGAGCAAAATGTGAGCGGTGTTTGAGCGACGGCGATACCGCTTCTTGACGACTAGCTTCCAGGAGTGATTCCAAGGTGCGTGGTGGTCCTTGAGAAACGGAAAGCTGGTCGGCAAGTGTTCTACAATACCCATTAAACCTCAAAGAAAGACTATATTAAACGGAACACTGACATAAGAACGGGTTTTCGATGGATTACTGCTCGCAGGGACTCTGAAAGCTGTAGTTTGATAAGTACAAGTCAGATAAAAAACGATTCTAGCACTCACGAGGTAACCTTCCCACAGTGGTCTGTCTGGTTGGGTGTCCAGCAGTGCCGACAAAAAAGTGCGATAATGGGAGACATAGCTCGCGGCCCATGGTCTTGAGCTTGATTCCACGTCTTCAAAAACGTCAGTTGTGAGCCACTATGAAAGACCCCTCGCGCACAATCTTCAAGAGAGTCCAACAAGAAACACGACAAAGTGTTGTACTTTGAGGGCTCTGCCTGCACACACGACTCTGTGGCAACACGCAGGGCCCGCTCGTATAATATTCGACAAGAATGGGCCCGCCGAGCGCCATACGCACGAAAATCGTTGCCAGGAATGAAAAAGACGGTATCGGCAAGGGACTCCGGCAGTTCTAGGTCGGAGCCAAGAATGTCTGGGTGGAAAGCCATCGTCGCAGCGACGGCACATATGCAATGGGCAAGGGCCGAAGCCTGCGGCTGCAGAAGATCAAGCCGCCAGGAGGCTGCAGTGAGGACTTTCTCGAACTGGAGGTCGAGGAACATGGCATGACAATGTTCAGCGAGTTTGGTAAAGCCTTGACTAGACAGTGAGACGAGTAAGTAGGAAGGTAGACAAACGTGCACACATTTGAATAGATGTTTCACGACTTCGGTATTGGACAGCAAAGCAACCGCTGGATCGGCAGGGGTGACAGAGAGTTGGGAGGAGGGTTCAGCTTTCTTGGGTCTGCCTCGTCGTACATACGTCGTTTTGCATCTTTCTCAAACACTGAGTTGCGAATGAGCGAACGATTGAAGACCACGCACAATATTTGCTTCTCTACACATCGGGGACAAGACTGGCCATCCGGCTAGGGGAACTGCATTCACTGGTCAGAAGAAGCTAAACACAAAAGAACTACCTGAGGATGGCAGAGGACTCGCTTGGCCTTGCAGGAGTCACAGGCCGGTAGCTTCTTTGAGCTCAAGTTGTCGTTGGAAGAGGGCATGATGGAATGTGATTGAAGCGGAATGACAAGCGCAGAATGATCGGAAATGGCTCACAAAAGTCACGGGAAAGATAAGATAACATGGTCCCAATAAAACCCTCATCCAGCCCGAAAACTACACGTCAAGGTATCTAATCAACATCTAAGGGATATATTTGAAGTAAATTGCCTAAAAATCCTCGATTTAGAGAGAATGAATGGCTTCAAACACACGAGCTACTCACCGAAGCGCCACCAAAGCGGTCAGAAAACGCTTGCACGTCTCCGGTTATCGCGATGGAAGTGGTTTGATCCACGTACATCAGGAACGTTGTTGGTTTGGCTAAGAAGGGAATATCATTATGGTTCGCGGTCTGCAAGGCTCAAGAGGCTTACTTCCATCGGTATTGACCCAGACCGGTTGGACGACCAGTGATGTGCGATCAAAGGACCACTGGGACATTTCAATCAGAAGGAATAATCAGCGCAACAGTGACGAACAATGGCAGATTCAGAGCTCGCGGGCGATGGGAAGGAGTTGGGGACGCTTTGAGGGGGAGCATTCGGAGACGCTGTCATGTTGTGTTAGAAAACAAATCCTCAAGAGACATCAAGGTTCGTACTCTGAGAAGTGCCTTGAACATATGCATAGCTGTTGGCGAGTGTTGATAAAATTACAAGTCAACGCCCGCTGACACTTACTTTGAGCTTCCAGATGCAAAGTCGTTCGAGTCAGACGCCACCCCAACGATACCTCCCATGAACGGATAAGTGGCAGCATATGTCGTTGTCTGACCCAACCGTATCAGGGGAAAGATGAAGAAGACAGTGCTACAAATTACGAACCGTGGCCTTGATATTCAGCTGACTTCCACTCTGCAGAGATGGGTCTAATTGAATGTCGAAGAGGATGGCGTTGGCTGGGTCGGCATCGATCACGAAAAGACCGTAGGCAGCATATGTTCCTTGGGTCTGTGAAACGTAACCCAACGGAGCGTTGGTGTTAGTGTTGAAGACTTGGATCACTCTTGACAACGGTGTTGGGGCCGGCCCGACGAATTCGAATGATTGGTCGGCTAAAGAATACGCGTCAGCTCAGCGCAAGTAAAAGCCTGAGGAAAGGCGGCTCACGGCAAGCTCCATTCGCTGCCTGCGCGCAAGTCGCAACTGGGTCACAACCTTGACGCGTCGAAACACAACCCGAGCCAGAAGCACGACCAGAAAACGGAGTCGAACCCGAGCATTTGACCACGCCCGTGTTGTAGTTGGTTTGGGTAGTCGTCCAGCCACAGCACGCGCCGCAGACGCCTCTCATCCCAGGCTGGCTAGCAAAACGACCAGACGGGGCACCATAACAGAAGTTCTGACCAGCGCCTACAATAAGATTAAGTCAAAAGCCATTAAGCGAGACGTTCATACGCACGGGGCTGATAGCTTCCGGCAGCGCATGGCGTTGAAGACGTGGCTCCATTGTTGGGGACATAGCTACCGTTCGTGGCGGGGATACACGAGGTCTGACCAGAGGCTGGGAGGGAGTATGAGTGAAAAGACGCATGGCGAGAAAGGAAGAAATCGTCACCTGGTTGGTACGTGCCGCTGTTGCATTGCTTCTTGCTCGCGCCAGCGGTAGCACAGTAGTTGCCGGGCTCGCAAGGAGTGCATACCCCAGCAGAGTTGGCGTAGCTTCCCGCAGCACAAGGCGCCGCACGAAGAAAGATGTCGTGGGCCCGATTGCTAGGAATGTCAGTCCTGATATAAGGCAGCTTAGCGAGAAGACACACTTGAAGGAGCCGTGCTCGCTGGCTGTGGCCGTCGTTACGACGGCCACAAGGGTGAAGAACGACGCGGCTTTGGAGGCGAACATTGCGCGGTGAACGAGGACTCGAGATGAGGGTAAGAGACAAGGAGGATTTGAGCTGGGGCGAGGTTTCTATACCATTCTGGAGACAGCGCGGATCGAGTCTCAGATCCAAGTTGAGGTGGACGCGTCAAGTCATGTTATCGTAGTAGTAGTAAGGGTCACATCGTGACATCTAGATAATTTCTGATCTCGTTTCGTTACAGATACTTACAGCCTGTAGAGGGCGTGTTTTCTCATAGAGGTTTCCTCACATATTATTGTAGGGTCCAAAACCATTCACTTAGAGATTTAAATTTCTGTTAACAATTGCCAGGGACCGGATTACTAGACTCTAGTACTTACTCGGCCTCAAGTTACTAGGCAGAGCCTACGAGCACGCGTCAGAATCATCTCACAAGCCCGTGCTGTCACTTCATCGCCAGTCCTTCGAGATCTGGGCCCATGAAAACCCTTCTCTATTCACTTACTATCTCACTCGTTGACTCCGGATTCATCTCGGCCAACCAGTCCTCGAGCGTAAGTTGTGCCCTCAAAGGGATTCCTTTCGGCATATCATACTCGTTCTCATCCTCCTCCTCTTCCAAGATTGCACCCATAATAATGCCAGAAGACCTGACAATATTATCCAAATCAGGCGTTGGTGAATCTTCTCTGTCGGTGGAATCGGTGGCGATAGAGCCATCCGGAAGGTCTTCGACGTCTTGCTCAATTTCCCGAACTACGAACAGTGTTTCGCCATTGTGCGAGACCCATGAACCCTGTCGGGCTGTTAGGGAATATTAAGAGTTGTTCATCAGAGTACAAACCTCCGTTTTCAACTCATTGAGCGACAGCCTCCGTAGCGCGACACTCTTCTTCATTATACGCTCAGCATTCTCAATGGTGGTCAAGCCTGCTCCGGCATAAATTTTGAGTACTGAAGTATGTAGACACGTCATTGTCGACACACGACGTTCGAATCCTTCCTGGTAAATGTGAGCTGGAAAGTATAAGAATACTTCTAAAACGCACAAAACCTGGCTGGTCCAACGCCGCAGAGAACTCTTCTAGGTGTTTGCATTTCTCGAGGAACAACGAGACAGCGTCGACGCTGACAAGCCAACCACCAAGATCGAGGGTATGGAGGGTTTCGTAGTTTGCGGAGGCAAGATCCTTCAGCAGGGTATCAAAGGTCCTAGGCGCTAAAGAAGACTCTTCGTATTCGTCGCAACATAGTTTGACGTGTTCGATAGGTGCACCAGTGATCACACGACAAACCCAGTTACAGAAACGGTCCATGTTCTCGGCATGGCCAATATAATTATAAAGGACGGTTAGAGAGCGCAATTGACGCATTTCGAGTTCGTTCGCTGGCCGTTTATATTGCTAGATGTCTTCAATGTTAGCACGGGGAAGAGGGGAAAGCACCAAATCATACCAGATAATGTTGCAGTTGCGCACTCTTTAGATTGGGGAGACTTCCCAGAAATTCGAGCAGATCGTCGTCAATAATGGAGTATGATAGTCCCAAAGCTATTGCTGTGACGTTTTGTAGCAATGGAACAAGCTGGCGAAGAACTCCCGGAGTTACAGAGCCGCAATTACTCTTCAATATCAGATTAATCGTAGGACGCGGATAGAGATAAAGAAGCTTACGGTGAGATGGAGTTCCGTGAGTTGATCCATCTTCGTGAGCCAGTCTGGCAGAATATTCAAAATGGCTCGTGTTGGACTTCGCAGTTCCAAGACGCGCAAGCGAACCAGGTTGGCAAGAATAGCAGAATCTGCCTCACTCATGCAGGATGAGTTGACCCTTAATATCTGGAGAGACGAGAGTTCAAGCGCTTGTTGAAGAATTGGTGTGAAGAAATCATCGGGATATATATCCGGGACAAGTTCTAAGGTTTTCAGGTTGACAAATGCCTTGATAGCGGCCAGCAACGTCTCTGCAATCGGAAAAGATGCCACCACATTCTCTAACAAAAGGCCTCCAGAAGAAAGTCAGTCGTGGGTTAAAGAAGATGATGCTACACACCTTGAACGCTGAACGAGTGAACGAATGGTGCGTAACAATGCAGTGTTGCTGAGAGCAGACGGTCGAGTATGCCAGTTGTTTGGCCCTAGCTCCTTAATGTTAGTTTGCTGTTGCGATGTTTGTTGAGATCGTTTTACATATTTTGGTCGCAGGACAACTTGTGAATAGAGAATACTTGCTGTCGCCCGCTTGAATTGGCTGTTCGTCAGCAAGCATTTGAGCAACGTTGTGCGATCTTCGCTAATGTGATCCAAGACCAAAGGAAGGAGATCTAGAGGCAGCATTTTGGTTGTTGTGGGCGTTCTGCAAAGAAAGGCACGGCTGTCACACGAACCCATCACGCTAGGTTGCTCAGGGTTGCTCTTTGCCTCCATGTCCTTGCCCAATCCCCTCCGTCCTTCCACCCAGCAGCCCCCCGCGACACATGGAAAATCCCCTTTTCGGCCTCTCACCAATCTGAATGAGCGAAATCATGAGCCCACCAAACTATCCAACCTCTCGCAGAAGAATCGAGTCAACAACAACAGCGCAACGATGACCCCAAACGTTTATTCCCCACTCCCATCCTTCTCGCCACCAGTCTTGGACCTTCCAGCCTCACGCGCTTTGACACGCCCGACGACAACCACGACCAGTCGCTCAAACAAGGAAAACCTCTCAATGACAGTGACGTCGATCTGTCGTGGCAATCGCGTTTTTCTGAGGCTGACGCCGCGGCGAGCCGACCCCGAATTCTCAAGCAACCATGAAGTCGCCTCAGAGCACAGCAAGAAGACCGACAATCAGGATGTCTCGACCCCGTCTGTGAAATCGCTTGACACTGCTCGATCATCTGCGTCAGAGAACCCAGACGTCTTCGTCAACCTTTGGTCAATTGCTAAGCCCTCATCTTCTGAGCTCGCTGAACTCAACAAACTACCTCCCATCGTGCCATTCCGTCCAACGTCATCTATCCGGTCGCATTCGTCTCCGTCTTCCCGCCGAAACTCTTCCTCCAATCACAGCCTCGAAACGACAGATGCTGCTTCTCGACTCCCCGAAACCTTTGTGCTCGATTCTCCGGTCCGTCTTCTCCGACAAGCACCCACAGATTTTGAGCCAGTGACCCCAAGCCGTGGAATCAATCAGGCCGACATTCTTAGCCCCCTTCCCTGGATGCGTGAAAATCCCTGGCTAGTGGATCCTTGCTTGCTAGACAGTCCAATATTCGAACGGAAACTCACCTCAAAGAGATCTGCTGAAGAAGCTTTTGCGTCGGACACTCCGATTTCGAGTTCTACCTCCTCCAAGATACCGCGTTTATTTGGTCCAAGTCATTCGGATTCGTTTTCTCCACAAGACACAAATAATTTGGTCCGCAGCGCTCCGCCTACCAGTGAGTATCTCGCGACACGATAACTACTGATCAAATATTCATTCAGTGTGCGAAGAGTCTCCATTCTTGTGAAGATCTTTTATCTCCTTACCATTTGACCTTATCGCCATGCCCCTTTCTATTTGTACTTCCACACCTACTCCTTCCTGGACGTTGTTCTGCCTTGCTTAGACTGGATATTTAAGTTCGCCTTGTTTAGTGTACAAGTACGTTGGCAAATTCCTACATTTTCCGGCTTATGATAACGCTCGGTTTGCGCTATTCGTTGGCTTGCCTTCGAATCGAAGCTAGAATAAAAACTGCTCAAAGTGGATAACCCTAACCCTAAAACTCCAGTTAACCTTCGGCTGTCACTTCCCAGTCACATCGACCAACTTGTTTCGTGCTTTCTTCTGGGTTCAAGAGTTGCTCTCTCCAACGTTGATTATGTCTAGACCAGGCCATCTTCGTACATTTCACGTCCCGCCCACCAGTGCGCCTTTCAAAGGATCCCCCCTCGCCCGCTCTCTTCATCCTGCATTCGACATCAACGATGCCACTTCAATGAAAAGCACCACCTCCACCACCACGCCTTTGATGGAAAACGTATACCGTGTAGCTCCCCGCCACCCGCCCGCTGTTTTCAATCCACGTACGATGTCCAACAACCCCGCGACCACATTGCTTCCATCTCGCTTGCCAACCGCGACGCCAACCTCATCCCATTACCCAGACCCAAACGGAGAGAACATGTCAATTTCCCACCAGTCCTCGTCTCTGCGTGGCCAAAGTGTCAAGTCTGCGCCAAAGCGAGTCGAGCGGCGTCCCCTGAACGACGAAGATATTCTGCAACAGCTCATGGATGTCCTCCACACCTCTGCTTCATCGCTGGCCGCCGCGGACCCGGATGTCTTTGTCAATCTCTGGTCAGTTTCGCAGCCTACACTTGTTGAACTCTTCGAACTCTCCCAACTGCCTCCTCGCTCGTCACCTCCGCGCTCGCAGTCGCCTTCATTTCAACCCAAGAGCCCTTCTCGCCACCATAACCTCGATTCTGCTTCTCAACTCCCCAAACCCTCTGTCTTGGGCTCCCCCGTGCGTTTACTCCGACAGACACCAACAGATTTCGAGCCAGTGACCCCGAGCCGCGGTATCGATCCAGCGAAAATTCTCAGCCCCCTCCCTTGGATGCGTGAAAATCCCTGGCTAGTCGATCCTGGGCTGCTCGATAGTCCAATATTCGAACGGCGACTCACCTCCAAGAGATCTGCTCATGAAGCGTTTGCGTCGGACACTAGCCTTGATTCCCTGAAGATGCCACGTTTGTCCTTTGAAACTCCACTGCGCCGACCACGGAAACATCAATCATCAGTTCGCAGAAAGACACGAACTCGTGAGTCGTTCTGCAACATTTTCTTGTTCATTGTTGATCATTCATGCGGCATAGCGTACACTAGCACGAATCCAAGCCCTTCCCTTCGCCTTGACTTGTAATCCTTGGTTCTTTCTGCACTGTTTTCTTATAGATATGTATTACAATTCGCATCCACATTTCTAGCTTGCTGCAATTCCATGTCTGTGACGCGTTATTGATGCGCCGATCTTTTTTGTCATGAACTCTGAGTCCCGTCAACAAACTACTCGAAACGAATGCCCATGCGCCTTCTTCAATGACGGCCACGTCGTTTATCGCACGGATGTTGAGCAACGGCCCATCCAACCAGAGCACAAGTTCGATTTCGAGTCTGGGGAACCCCAATATCCTTTGCTGACCGGGTTCGGCCGAGGTGCATTTCCCGAGGCTTGGGAGGCGCAGGGCGGGGCCATCCGTGCTGAGACTTCCCGGATCCTCACAAAATGCCGGGTGGATGTTAACGCGCTGCATCCCGCCTCCTATCGACACGAACATGCGACGCCACCTGCACCCCAAGAGCTGACGACACCAACCACCTATCTCTTCATCGGCGTTCGCACAGACTCGTGTCGCGCGGGGCCGGAAAGGGACAATGCTGTCCGAGCCGCTGATTCAATTCATGCACTGTTGCTGGAGAAGGGCTTCGATGTTCCTTGCTTGGTTTGCGAGAATACCACTTGGCCGTAAGCCTAACAATCTGTCATTTGGACAACTCGAATCGAAATTCACTACTAGTAGTACTGTATTTGCGAGTGCTAATCTGCAACGACGACAAAAGCTACTGAATACTAAACCTCCGACGGATTGGCTTCCCTCCACTCAGCCAAAACCTCCATGTAGTCCGCAACCCCGCGATACGCGTAGGTCATAAACAACGACCTCAACAGTTCTTCGTTGTTTTCGATTTGGTTAACTTCTTCGAAAGCAGCTCTGTAATCAGGCCACAATTTCCTTAATTTGGCATCCCAGAGGTCGAAAAGAGATGCACATTTGCACAAGAAGCCGCCGTAATTCCTGATATCTGCGGGGGCGGGGCGAAGGGTCATAACTGTGGCCTTCACTCCATCTTTACTGTTGTTAGTGCTCAACTGATTTCGCAATACTTCAAGTCTCTCTCCTTTGGGAGTTGGGTGGAAAACCGCTGCCCATTGAGTCACATAGAAGTGGGCATAGAGGTCATCGACAGGGCTATGGAGATATGGCTTCTTGGAAGCGAACACTGTCACGAGCTCCGGGGACATGAATTCGATTGTACCCTAGGAAAATTTTCTCATAAGCACATAGAGCTGAGTTTGTATAAGCGCATACCGAACGCGACACATTTCGTGCAGCATTGAATTCATGCCACTTCACAGCGTTGTCACCATCAATTGCAACTGCGGATGATTTCGTCCCCACAGCCAGTACTTGCATAAACTTTCTGATCCGTTCTGCTTGCGGTTTATGGTCGTGATCCTTTGGTTCAAGCTGCGTCAACGACGTTTCGATCTCCTCTAGGCTCTTGTTGCCTTTAAGCAAGGCATCATCGATCTCAAAGGGAGGCATTTCTTCTGCGGCTTCGAGGGCAAGTAAATTCCCGATACTAGGGTCACGATGGAGGAAGCCGTTCTGAAACATCGAAAGCCATCCTAGAAGCGTCTGAGTTCTCATAACAAAAGACTCAAGAGGGAGACTCATACCAAGCATCACATGAAGAACAGATGTGAAAAGGGATGACGGACTCTCGCAGAGGACGAGAGATCTACCTTTGAGATCGGAAAGATGGAGTGAAAGGCTGCAGTATTCTGGCATGGGTGCGATTTTCTTTGATTTCTGATTTTTCGTCTTTGATGCAGTCGGCGTGGATAGGTGGAAGACATCCCAATGAAAGTCATCCCAGTTTTGCTCTGGAGTTGGAAGGAACAAATGATTCGTGCTGGGGGCACCAGTTTCGTCTGCCGGGAGAATCGAATAATGGTGTCGCGAGCAGCCAAACAAGTTTCCGCAAACATTCATCAGTTCCATTTCAATGCTCTTCCAGTCAGGGTGGTCTTTGGCCCAGGTAGCTTTGAGCACTACACATTTATCTTTGACTTGATTGTCAAGACCCTTGGTGAACGTGTGACTGTGAACATTGAGATTTTTTAGGGGATAGCGAGGAAGCCCCGGGCGAAAGACAGATTTAGATGGTTTAGCTTCAGGCGAATCAGCCTCTGAAGTTTACAGTTAGCACGACAGTACTATTAGGTGCGCATTAGGGTCGACTTACGATTACCGCCAGCAGAACTCGAAGACCCGGAATCACCGTGACCCTTATCTGGATTGTATGAGCAAATCATTTCTGGGATCACTCAGACGGCTCTAAGTACCTGATGCCATGGCATTGGATGTCGGAGAGTGGGCTAATCCAGACTGTTGAGGATTTTGAGTTGCGGTTTGAGCCTCACGTGGTGTCCCTTTTTAAATGTGGATTTGCGGATCTGAGTACTCGAGAATCACTTTCGGGAGCAGTGTGAAGCCAGTGTTGTGCGGTTCCAGTAGTTGGCGAAGATTCTGAAGTAAGATTCGCCGGCGGCCAACTGTATGTCAGACTATACACCTGTGTAGCTCGCCCGCGACAGCAAGTATCGCTGTGGAGAACATCTTTGATACTAGCATCGACATATTCACTGACTTGGCGCGCGTTGTTGATCGAGACTGGAAGTCGAACACGAGGCCCATCGCACCACTCCACATATCCATGGGCGGACGGCGTGTTACAAGTGAGGACCGCCATGATGATCTTTAGACAATCGTCCCGACCAGCGTCATCGAATATGTTGAGTGGAGGAGAGCAGGTCAAGCCACCTCTATGGAAGATCAGGAAACGAAGCTTCCCAGTTGCTTGGTTGTATCCCATAGCCAAAACCCATGTGAGAAGTGGAAATGCAGAAAAGGCGGCGCGCCCATAGGTTGCCGCCTGACGAATTAGTTCTGTCCACTCATTCTTTACCTCGACAACAATTTGAATTTGTATATCCTTGGAATCGAGGCGATTCCAAACAAGACGGATGCCATCTCGGACACGGATTTTCGCACTATCATGGCCAGTGTTCTTCGGAACAAGTACTATGTCAGGCTGTAATGGTGCCTCCTTTAGAACGCCGTCCGCAGTTGGCCGCGCATACACCAAAAACTTCGAGTTGGTGTAGGAGAACTCTGAGTCGGATTTGCTTATTATTTTTGCCTTTGTGAGAGAATTCATTCCGTGTGTGAGGCAAAGATTAAGGAATTTAGCAAGCGGCGTGTAGTGGACCATCCCCTCCGGTTTCCCAGTGACGCTGGAGAGAGTCGCAGCTATAGCTTCGAATTCTTGTCGCAGTTTTTCCCGCGCTTGCGTGAGCGCGCTAGCAAAGTTTGGGCTGTCACATTCGACGTCGTAGAAGTCCATTCGGTCCAATTCTGTCATCAATGCGCCGCCCGCTTTCAAGTGGTCCCGCTTCTGTTGAATCCTTGGCTCGGGTAGTCTTGTCTTCCGACTCAGCATTCGCGTCACGTCACGCACTGGAAATTGCCAGACATTCATGCCAAGCTCGGTGCCCATCTTAAATTTTCGTTCTTTCTGTGAATCAGGAGCAGCAGAACCGTGATCACTCGTAGGGGGGCGGCTGCGGTCAACTGGAGTTGACGGTCTTGAGTGACCTGGTGTGACTCCGCCGGTGTGACTCTGTGTCACACCAGGGACGGGGTGTTTGTTTGAGGTCACCATTTGCTAGTTAGATATTCTTGCAAGTGGAAGGAACTGGGGGAAATAACTCGAGAGAGTTGGTCCCTCGGTCTACAGACGAGGGTCTTATATAGTCCTGGAAGGTCTGAATCATCAGTCTGGCACAAGCCTGCAGCCTGAGAATTACACTGGCATTCCGACTCACTGTACATGCCCACCCAGCAATCGAATCCACACTTAATACGCACTGCCTGACGAGTCATAGTGCAAGACTGGGACATCAGTTATGGCCGTCGTGAGAACTCGAAGTTCAAGTTCAAGCCATCGGCGAGGTCCAGATTGAAAAGAGATTTCTTTTTTATTTGCCATTGAAGGCCGGTTAATGTTCACAGTAGCACTGGCATACGGAGAGGCTCCTAAATATCCGAAGCATCGTAAATATTACAGAAAGTCTCATCATGATTGTACCAATACACCTTTGTGAACTCGTTGCCAGTACTAGTAAATCCTTGATTTCTTTTGCCAACACCTCAGGCTCTGCATCTGAGATCCAGAGCGAGAGACCATATGTAGACAAGAAGTCACAGATCCCGATTTTACAACGATGTACTCGCTTCTTTACTTGACTTGACGACACACACAAACGCCGGCGCATGCACACACACACACAGACACTGCCAGTGGTACACGCGACATGAGCTATCACATTGGGTGTTTGATTAGATCCTCAGCTTCTTCACACTTGCCATGTTTTGGACAAGCTGGTCAGTCTTGGTCCTTGTGCCTATACACCGCGATAACGATTTGGAATGTTTAAGATTCCATCACGGAGGGTGTGGGTGGGAAATAATAATAAGTATTGCAGCCGTGAGGACTCAGGCCCGGAACACTGAGTGATTTCGCGCTGGACAAGTTCAGTCAGTACGCCAGCCTCTTCCAGTGCGATTGACCGTGAGTGACGACCAAAAGAGTTCTCTACGTTATCTTCGACATCCAGGATTCTGCTGTGGCGCACATCGAGTCGGTAGTGAAATTGTCTCTCGACGTCGAAGAGAGACACGCATTTGCACAGGAAATCGCCGCGATCTCGGCCAGAGCCTCTGATTAGATATGCCGAAACGCTTTCTATCGGGTGTGAACGATCTCTCCAGGTCAAGTTAAGGATTTTGTGGAGAACCTATTATGCCATAGAATCAGAGAAAGAGCGCTTATTCGGGTCAACCGCCCGAGAAGAGTGAAGATATGGGCTCTTAGAGTCAGAGATGACCACATGGGGCTGCAGCCTGAGTGCAGTGAATTGCAATCAACTTGTACCTCGAACCATCAATTGAACCATTGAGTACACAAAACGAGGCAGATGTTAGTACGTACTGTACACAACAAACTTTCAAGTTGTGGAGTCTTGAATCAAGTCGACATCGCCAGATTCCAACTAACATGCGAGGCTCGGAAAATATCGAAGTACTGAGCGTCAGATCATGCACGAGGGATGGCCTTGATCATGACACCCCGAAGCTCCTCGGCGCCTGTTATTGGTAAAACGCCGTTGATGTCTGATATCGTGGTTCGCCCACCTTCAAGTTGATGAGACCAGGACAATTCTTCATGTTGATGCTAATATCGCCAAGTTATTCCTTGAACATGGGGGATAATAATAACACATACCTAGTACCCCTGGGGATTCAAGACTACGAACTTGAAGTTCCTATTCTGACGAGTAGTAGTGTTGGCGTGAGATCTATTGAGATTTGAAAGATCAGATCTCAACTCGGAAGCAGAGAGCGCTCAGGCCTCACGGCACAGTGAGATCCAAAGATTCAGAATCTCTTGTCAGAGATGCGGTGTTTCCCCACAATGTACTCACTTCGAATTCTTCACTTTCGGCGAGAGAAAACCTGCAACATCTAGCAGCGCATCGACCAATAGTTTGATTCGTCTTGTTTTCGGCAGTGTTGAGATTCGGAATGTTTGGCCACGAGTCCGCTTTCCGTCGCGGAGGGTGTGGGTGAGATTGGGATGCTCGAGAAACTTCAAGTCGAGTCCTGTCATTGAGTAGGATAACCCGCGTTATTCAGTCGCTCCACGATGCGAATCGACCATGAATTGACTATTTGATGGGCTTTCTGGATTATGCCACCCTGAGATTCGGGAATTAACAAAGCAAGAGAAGGCACTCGGAACTGGTTTGGTCCAAAGACTCACAGGCTTTGTCTCCCGCAGTCAGACTGTGAATTTGGTCTGAGGCTGGCCACAGGCTGGCAGTGACGACGTCAACATCTCCGAAACATCCTGGTTGCTTTCTTCAATGGCAGCCGCGTCGTTTATCGCCCGACATGGCCCAGTTAAACGGCCTATCCAACCAGAACGTCTCTTCACTGGTATCGGTTCGTGTGAACTCGTGTAGCGCTAGGCGGACAAGTCATTGTTGGAAGGCTGTGTTCCTTGCTTTGGTTTGGCGAGAATACCACTTCCATCAAGTTGGCCATACACCGGATAGTTTGTTGTTTGGACAAAGCGAACTTCAGTCGGAATTCACTGTATTTACGAATACTGCAACAACGACGAGTGCGCGATTCAACGCTACTTAAACCTCCGTAGGATTGGTTTTCGTCCACTCAGCCAAAACCGCCATGTAGTCCGCAACCCCACGAGACGCGTATGCCATAAACAACGACCTCTTCAGTTCTTCGTTGTTTTCGACGTGGTCAACTTCGCGGAATGCAATTCTGTACTCTCTCCACAATTTCCTTATTTTGGCATCCCAGAGCTCGAAAAGAGATGCGCATGTGCACAAGAAGCCGCCGAAATTCTCAATATCTGCAGGGGCGACGCAAAGGGTCGTGACCATAGTCTTCACTCCATCTCTACTGTTGTTAGTGCTCAATTGCGTTCGCAATGCGTCAAGTTTCTCTCCCTTGAAAGTACCAGTAGTTGGATGGAAGACCGCTGCCCATTGAGCCACGTAGAAGTGGGCATAAAAGTCATCGACAGGGCTATGAAGATATGGTTCCTTGGAGGCAAACACTGTTGTGAGTCCTGGGGACATGAAGTTGACTGTATCCTGCAAAGATTGCCTCGTAAGCATATTGAACTTAGAGGGAACAATGGTGCATACCAAACGTGACGCCATTCGTGGACTGTTGAACCCAATACATTTGGTCTTATTCAAGTCGGCGCCCAGGGTGAAACCCACGTCGAGTTTCCGAGTGAGCTTTTCTGCTTGCGCTGTATGGTCATGGTCCCATCGGTTAAGATGCTTACGAACGTTTTGGATTTTCGCGTTGATTTCTTGATTGGTGGCGGACACGCAGTCTCCGTTTTCATCTGCCAGAACGAGCAGATACCTTGAGCTTACGTGGAATAAAGGGCAGTCAAATAACACACCTAGCCTGCGCCTATTCTTCCACTGAACTCCAATGTTGTTCCAATCAGGGTCGTCCTTGGCTTTCCGCACGACGCCTCGCTCTTCCTGGAGGCTGGTTTCGCTTTGGGCCTCGAGATTTTGGACATCAACGTGAGTGTTCCTCCGCGCGTTGAATTTTCTACTCGGCCAACGATTAATTGCATGATAATTTGGAATTGTGGAGAGCGCCGGAGACGGGAGACGAGTGGGGGGTGTAGCAGCTTCGAGGATACCATCGCCGCCAAATATAGGTGTCCCGTCATTCAACATATCATCCATATTCCCGCGGTGCTTCGTCTACCTCGTCTTGTTTGGTTTGTGAGGAAAGCAACCAGCCACTCCAGGACAGAATTCTTCCCTATGTGCGGTTAGCAAACAGCAGCAATGAATGCACAACGCAAACCTAACGCGCGACAAAGGCATGGAGGAGTTCAGGCCGGTGAACGTCTTGAAATCCGGAACTCGGTAGGGAAACAATGATGTGTTTTACTGGATGCGAGTGCTTGCAAGGGAAGAGCCATAATAAAGACAAACAGGCAGCCGCACAATGTCGGTGGGTTTTGGGCCTTGAGTCTGGGTTTAGATTTATTTGACCTATGCACACGCCACATATTTTATGGCCTGTCGCCGTAGTAGAGCTTAGACTTCGGAAAAGCCATCGAGTTGTTGGAAGAATTTGCGCGCGTCACGTGGTGATCTAGTTTGCGAGGAAAAGTTGCTTTCCAAAGCCCAATCAAAATGTATTTGCGAGTAGTACTAATTTGCAACAACGACCATGTCAACGATACTAATCCTCAGGCTCAGGCTCCGACTCGACGTCAGACAAATCATCATCCTTCGTCAACCGCCACTCAGCCAAGACCTCCATGTAGTCGGCAACTCCACGGTACGCGTAAGTCATAAACAACGACTTCAAGAGCTCTTCGTTGTTTTTGTTCAGGTCTGTGACTTTGTAGATTGCTCCTCTGTAGTCTGTGTCCAACGTGCTTAATCTGGCCTTCCAAGCTTTGAACAGAGATCCACATTCGCACAAGAAGCTGCCATATTTCACGACATCTGGGGCATGAACGGCAAGGCCACTGATTTTATCCGTCGCTGCAGCTTGCTGGGTGCTTAACTCTGTTCGTAATCGATTCAAGCTGATCGAGTCGACATCATGTTCCGCCGGCAGTCGGTGAAACACCGCTGCCCACTGAGCGACGAAGAAGTGAGAGTAAATGTCGTCGACAGGGGAATGAAGATATGGTTGACGGGAAGTGAAAGCTCCGCTCAGTTCAAGGGACATGAATTCGATTGTGGCCTATAGTTTGACGGCGTGAGCACATTGAACTTGGAGGGAACAATGGCACACACCAAACGCAATGCGTTTCGCGGGCCTTTCAACTGATACCACTTGAACGCGTCGTCCGCATCCATAGTCAATCCAGCATTGAACATCCCAATGAGCTTTTTGACGCGTGCCGCTTGTGCCGCATGGTCATGGTCCCTCCGTCTGAGAGGTTTCGGAACGTCTGCAATGACATACTTGCCAGTGAGTGGTATAAATGGCAGTCAAGCAAACACACCTAGCCTGCATCTCCCATTCCTCCACTCGATTCCGATGCTCTTCCGTTCGGGATCGTTCTTAGCTATACGCACTACGCCTTGCTCTTTGACAGGGTCTTGGAGAGTAGTTTCGTTCAAGCCTTTTTGCGTCTCGCGATGTTCAATGGGATAAACAGCAGTCCCGTCTTGCAACATGTCACCCAAAGCTTCGTCCGCCTCGTCTTTAAAGCAGTCAGCCCTCTGAAACAAACAGGATTCTTCGCTTTGTGAGGCTCGTGAACAGTAGCTGCGCGGAATGCACAAGGCAAACTCGATACACGAGAAAAGCGTGTACAAGTTGAGGCCGGTGGTTACCTGGAGGTCCGGAGCTCAGTAAGAAGATGATATCGTTCAGCATCCTTTGATTCTTGCAAGGGAAAAACCATTATGTAGCCTCCAGCTGAAGTCCGAACTCAACATTGAAGTCGAGGTTCCACAAAGCCAAGGATGAAGTGGGTGTTGATGGCCGAGTGTTTTGACCGAGGAAGATCATATTGTAGGGCCTGTCCTCGTTGAGGCTGCGAAAAAAACCATCGTCAATCAGGTTATTGGAAGAATTTGTGCGCGTCACGTGTTGATGGAAGGCTTGAGTGGACTCCCGTTCATATCCTGCTAAGTAGCACACCGTTTGTCGTAGTGTGATTTGATCAAGGGCACGAGCGTCAGAGTGTTGTTCGGCGGAACGATGAAGAGCGAAAGTTGGATTCTGAACTCAGGCAGCAAATAACTACAACAACAACGAACTTCAAAGAGGCCATATACAAGCAATCAGGCGGATTGACTTTCCTTCCATTCCGCCAAGACCTCCATGTAGTCGGCAACTCCGCGAAAAGCGTAAGTGATGAACAACGACTTCAGGGGCTCTTCGTTGTCGGAGATGTACCGCAGTGCGTATTTGTAGCTGCGTCTCATATTGGATATCTTGTCGTCCCAGCTTAGAAAGAGAGGCCCGCATTTGCAGAGGAAGCCACCGTAGTCCTCAAAATCTTGTGATCCGGGCCTATAGCAAAGGTCCTTGATTGTGCCCGTCGCTATCTCTCTGTGGGTGTTGAACTGTGTTCGCAAATCCCCGATGAATATGCCGGTGGAATTGTGATGTACCGCGGCCCATTGAGCGACAAAAAAGCAAGCGTAGAGGTCGTCCACAGGTGAACGAAGATGTGTTCTTTTGAAGGTGATCGCGTCCGTGAGTTGGGCCGAAATGAATTCGATTGTGCCCTAGAAATTTGTTGGTGAGCGTATGGATAAGGTGCACGATAAATGCTTACTGAACGCGACGCCTTCTGCGGCGCATTGGATTCAAACCACTTCGCCGCCTCGTCGTCATCGATGCCGATTAGAATCCCAGTCGCTTGTGTCCCCACATCCAAAATCCGAATGAGTTTTTCGACGCGTTCTGCTTGCGCCCGATAGTCATGGTCCTCCCGTCTGAGGTCCGCGGGAAATTCGATATCTTTCATGCTCGAACCGTGTGCAAGCAAGGTATGATTGATCTCGAAGGGAGGTATTTCGACTGCTGTTTCGAGGGCAAGCATGTTGTTGATGCTAGGGTCACGATGGAGAAAGCCTTTCTGGAACATCGAGAGCCAACCTGGGAGTATATTGACTATTGTCATATCGAACGCAACGGAAGGACATACCGAGCATCGCATGACGAATTGACGTGAAAAGAGACGACGGAGTTTCGCAGAGGACGAGAGATCGACCTTGGATTTCGGGAAGACGGAGAGAAATGCCGCGGTATGCTGGCTGGGGCTTGGGCTTGGAGATGTTCCAATGAAATTCGTCCCTGTTCTGCTCGGATGCGGGAAGGTATAGATGGTTCGTGTTGTAGACATCGTCTCCGTCTGCTGGGGAAATCGAATAACAGTGCCGAGGGCAGTCAAATGAGTCGCGGCAAACGTCCTTCGGCTTCATTTCAATGCTCTTCCCGTCAGGGTCGCCTTTGACCCAGGTATCGTTCAGCGCTAAGCTCCCCTCAGTATGGCCCCGCAAGCACAACCCGTCTTCGACATGATAAGGTGTGGATTGCTTCATCCTCCGTTCCACGATCTGCGAAGAGTCCATAACCGCTTCAAGTCGTGGGGTACATTTGGTCTGCGGAAAAAGCAGCCGGCAGGTTCGAGACGAGTCGAGTGACTTTCTTCTGGCTGCATCAGCCTGAGCTTGGCAAGCACTACGAGGAATTAACGCGTGCGACAAGCGTGGCGAAGGCCAGGCCGGGTTGTATGCCCACCTTGAGGTCCAGGGCATCGATAAAATTGTCATTCTGTCCAACGGCCATCGAAAGAACTTGGAGTTGGATCTTGCATCGATTTTCAGGAAAGTCGAGGTTGTGGCAAAGACAATTGGGATCTAGAGAGTTGGATTATATTATACTGCGATGGAGAAGCGGCTCTTCGCAGAGTTGAAGCCATGGGAAGTAGTTGGGTCAAAAAATGAGTTGTGGGAACACAGGCGGATGACCAATCAACACTGCAAGTTCGGACCTGTGCTTGGCGTGGGCGGGCCGATATCGCATCAAGGCGGAGAGTTAGGGACGCAGTTTCGACGTGTACGGTAGCCAGAAGAGCAGGAGGCAGAATATTGAATTTGATAATGAGATGGTCAACACCGCTGAATGGTCGGTGAGTAGTCTAAGCATTTGAGTTGCGCCAAAGTGCAACGAAAGCTTTTTGAGCTCGTCTTCTTGTCCGCTCGGACAACAGTGCCATTATCACTACAACATACTACATATACTGGTTCTGGTATTCTATCTATTATGAAGAGTTACTCGTGGTTAGTTCAAAAAAAACAGCCTAATATATCTCTATTCCCGTCGCTTTGTTTTTGAGATGTTTCGCAACTGCCATTTCCGCGGTGGATTGCGGACCCCACCGCCAATGCATTGGCTTGTAAACCCAACCATCTTCCTCTCCAAGCTTTGTCATTGCCGATACTGCATCTTCCTCTGAAGCGGATGAACGTGAACTTGCTCCGGCTTGATCAACACTTCCTTCAGCACCATCCCCTCCTTGAGCGGCATCATGACCAGTATCGCCTGCATCGTTCCCTCCAGGGCGTCTAGCACGGCTGCCACCACCACCACTGCTGCCCCCATTTCCAGCCGCATCGTCACCGCCATCACGTCCAGCATCTCTTTCGTCATCACCTCCACCACGGCCTCCTGGGTTGTTTCCAAGGTCTTTCGTCAGAGTTCCAGGCTGGCCAACAAACCGAGGCTCCGCATCTGCATCACTAACATAGTCGTCTGCCATGGTTGGAGTTGGAAGGCTGACTTTGAGTTGTAGCGGCCGCAAATGGAGGCTTGATTGGGTTGCGCGTTCATATTGCACAACGCTTCTGATTGCATCGATGTATCGCCAAACTGCAGAACTGAACGTGTTGGGTTCGGGTTGATAATCACCGTTGTTGACAGTGTAGAACAGCAAGGCCAGGATATTGAGGAAATCGACTCCTGGCAGATGCCACAGTCGATTTTGATGATGCTCGTCGTCGAAGTTGACGCGGTCCATGGGATCCGCGCCGTCACCATCCGCTAAGCGATATTTCGCATGCTTGATATGGGTCGAAAATACATTGAAGTGCTTCAAAGGCTGTCCTTGTGGTCGCAAAACCTGGGGAGCCTCTTGGGAGGTGGGTCGGCGAAGACGCGGTAGGTATTCAGGAGAGAGTTTCAAGCAGTGATATAGGTGCCCGAAGTTTCCGAAGTTCTCGGTAATCCAGACACCCATAAGCGGACGCTCTTGGTATGGGATCGCTAGCCACTCGGTAGCGATAGCCTTCACGATCTTCAGTGGGGGGGTATATGTGAAGAAACCGTGGTCGAGTTGATGATGACATGTGAGGCACACTGAGGACCGTGAATACTAATAATCAGTCGAAGGCTACGCACTATAAAGCCCATTGGTGGCAGCGGTGGGGTCGAGGTCGTTCGACATCAGCCTCAGCTTTCTTGCCAACGAGTTCTGCAAAGAGGATCAACTTTGTATCCAACTCAAAGAGATATCAACGGGCCTGTTTCTTCGAGATGGACACATTTGCGTTCACCAGGTGAGTCGTTTGACCGTGCTCGCCGACGACGACGAGACATTGGGGACAAAGCCCCTCCCCAGAAGCTTTGATTTTTCGGCTTGCTGCATTCGTAAATCCCAGGCGGACAGAGTGAGTCTTGCTTTTCTTATAATTATTGGGTTCTGAGCTTTCCTCAGAATACTCGGCTGACGCTTGACGTTTTACACCTTGACCAGCACTCCCGCCTCGTTGTGATTCTCCTGAGTCCAAAGGGCGGAAATTCTGCTCGCTAGCTTTCGGAAGGCTCGGTTCTGTTGTGGGCCCAAGTGTGGGCCTCAGGCTCCGTTTTGGGTCAGACCTATTGGTGGGCGTTGGCATCAAGTTCGATTCAGCGCAGATCGTTCTACGTCATCAGATGCTTAGATTGTACTAAGTTCCCAGCATGCATGCGCCCTCATAATCATTAAATTACTGCGAGTTCGCGTATGTACCAATAAGCTGTATCTACATGCAAAAAAGTGTGCGATTAAGTGACCAAATGTGTTTCCGCGCCAGTGCAAATAGGTATGGACGTATCCACAGAACGAAAAGAATGCATGCAAAGAAAAAAAAATGCGATAAAACAGAAAGCAAAAAAAGGACCAAATAAGTAGAACCTCTACCGAATGGCATCCGCGATGATGCCACCCTCTCGCCCGCCCGCGACCAAAACCGCGAGCCACCCAAAGAAGCTCATCAAGAACCGCACAAGCCAGGCGCCGTCTGCCCCGATGCCGAATCCGGGCCGGAGTTGCATTGCCAGTGCAGCATCCAGCGGGGAGCGTCGGCGCACAAAGGCAGCTACCAGCGAAGTCGGAGCAGGAGGGGCTGGCTTCGAGGCTACGGCTAATTCAGCGGGCAAGTCAGCTTCTGGTGCCGTTTCCGACAAGACAGCTTCCTTCAAGTTTTGAGAGGAGGCCTTGCGTCGTTGGCGAAGAAGCGAAACGCCATCATTCGCGTCTGGCACCAGAGGATCGAGTGCCTCAGAATCTTCTGTGGCCACCGTAATTGCAGACACAAGCTCTCGCTCCAGAACCATAGGGCTCAATGGAGGGGATTGCGTGTCGATGCGAAGATCAGGAACTGGCGCCAGCGTCACCACCGGCGGGAGCGGCAATGGCAGCTCCTCCGGGTCTGGTACACTCTCTTCCAGAATTAGTGGCAAAAGGGGGAAGCTCCGGAACCGATGGGTCTTCGACTGTGGCCTCGATGGGTGTCGGAATATCCGGTATCAAGGTCAAGTCATACTCGTGCGGTTCGAGTTTTGGTTCTGGTTGGTCGTTGTTGTTGTCATGATGTTCATAAATGTCGTTAATGCCCGCTTCGTCATGCTCAGCTTCCTGTTCGGTCGTGTCAATGGCCGGAGGGGAAGTCGGTTTTGCTTCTTCAAACACATTGGAGGCGTCAACAACCTCGGGACGGAATTCGTGGACTTCTTCAGCGCGGTCGTCGAAAGCCAGAGGGCCGTCAAGAAGATCCGCTGCCTTCGAATCAACAACGTCGAGATCGGCTTCTGGCTCGGAAACAACCGCGTCCATGGCAAACTTGAAGTTGTCGATATCCATTGGAATGGGCTCGGAAACCTCAGCAGTCCCCGTGCTCATTTCCACAACGGGATGATCCAAGTCAAAGGGCTCGTCAATGGGATTTGCCATTTCTGTTGATGCTTCTTGGGAGTAATCATCCGAAGCCTCTACGTCCACAAGTGTGCCCACAACCAGTTCGACTTCGTCTGGAATATCCTCCATCGCAGAGACCGGCCCAGCTGGCGGCGACTCAGAGTCCACATGAATTCCCGTGTCGAGCAGGTGCTGATACTCTTGCTCGTCAGGAATAGAATCCACGTCGTCGTCGTGATGCACATCTTGGTCCTCCGGCTTTGTCTCCGAATGACTATCAATCTCAACCGTAATGGGAGAAGGAAGTAACACGGGCGACTGGGGCGGCGAAGGGAGATGGCTTTGAGGTTGGACTGGGGAAGGGAACTTCTCGTCTTTGACCAAGGCCGTTGGCTCGACGCGTTGTTCTACACTCTTGCGAGCAACAAGCATGGCCCATTCACCTGCCTTTGCAGCCCATGGCGCGGGAGAGGCGGGGACAGACACGTCCACCAACTCGTAGTCATAGTCAACCAGTTGTGCATCAACCAGATCCAGCTCAGGTTTGTCACCGTGAGGATGGCTGGGTCGATGGGCAGCAGGTGGTGGCCGTAATGTGAACGAAGGGGTTGGGCTGGCCGCACGCGAAGTCGGCATTGACGCAAGGTCGTGTTCTCGGTTGGTGGAATGAAGCGAAACCGACGAAATTGAGGCCCAGCTGAGACTGTTGCGTGACAAACCCTCTGAGGCTCTCCGGGTATGACCGTGCTCAGATAGGTCGACCAGCGGGACTGCGGTTGGACTGAGCGGTAAATCTGGGGGAGGCGTCGCGGGTGGGTGATATCGTGGCAAGACGGCGTCAAGACTACGTGCCCTCCGCAAGCCAGCAAGCAGGCCACTGAATCGTCTTTCTTGTCGGCCTCTTGGTGCAGGCACGTGGACGACAGCAGTTGACTGGGCAGTCCCCGCAATGAGAGGCAAGACGGGTAACCGGACCCTGGCGCGAACGAAGGCAGATATAGCTCGGAGACGCGGGAGGGTGGCGGCCAGGAAGAGGGCCAGCACCGCGAAGACCCAGAGGAACATGGTCGTCAGAGAGAGATTGGGCGTAATAGGAAATGGCAGAAGGGGAAGTGCGAGAACCACCAAGGGCATAAATCTATACCACGTTAGCTGCCTGCGCATGAATAGTGGTAAAGCGAACGAAGGAGGAAGGGAGCCTTTACGACTCCATGGAAGTAGTTGGTAGACAACTGCAACCTCACCAAAGCAGCGTGCAAGGTGTGAGGCAATCACGAGGACAAAAATCTTGTTAGCCGGCAACGTGGTCCGAAGTCTATTCCTAAATAGCCACTGTCCGACCCGGCAACGCCTCAATTCGTGCTCTAAATCGCCACCGCGAGCCCACCAAATACATCGCACGGTCCAACACAAGGTATTCTGTCACCCGCTTCGGGACTGCTGCCACTCGATGTAACGTTTTCCCTCCTCTCCCGGACTGCTGTTGTTCCTCCGCAGGTCCAACTTCATGCAGAGCTTTCCCGTGCCGGTCATAGATTTCGACGCTCTGTTCAACATGTCATTCATTCATTGGACGCAGGATTAAACAACTCAGACTCACCTGTTCGGTATCGAATCTGACCAACGCTTGGATGGCAATACGTGAGCCTGTCGCGGGCATCTCCTTCCCAAAATCACCATCCACTGCTCGAAGGGAAAGTATCCTCGTTGGGGACACTTCGCGATGGAAGTTCCAGAAATATGTGTTGTCCAGCGCACGTTGGCGAACGATGGCAGAGAACTCATCAATAAACGGACGCATCGCAAGCTCATTCAGAGGCTCTTTCCTGGCTAGAAGTGAGATAGCAAATCCCACAGGAACGAAAGGTCGCACAGGACGATAGCTTTGTTCAGCTTGATGTACCGATCCAAAAACTCCTGCCGCATCGGAGCGACCCATGCGTTGGCCTTGAGAGATTGTGCTTGGAATGCCCGTCGCGAGTAGGTGGTAAAAGACTCAAGCCAACCCATCTGGCGGTTTATAGCAACCCCAGGAAACGCGTCCGAAACTGCAATATGTCGCATTCTTGGAAAAAATGAATGAAAAGGCTTTTGGAAGAAGTTTTTCCACGCACGAGAACGCGTTCTTGCCGTCATTTATTCGATTTTGCAGCCATTGTCGGTACAGTGCGCGTATTGAGCCATATTCTGAGTAATTGCGAACACCGGCGGCGTAGGGCACCATAAGATCTAAAAAATGTCAGCTATGAAGGGGAGGGAAACATAAGGATCACCAAGCATAGGCATTTGCACACCCAGCACCTCTCTTCCTTGACTTTCCAGCCACCTTTGCTGTTCGGTGAGTGCCTCAACATGTTTGAGTTGCTCTTCCTCATTCATATCTTCTTTCGCCTCAGGCTCAGGTGGACGCCGGTTGACGGCCTGATAGTTTTTGGATGCTGCAAGCAGCATCCTATTCCTCAGGCTGGTTTTACTCGTTGACGGTTTCGGCGCCGGAGTCGGGGACGGTGGGGGCTTTTTCTTCGCCTTCTTCGACGCCGCGGAAGTGGTTGCGTAGCATCTTTGCAGAGGTAAAAACACCGGCACGAGCCTCAGCTTGCGCGAGCATCCTGCAGACACGGTCGAAGTGAGCATAGAATTTGCCGAATGATCGACACGTGACTCTCAGCTTTTTCGCGCTCAACTCAAGTTCCCTCCTAGAATTGACAAAACTTGCGGCACGTTGCCAGCGATTATTGACTCATCTGCTTCCAACAACCAGCAAGACCTTATAAGCTCAATGACTCGGGAACTTAATGGGAATACTTGGCAGCTTCCGGACGACAGAGTTGCACGCATGTTGGGTAAAAAGTCGAGGTACTCGGACAGATTAATACAGGGGGTAATGGAGCAAAATGGTTGGACGGAGGGTATGTCATCCAAGGTCGACAGGCTGGAATTCTACGCCTGCGCAAGTGACACCGATGCCTTCCAAACGGCCCTCTCCCAATGCTGCCAAGATCCCGAGCCGGCTTGTGAATCCATTTTACAAGAGTTGTTGGAAGCAACGGGGGAAGCAGAAGGTCTCGTCCACTACACTGCCCTCAGCAAATTCCTCAACCTCTGCCTACAACTTGCGCGCGAATTTTGGCCGGGATTCGAATCCTCTTCATATGCGAAACTCATGTTCCTTGTCTATAATCGACCAACTGCAGACGGTATTTCCGGTGCCACGCCGCTGAAACCAGATGTTGCCGGTGTTAACTCGACCACTCCCCATGATGAAGAGACCCTGCAGGTTTCCGTCGACACAAAACTGTTCTGGAGTAAACAGGAGGAGCAAGACATCCTGATCGATATTCCTGTTGAAGTCAAGGCCACTTGGCCAGCGCTGGTGCTCAAAGCTGTCGCTTACTCCCGAGCGGTATTTGCAGCTTCGCCCTTTCGTAGATCGGCTCTTGTACTTGGGTTCAACCAGAGCACATTGGAACTGCGTTTCCTCATCTTCCACCGCGGTGGTCTCACCTCTTCTCGTGCCCTCAAATTGCGAGAACGATCTGGCCGAGAAGCTTGCATGCGTTTTATGCTTGCGCTCAGTACCTGCGAGACACATCGCGACATAGGACTGCCCTCGTGGTTCAACGGGGCCTCCTTCAAATTACCTATCACAATCGACAGCAATAACAACGCCACACGATTCGTCGATGCCGTCGTCGAAAAAATGTTACATGCTGACGTTCGTTCTCGCGGACGAGCTACTCATGTTTTCGGATTATCTTATACCTGTTCACTGACTCCTTCTACCGTTAATCTCCCACCTTCAACCATTAAATCAAAACTGCCTCTAATCGACTCCGACAGCGGTTCCTTATCGTCAAGTGCGGAAACATGGTCAAATCATCAAGAAAAAGTCAAGAGAGGTACAATTACAACAGGCCTGCGGGAATGTCTGCTTACTTTGGCCACAGAAAAAGTTGTGTCTGTGAATGATCGTGCGTTCAATTCTGATGGGCACTGTCATCGTTGACTTTCGTTCCAGAGATTCGCCACGACCTTGCCAGTCATCCTCTTGGGCCATTCAAGTTCTGCGACGTGGCATTTTCCGGCGGTCTTGTCGATAACGAGCAGATACAATATGTTGTGCTCAAAGGAAGTTTCGTTAAGGATGACCCAAGACATAAGTCAATCGAGGACCAACTTCTGAAAACGTGCAGCTCTTTGTTTGGCTGCCCCAACCATCACTATTCGTTCCTCCCAGTCGATGAAGATGGGTCCCCCGCTACAAACCATCTCTATCTGCCCACCCCCGAAGAAGTGTTGAATGACAAGGCCCAGTTTCATTGGAAGATATTCGACCAGGAGCCCCCCGACCAACCCGAATTCCGCAGCGTCTCTTTGCACATCTCCTCTCTGGTTGGCTCATCACTTGTGCTTTGCGAAACACCCTGGCTGCTTGCCATGTCAGTCCTGCATGGAATGCTGGGTGTGTACTTTGATCTCAAAGGTTCTATAGTATCTGACGGGGCTCAGGGTGGCTAGGAATGTTCCAATTGGGTTTCCTCCACCGCGATCCAAGCATGGGCAACATACTCCGCTTGCAAAAGGCAGCTAAAATGGCGCCATTCAAGCTAGACCACACGCTTGTCGAGTTCAACTCTGCAGACAATGGTCTTGCTGAAATGATCGACCAGCTTACCTTGGGAGGAAAGAACAAGCCAATCATCGATCTAAACTATGCTATGCACTCCCGTCGCATCACACAACTGCTGGGGACGTTGGACGTGGAATCTGAGGTACTGGGCTTTATTATTGACGGTGACAATGCTGTCAAATGGCACGAGTTTGGTTCTCCTCGTAATGCAACCCGCTCGGTATGGATTCAACGATTGTCATTTGTTTCATGTCTTTATCATCCCTCCCAGGGAACGTTCGAGTTCATGTCGATGGCTTTACGGCAAACTTTGGAGTCAGACACAGACCATCTACATTCGCCTGTGGACGACCTCCACGCCCAATTTTACGTCACCCAGTGGGCGGCCGCCTACCATCGTGATGCTGATGCGCCGTCACGACCAGAGCTCCGAGAGAAATCAAGATATGCCGATGCGCTCCGCCAGAAATTAACAAGAGACAGAGAGACAGCGACAAACACGATCGCCCAACTGAGCAGTGACGATGATCGAGACTTGGAGCGTTATGGGAGATTCCTATGCGACTGTGCACCCCTCCTCGCACGCTGGAATGCCAAGTTGTCGGATTTAAGGAGAACGTACAAAGCTACACGGATCAAAATCTACAAACTGTTCGACGAGGACAAGGACAAGGACAAACAGGAGAAACTGATGCGGTTGTTGTTTATGACTTTCGCTTATTGTGGGGTTGCTGACTTCATGGAAGTGTTGGCAGAGTGGGGAAGTTACATGGGTCTTATGATTCCTAGTTCTGGCGCGTAATCTATCTTATCTACGAGAAAGCAGTGCCGAAAGGACCAAGCTCATAAGTCAAGGCATCAACATCGGAATGGTGTCGAGGAACACACCACTTCTGTCGGTTGGTGGTGGACCAGAACCACGACCATCAGGCCCAAAACGCAGTTAAGTGGTATGGCTTCAATGCCCCACGAAACGCGTCGTTAAACACCCATCATGGTCTATGTGCTCACCAATAAATTTCTGGGGTATTGAATTCATGTCGGCTCAGCTCACACATCTTCATTCGCCTGTAAACGACCTCTACGCTCGCTTCTTTGTGGCTCGATGGGCCGCAAATTTCCACCAAGACTCGGATGATCCCGATATATTGTGTCAAGCACTAGCAACCAACAAAGGCAAATGTGAACCTTTCTTTCGGCGTTGGGAAAACAAAATGGTGGAATGCACACGATGATATCCGCGACATCAAAGATAACGAAGACGTTATTTGGAGGCCTTGACGAAGTGGAAAGAGAGTGAATTCTCTTAAATCTTGATTGTTTGGATGTACTACTAGTGTATACCCGTATTGGGGAATTGACTTGGGGCATTTCTTGGGCATTTCCTTTGATTCAAACTGCTCTTATGGCCAAGGTATGCATCCTTCTTGCGTAACATTGTAAGGATCGACTTGCATGGCCGCTTGTAGGAGCATCGATCACACAGCCACACAGTCAGAACTTGTCTTCTTCCCTCCAAGACCACACCCACACTCGTTTATCTGTCCTTCTTTTATCATGCTCGCCCGAATGCATGTGCTTCTCGCCCTTCTCCTCGCTGGTCACGGGCGCGCCTCAGCGTCCACAACGACTACAACCGCCAACAAGCACGCTCAATATCGACAAGAACAAGAGTGGCAATTCCATGGGCAGCAACACTTTCTATATCACGTCAATCACTACTACGCCCGCCAGCTGCTGATGCAGGACCCGCACCACCTCGCCCGCCAGCTCAATCTAAATGGACAATTCCCACCTTCCCCGACGAGTTCTTACGACTTCTGGTGGCCCTATCCTCCAGCGGGTACCCCAACTACCATACCGATCGCCATCGCAACGCCGACCCAAGCCGCCTTTTTCCTCTCAACGACACCTGCTTTCGCATTCTCGCTCGCAGACGCCACCACCATCCCTCCTTCGCCAAGTTCAATCATGACTCCCACCAGCGCTCCTTCCTCTGCAACTCCAAGCGACTCTCCGGCTATCTCCACTCCTGTGTCGACTATAATGGCGCTTCCAGCTACCAATTCGACCCTTGCGTACCATGCACCACAAAAGCTCGCCATGATGTCTTCCGCACACCTTATTTACATCGTCTCTGGGTCTGCGGTCGGGGGCTTGCTTCTTGGTGGAATGACAGCCTGGATGGTCTATAGCTGCATCAAACGGCGTTCGCAAGCTCGTGATCAAGAGCCAAGACAAAGACGCGGTCGCAAGAGCTACGGAACATTGGAGGTTGGACCAGAATACCACACATCAATGCCGCAAGAATACAGCGAGGAAGGAGAGTGGCTCAGTCGCAGAGGGCTGCTGCAGGAGAAACGCCGATCTCAAGGAGACGAGGAAGAACTTGAAGAAGAAGAGCCGGAAACGCGAGCATTTCTTCACCCCCAAACCGCATTGAATCCTCCAATGCGACATAAATCCGTTGTTAGTACGACGACTCGCGCCACGTCTCCAACACCATCTGGAAGGACTTCGCTCTATCTTGATTTACCTGACGTCAATGACGGTGTTCCTTGGGAGTCATTGCGCCATAAGAGTATTAAACGCGGCATGCTCGAAAGACTGAAAGACGACAGTGACGATGGGAAGAATGCTCGGATTGCTCGACGACCGAGTTGGGCAGCTCATGGACGACACAATTCGGATGTTCTACTTTCCGATGCGCAGGCTGATCTTTCACGGATGACTTCAAAAGTTACAACGGGTGTGCTTTCAAGAGCGTCTTCATCTGGCGTTGGGATGGGGTTTAGGATTATGAGCGAGTCGCCTGTAAAGGAACGCGGGGCGGATGTGTTTCGGTGGCCAACTGTCAAATCGCAAAAGAAGGACAATTACACGCCTGCTCCGATGCGTGTTGCTCGCAGTCGGAGTAAAAGCCCGGAGAAACGCGCGGCTAGTCCCGACAAGCTTCAGAGAGCGAAAAGTCCGCCAGTTCGGGGTCGGGGTCGGAAGGCGATTGCGGAGATGGAAGAGGACGGTGTGTCGACGAGCGAACTCAGAAGGGTGCTGGCACAGAGTCCTGCACAGGTATCGAGCCCAGTGTTGGAGCAGACGTTGTGTTTTACGCCTGTGTCTGCCCAGGTAACTTCGTTTGCGTCGTTTGGGGAGGCGCTTGGTGGAAGGAAGTAGTTGACATATCTCTATCCCTACATATGCACAAACAAATCACATTCTGTTTTATGTAAAGTGTTGAAGATGAGTGAAGATGTCGATACATTGACGACCAAGTCAAATGTGATCGGCCATCAAGCCGGCGGTATTTTCGGCACTCGGTCACGCGTCCCTTCGGCATTCGACTTTTTCTCTGTCCTTCCACTCACCTCAATGCCTGTGAGATTCTACTCTTCGCATGCATAGCCTGTGCCAATCTCCTCATAGCGTCAATCCCGTGGCCGCTCGACCTCCACTTCCCGTTCCGCCCCAACAAAGCCAGCGGCAGCGCCAGCACAAACCCGGAGTGCGACCACCGCTGCTGCCCCGGCTGGCGGATACCAGACCCCTGCCGCCCCCGCTCCCCCTGCAACTGGGGCCGCCAGTCAGGGCCCGGGAATTCTCGGGCAAATTGCGTCGACTGCTGCCGGGGTAGCAATCGGCAGCACCGTTGGCCATGGCCTGTCGAACGTCCTCTTTGGCAGCGGAGACAAGGCTGCGGCTGCTGAGCAAGCAGCGCCGGCTGCAGCTCAACAGGGACAGGGTGTTATGAGCTGTGAACAGCCCGCGAAGGGTAAGTGCTTGATTTGGGTGACGGAGGACCGTACCGCTGACGAAGATGCCAGATTTCACACTTTGTCTTGAGAAGGCGGATATGCAGTCGTGCACGTGGTATCTTGAGCAGCTCAAGGCTGTGAGTGCTATCGATTTTTCGTTTTTTTGGGAAGCTGAATTGGCGTGTAGTGCCAGGCTGCTGCCAAGCCTTACTAGATAGACGGTGTTTGTTGGTACACTTCAATGCATCGCTCAAAATCATCTCTACTCAATGTGACCAACGTCGTTCGTTAAGAAGCTTGGAATTCATTGCGGCATGTCCTGCCACAGGATACCTAGGCAGCTTCGCCTATGAAGCCTTCAATTGGCTAGCGTTACGCATCGTGATGGCCCAAATTTCCTACGCAATACCCTGAGTGCTCATCACTACCATTGGCTGTCATGCTTTTCACAGTTTATCTTGGACTTTTTTCTTGTTTTTCTTTCTTTCTCTTGTGCTCACAAGTATCTTATTGAAGCTACAACCGCCCTCGGCTTCTGCTTGGAAGTGGACACTGAGAGTATGTAAAGGTCCATATGTTCACTCGATTTGTGTTGAATTCCGTTCCAGTGGTGCTCACGTGAACGAGTACTTCTGGCACCCAACCGCGTGAGATGTTGGCCAGCGTGTTCATTCCCTGAATCCCAAAAATGATATTTTCCTTGACTGGCCCGACTCATTGCCCGAAGAGCGAGATGCTAAAAGGATATTGGTCTCCATATTTCACAGCTGTTGTTCGTGTGTCGCTGACTTCAGGCATCTGCGTAACTCCCGCGTCAGCTCAGAGCTTCGGTGGCCCGCACTTTCGTCAGATGGCCAGGGAAAACTACTGGGTGGACCTATGAACAAAATCTCCGAGGCGGCGAAGGAGATTCAGGGATTCGGATAATGGCAAGTCCAACTCTACCCAGAGTCCTGTCCTCGTGGCACGTGACCGTGGTTTGAGACCTCTTCACTCCACTCACTTAGGCGCGCATTACCGCCACTCACATCGATGAGCGGATCTCCGGCGGTGCCTGCGTTATAGCTATCTCAGCTCTTTGTCTTATACTTGCAGACATCATGCCCTGGCCTGACTCGTGGTTCTGGGTAAGTAGACACCCTCGCAATTGTTGATTTAGACAGTGGCCTTGTTGGATTGGCTAAATCTCAGGTGGAGAAAGTACTAGAAGAGTATATTAAACAGACCTTCGATTGTTGAACTTGGGCATCGTGAGTAGACTTGTGATTTGGATGATGGATCAACTTGAGGGTGATGACAACAGTGACGCTTGTGACACAACAATTCGGAACCAACCTGAACCAACAGTCTATGTACCCTCTTCCGCATGGATGGTCCTCCATTCCTAACTGAATGGCAATGACGATATTCTGTCTGGCCTCGTCCATTTCACTCATCGTCTCAAATGCACTAAATCACTTCCGCCGTATCCGCTGTCTTGACCTCTGACTTCCGGAGCAGCCATAAAACAACTCAATGATTGAGGGAGACGAGTTCAGGTTCCTCTCTGGGAGGGCTCACAGGAACGACCGCTAACGACCAACAATCCGCAAGAAAAATGCGCACGACATCGTTTTTCGGCTTTGCCGCTGTTTTCCTTGCGGCCACAACCACCACTTCCGCTTTCCCAAGGTCCGTTTTTCCTCACCTTAATTATCTCGTCGCTGACATTGTTTCTCCAGCACGGACGACCTCATTGCGAGGCGTGCGGCGCCTTGTCCAGAAGGGACTTACTTCAACACGACAATTACAACTGGCGGCGCATGCAAGCGCTGTGAGCCTGGCCACTACTGCGCTGGCAACACCGCAAGCAAGAAACAATGCACCAGTGGCACTTTCCAACCAGGTTTGAGGGCGGTTATCCTAGTTTTTAGAGCTCTAACTGGTTTTCAGCGCCTGGTCAAACCTCGTGCATAAAGGCCAGCAACGGAAGCTACGTTCCCACTGACGGTGCGACTTCGCAGCTGCCGTGCTACCTCGGGAGCTACCAGCCTTGTGTGTATCCAACAACAAAAAACAATCTGGATGTGGACTAAATCAACTCCTTAGACGCTGGTAAAAACTTTTTGTTATGGCGCTCCGTCGGGTCGCTTTGCCGGAAGAACCGGCATGAGGGGTGTTTGCGGTGCATGCTGTGGCTGGGCAACGAAGAAAAAGAACAACAACTCGTTTGTCTACAAGTGCTCTGGATCGACGCCGTTTTCGGGCCGTGGCTCCGGCTCGGGATGCGTTGCTACCCGTCAGGGATGTGATCCAGTTGCGACGTGCATGCAGGCGCCAAATGGTGCTTGCCGTGAGTCCCTCATCACTCTGTCTTTCATTGAAACTGAAGTTTTCGATAGCGGACTTGTCTTTTGAGTTTGTTCAACGCCCTCCTGTTTTCCGCCCCTCCAGCTCGGCCCGACCGGGCCCTTCTTCGTCTTCCGTCCAGCCGACATCCTCTCAGTCTCCGATGCCAAGTCCCTCAATAACGACTGATAACAGCAGAAGGCTACTCGCTTTCCAGATTACTAACAACTCCTTCCTGGGTTTCGTCTCGATGGGCTCTGGTTTCAACCATCTGGGCTTGGACACAAACCCTGCTAATGCTGTCTTCTTCCAACCTGCGACTGGATTTTCAGTCGCAGGCTCTCAGTTGGATCTCTTTGCTGTGGTCTGTATCACGATAATAATTGCGTTCGCCTGATTCTAATGGGTTAATTAGAATACTACATATGCAAGCAACTTCCCATATGCTGGAGGTATCGTAGGGCCACGCAGTAGCTCCGATGACCTTTCAAACGGAAGTTCCAAGTACGCAGATCTTGACTTGACATTTTATTTGCTAAAAGCTAATCCGCTTTACAGCTACGTTTTCATTCAGGGCACAACACAGAGTGAGCACCTCATGAGCTAGAGTACTCTTTGCTTATTTGCACGCCACAGCTCGGCCTGGGGCCCCGCCTCAATCTGTCCCCAACTCCTATCCAGTCGCGCGGAAATCTGAGTCGGCCATCGTTCGTCGAGTCTCATTCCTCATGATTTCCGTTGAATAATCACCCGTCTCAGTGGACTTATGACCCCGTTACGCGCATTATCGCGCCGCGTTGGATCAACACCAACGGAAGTGAGCACTTCCACCTCTCTGCAATGCAGGTCGTTGATAGTTTTGTTCTAGGCACCGCTGAGACATACCTCGTGTATGCGCCCTTCAATCAGGTCCTGATAACGGGAGATATTCAGGCCTTCTCCACTGCTTATGGTCCTTCGTCGGTAAGCCGAAAAAGTTTTGAATCACCTCTACTGTTGCTCAACTTGTCCCAGCCGATCTACCTTAGGTTCGCGCCATCGTAAGTAGGCTGCTTACTTTATTTTTTTGACTCTGGACTATCTTGTGTATCTTAACGAACCTTGTACTTTTACTTACTTGAAACGCGACTCTTAAATTAACGCTGATGGTACGATGACGTGAGATACGTGACACCCAACAATATTCTGCCTCCGACCAACTTTGAGGTCAGGGAACGACTGCATCTCTGAGGCGCGGCTTTCGCCATTTGTTCCGTTGGCGATGCTGACATATACTCAATTGCAGTAGCACAGATCTCCTCCTACACGTCAGGTCCTGTGCCAAACACTGCCTTGCTCCCGAGCTCCAGATAAATCGAAGTGGGGGTACTCAGCAACGATCCACAACCATGCCGAAAGCGACCACCGTGCTCTTTCTCCTCGTCTTATTCTTTGTGTGCCTCTCGTCGTCGGGCGTCTACGCGTTCGGAGCAGGAAACATCCCCTCGTAAGATTCTGCTGCTCATTTGTCTAGCATCTGGCTGATTCGCCCAGGTTTTCCTACTCCGAAGGCCGCGCGTTCCGGCATGGAGACATCGTCCGTCACTCGATCCCACGATCTCTGGCTTGCTCAATAACTGCTTTTAGGAAGATGCGCTGAGCGAATTGATCAAACGCGGGAGTGGCGGGGGCTTTGCGCTTGCCAATATGCTTTCGAAGGGATCCAAATTCGGAGGGTTGGATGTTAAACGCGTCTACTTTGGGTGCGTTCGGACTGTTTGTTGTGTTTGTCAACATCCTGACGAGGTGCTCATTCTAGCAATTGGCTTCGGGACTATAGTCAAGTCAGTCGTCTCTTTATCGCCCTTCCTTCGCATCCTCAGGTTTTCTAGGCTATGGATATTGCGGCTCTCAAGAAGGTTCAGCCACAGGTCGCGCTCCCGGCTCACTCCCCCTCTCCATTCGTTGATCTATTGATAGACCATCCTCAACCTCTGCATGGTTCTGGGCTTCCTCGTTAGTTGTCCTGCGGCTTCTTGAAACAGCGTTCAACAACCAACTTTAGGCTCATGGATATGCCACTGCCGAGTTTGAAGTCACCTTTGAACGACTGGGCGTATATCTTCCAGTGGGTTTTCGAATGCCGCATGGTTCTTGGTTAAAATCCGCCATAGACCGAACACATAGACAACCCTAAAGGCTATGGAGAGGGCGAAGATCCACGCAAATATCATCCCCAGTTGAGAGGACCTGTCGATGCATGTCTAACAACAGTCTTATATTGGCCTTCAACTCAATTTTTTGCAGCCAGTTGAGCTTGAGATAGACCCTCGAACGGGTATGAAGAACTATATCGCCAACGGTAGGCTTGATTACCCTATTTCCCATTACTTGAAATAAACCTCCGCAGAAAACGGTCACTGGGACACATCCAAAGCATTGGTGCGGAGAACACTAGACCAATGCGTCCATTTTGGTCGCCAACATCGCTCCTCTGGGCGAAAAGAAGATGAATACGAGGCATACCGGCTTCTTGGTCAACTCGTTCGTTTTCTTGTTCTTAATGGTGTTCATTTAACAGTTATCTGACAGCTCCATACTTTGGAGGACTTTTCTGCGCATTCCAATTTCTGTGAGCTCTCGCTCGTTTCGATGGGATACCAGGAGGTGTTTGTCCATGTCGGCGATCAAGTTCGTATCCAGTCGCCCCAAGGAAAGTGGGTTGCACCACTTGTAACCGGTGCGCACCCCCTACTGCAATATATCGGGAGAACGTCTCATTTTCATTTGTAGGCTCGTTCGGAGGAAATGGTGAATACTTGTGTGCATTCACATCTCGTTATCAACCAATCTGGTAGACTTCATCCATTCGTTACTTGGAGAAGCTGGCGACCATTTGGTTAGCCGCTACTCCCATGTTTGAAACGTTATCTCACCCTTCAAACAGAGTCAAGCGTCAGTCTCCGATCTAAACAAAGAGCTCGAGAAAGCTCGCGCATCAAACACTCGTTCAGGACCGGGTGGACCTAGCAACACTTTGCGGGATCTGCTCTTCTCGATTCCAGGAGGCGGAGGAACTGAAATGTCGAGAGAGATGGAGGGTATCGAGCGAATTCGTGCGGGACCCTCGCAAGGCGGCAAGCGGCCTGAAGATATGACTCCACAAGAGTTGCACAGTGTTCTATGGCAGGTACTGAGTTTCCGCGACTCAAGTATGCTTTCTTGCATTCTTCTATACTATACTGATCCCGGTTTAGTCTCCAAGAAAATTTCGAACACGATCGGTTGGGCACTCGCTTTCCTTTACAGTCAGGCTTAACACATATATTTCTAGAAAAGATTCCCGGTCTTGGCCCGCTCATTGACAAGCTCATGGATTCGATCTCTGGTAGGTTGTGCAACCACGGTTTGCTTCAGTAGTTGATTGCGCTTGCCAAGTCTTCGTTTTTACCACCCTCGAAGTTTGTTGTTTCCTCTTGTTAGTAGCATGGTCGCTGATTTCGTTCACTGCAGCCCTTCCTCCGTCCGCTTATGAAGACGGCAACCACGCAACTCTCATCTGTTTCGGCCGAGGTCATTGATTCACACGACCAATACCAAGTTTTCGATGACCCTCGCGCGGTATGTTGAACATTCTCGTGTTTTCCACCTTCTCATCTTCTTCTTTCAGTCGGACCCTACACACTCATTCTTGAGCAAAGATCATTTTGTATGACAGCACTTTCAAGTTGAGACAGCCTCACTGACTTGTGTTTATAGAATCTGCTTCTGAACGAGCCTGCTGGTCACATTGCACGACTTATTGTGGTAAGGAAGCCAGAGCTTCCGATTAGCGTGCTCTTGACGCGATATAGATCCATACGGTGACGCTGGTGGTCAAGGCTTGGGATGATAACTCTGTGAATGTGCACCACATGAGCGAAGAAATCCTGTCCTGCTTGTGAGATACCCGTTCTCTTGCGAAAAACGACCCTGACTCTATCAACCCAAGATTTCACCCTGATTTCCACAACCCGCAGTCGAAGATCCAGCGCGAGATGATGCAACACATGCGGACATGGGTGGAGGGACTTGGTGGACGACGCACGACTGTTATTCAACGGCTGACCAAGAACGCTGTGCGCAACCACCAGAACGTGCGCCTTGCCGGGGAGGGCGGCAAAAACGAGGCAGAGGGCTCGTTCGCTGCTGGCCAAGCACATCAATTCCAGAACTACCTCGCTGGCCAGGCACAAGGGAAGATTCCGGGTGTTGCTCAGGCCGCGGCACTCTTTGGGTCTGGCGGTGGTGGTGGGCATGGCCGTCGGGATATGCCGGGAGGAAGTGGTGGTGGTGAAGCAAACACATTCTTTGGTGGTAGCGGTGGAGCTCCTCCTCCCGTTGCTGCTCATGGTAATCACGGCCACGGCCACGGCTCGCCGGGCTACCCAGGCCAGTCGCAGCAACCTTCCTATGGAGCACCTCCCGGACCACCTCCGTCTTTCCCGGGCCAGCAGCCAACCGGGTCGTATGCACCATCGTATTCTCCGCCTGCGGGGTATGGCGGTGCGCCATCATTCCCTGGTGGGCCGGATCAATATGGGAATGCGCCGCCATCATTCCCCGGATCTGGTCCTAGTTTCCCCGGATCAGCGCCGAATTTCCCTGGGGGCCCCGGACCGGGTTTCCCCTCGTCGGGTCCCAGCTTCCCTGGTGCTGAGGGTTATGGCGGGCCTCCCCAGTTCCCGAATGCGCAGGGTGGAGGGTACCCACAAGGACCATCGTATGGCCAGGGGTGGTAGAAGAAGCGAATGCAGAAAGAAGGTGTAGACTCGGAAACAAGAAAACTTGAGAAGTTGTAGAACACTTGTATGAACGTTGCACTGTAATCTCTCTTCTGTTTGAACTTTTGAAGCTTGTTGTCATTGGAATAAAGAAACCTACGTACAGTCATTCAGTTGTTCCTGATTTCCGGCACTGTAACAAGTACAAATTGTCCGTGCTTGAATTTCTTTCCTTCTATAGATACGAGTTACATGGGAGATAGCAAAAGTGCAAGTAAGAGAGAGGGTTGTCGTCGCAGTCGTTTCACGGAGTTAGTCACCATCGGCGGCTAAGTAGAAGATAGTCAGCACATGATTTTGCATACGAGATCCAACGAAAACACACCCGTCCATCATGTCATGGACACTGGGTTGAACGACATGATTTCCTCGTATAGCAGCTCTTTCAGCTGCTCGCGGCTGATGTCGTCTTTGTGCACTGAGAGAGAATTCTCAACGTCCGACAGAGTAAACAAATCAGTTGACAACTCACAGTCAAACTCGAAGAACTCGGGATCAAGTGGGGGAGCCACTGGCTCGTCCTCTGGATCGTGATATGCCTCGAGGTAAGGATGGGCTAGCGCATCTTCGACTGTTATGCGCTTCTTCGGGTCGAAGGTCTAAAGAAGAATGATGTTGATATCAATTACTAGACTCGTTGCGCAAAAGACGCACCAGCGTTTTTGTGAGGAAGTCGATCGCCAGGGGGTTCGCGTTGGGGAATAGTTGTGAGAATGGTCGGCGTTTCCTGAATGGAAGGGCACGAATATAGTCGCGGGAGCGGCGGGTGGTAATCGCGTAGAACTCGTCAAGGGTAGGGGTGCCGAGCACGTCCAGAATAAGCGTCAGTTGGTGGTGATAGTCGCGTCCAGGGAAGAGTGGTTTTCCCGACAACATTTCGGCGAGAATGCAGCCTACAGACCACACATCGATCGCCTATAACCATTTGTTAGTTTAAAGGCCAGATTGAAGGCTAACAGCGAACCTTGGTATATTGTTTGAATGTGAGCATGATTTCCGGAGCCCGGTACCAACGTGTAGCAACGTATTCGGTCATAAAGCCGGTTTCCGTCCCAGAGGGCTCAGCAGTCTTGACCGATCGGGCAAGCCCAAAGTCGCAGACCTTGAGGTCGCAGTTGGCATTGAGGAGGAGATTGGATGGTTTGAGATCGCGGTGAATTACATCGGCGGAATGGAGTGCTTTGAGAGCACGAAGAGTTTGGTATATGAAGTATTGGGCATGGTCGTCGGAAAGGTCTTGCGTTCGGATAACACGGTGCATGTCGGTTTCCATCAGTTCTTGGATGACTGGGAAGTTGTTGTTTTCAGTATGCCGGAAGGGTAACAAACGTTCCACGCACGATAGACCTCTTTGAACTGCTCAATGGACGGAGGCTTGATGATATCAAGGATGGATATAATCTTGAGGCGTTGAATGCAGGGAAATGGGGGAGAGCATGAACGGACTACGCACGTTTTCACTGACCCCGGCCTCCGACAAGAACTTGAGCAGCTTCAATTCTCGCAGAGTGCGAAGACAGAACATCGAGTGCTCGAAAGGGGCGATTTTTTTAATGGCAACCTTGCGACCGCTCGGGCGGTGGACGGCGGAACATACGATTCCATAGGCGCCTTCTCCGACGACATCGAGGACTTGGTATTGTGTCCCCACATTGAAGCGAACCTTTCTTGGGGCTGGGGCGGCAGCAGCGGAGGCTGCCGGCTTCTTTGCTTGGGTAGCGGCTTCAGGCATGGGGGGGAGAGAACAACAAGAATTAGATGATGGTGTCAATAAAAGGGACAACAAAACGCGTGCTAAGAAATTTCTGCCATGGCGATGATCCCTTTGCCTTAGTTCCCATCGACCCAACACTGATTCCGCCAGCGATAACACCGCCATATGTATGCCGCACTGAAACGACTTAAAAGTCGGACGTTTCGCGACGCGATTCAAACTTCCCAAGTCACTATGTTTGTCCCAGACGCATTTCAACGACGAACTTGTGAAGACAGACAACAAGATTTGATCCACAACTAATGACAGCGATTCTATCGCGATAAACTTGGGGATGAAGATAGCTGGCCTTCAGTCTAAGATCGGGAACCAAATTCAGTCCCAATTCGCCCGGGTTTGCTTCAAAACCAGATCAGAACACGGGGTCGGCGGCTGTTTCTGTGTTCAAGGCGAAATTGGAGGCGGTAACCCCATGATAGGCAGTGAGAGCACAGAGTCTGAGTTACTTTACTGCTGTCGAAGACCCTTGACACACACATGCTGCAGTCAGATCGGAGTCGATGAGTAAGAGATGTTGATGCTGCGGTTAGGAAGACTTTGCCTCTTCGACTTTACCTCTTCGACGTTAGCCAAGGTCAAACGGAGGTTGCGTTGCGACTGGGCTGCTTTAGCTCCTATCAGCTATCGGAACGAGTTTCCTTCCGTGCAGATCTTTCATAAGATGTTCGGACCAGCATTGCCTCACGTTGGCTTTGAAAGTTGAAAGACGCCTCTGAAAGCCTGAGACACATCCGCCAGATCTGTTGAACATCGTATGCCAGCTTGATAGCACTATTAATATTAACCTGTTGCTGAGTTGCTAGGGCGACCACTGGTCGTCAAGAGCAAGAGTTTGCTGACCCCGCGTTATGTATGTCACGTGCACGACAGCGTGCGAACATTTCTGCGGTCATGTACTAGGAACAGCGCCACCTCACTCTCCCAAATCCGAATCCTCCGTGATTCAACTCAGACAACCTGAAGCCGCCGTGAGCTCGCTGTCCTCGATTCAACTCCAGGAACGCCTGTAGATATGCAGGCCCACTACTTCTACGAGTACCAACTCTTGTGGCTGGCGATTGGCTGCTTCATCGCTCTCATAGCCGACCACCGTGCCTCCTCACGTCGTCGCCGTGAAACCGTCAAAGATTCGAAAGACGAACGTGCCGAGGGTGGGATTAGTAGCGCTGGAACAGCTGGCTCGTTAGCTTCGCTTACAAGACAATATTTAACCGTATATGCTATCGTCATGGGTGAGTTGTCGTACTTTATCCTCTCGCGTAAGGGAGAACTGACGATCACGAAGGTGCGGACTGGCTGCAAGGTCCATACGTCTACTCCCTCTACAGTGAGCAATACCAGCTAGCACCAAACATGGTCGCCATTCTGTTCGTAACGGGATTTATCTCTGCTGGCTTGGCTGCGCCGTTGGTAGGAGTTTGGGCGGATCAGCATGGCCGTAAACGCCTCTGCATGATATTTTGTGCCTCTTACACCTGCGCCTGCCTCTGCATTCTTGTACCAATCCTGCCCGTTCTTCTCTTTGGTCGAGTGCTGGGTGGTATTTCGACCTCCATTCTCTTCTCTGCATTCGAATCATGGCTCATATCTTCCGCCAACTCGCATGCCATCCCCCAAAACGACCTCTCCCTCATCATGGGTCGCGCAACCCTCGTCAACGGGCTCATCGCAACCGCTGCTGGGGTTTTCAGCAACCAACTTGTCGGCATCTCCGGATCGTTTGCCTCCCCATTCATCGCTAGTGGTGCCCTCCTTATCGTCGCGTGGTTCGTCATTCGCGCAATGTGGACAGAAAACTTTGGTGGTGCCTCGGACAAGGCCAGCGCGGATCCCTTCCAACTCGGTCGTCTGAGTATTGCCCTTCGCATCGTTTCGGAAGACACACGTCTCCTCGTTCTCGGCGTCACACAGACATGTTTCGAAGGCTCCATGTACCTTTTCGTGTTCCTTTGGGTGCCATCTCTACAGGAGTTCTCGACTCTAACCCTCCTTCCATTGGGCTACATATTTTCGGCTTTCATGTTGTCCATGATGCTTGGGTCGCTCTTTTACACTCTCCTCTCCACTTCTTCGTCAGAAGGAACGCTCATAACCCACGCTAAACTATCGTCATCAGTCTGCGCACTTGCCGGACTTTCGCTCGCTCTTAGCGTCTCCCAACAGGATGAACGCACTCGTTTCTGGGCCTTTTGCCTCTTTGAAGCCTGCGTTGGAATGTACTACCCTGTACAAGGCATGCTTCGTGGCACCTTGATCGCCAACGAACAACGCGCAACACTGAGTGCTCTTTTCCGTGTCCCACTCAACATTTTCGTGGTCGTCAGTCTTCTCACTGGTGTCGCGAGTGCTGGAGCACGAACAACTGTTCTCAGCGCCTGCTCAGTTATGTTGGCTGCTGCAAGCATCCTCACAGGCGTCTTTATCGTGGGGAAAGTAGATCAAACCGCGGCTCGTGCATGAAGCTTTTCTTGGCCGGAAAAAAGTAAAAAAAAAATAGCTGTATGGACCACCCTACATAAATTCGTCGTAGTAGTTGTCGCTTAAAACGAAGTTAGTCTAGGATCAGGCTAATATCTTGATCAGACCGTTATCGGGTCCGTGATAACTCTCTCTCTCTCTTTCCACTTTTTTGAATGGATCTTACCGCTCCACGATTAGAGTCGTACCGTATCGGCGTTCTGGCATTGGTACGGGCAAAGGACCCTTGCCCAAGGACCCTTCCTCGCTCTGCCTTCCATCGTCCGCGCCGGTCAACCTTGGCAGGCCCCGGCGTAGCTGAAAATCCCGACGTCCAACCAGGTACCACCTGCCACTTTTTCTTAATTGAAAGTCGGTGCTTTTCGGGCCAAGTAGCGCTCATTCTCGCATGTCAGCACAGCGGGGATTAGTCAGAGAAGGCGCTCACAATTGCCAGGGCCTTGCTTGGCCAGCGAGAAATAGGTCCGCGCCTTCGTACTGTGAGTTTTCCCTCAAGACAGCTGATTCTGCGGCTCAGACACAAACACGCTCGATGACAAGTGGGAAGGGGAAGCAGCTCGTGCGTGTGGATTGCGCATCAACTAGGTCTTCCGGAAGTCATCGCGGGATAGATATCGGGCAGAAAAAAAGGACAGGTAGAAAACTCAACAAAGCGGACCGCGCCGACGAGCCGCGGAGGTCAAGAAGTGTTTTATTCAGTCTTCTGCAGTCCGACGTATGCCCGAGTTGGTTTTGGAGGGCGTTCATGGAGAGTCAATTATGTCTCGAGTCGGATCGTCCTGGCCATCGCTGGGAGTTGTTGGTGAACTTGAACATCAAAGATAAACACACTCAAAAGTTTTTTTTTTGACAGATCAACAAAAGCGGAATCGGGTGACCATACTGAGTTGTCCGGATCTCTGCCCTTTGTGGACTTGCTTCTGCCAAACGATCACAGCTATGCGAAAGTCTGGTGGGTTGCCATCGCGCAAGCCGGCTATAATTACTATGCGAACGGACTCTCTCCGTCGACTACACGCTTGCCCTCGTCATGCCTCATAGTACCATCCAGAGCCCTGTCCACAACTCTCCGAAGTCACCCATACCGGCCCCGACGTACACGCCAAGCTATCCGCGCGTCTCTAGCTTCCGGTAAACAACGTTATCGCCCGTTTTAGAACACACCGGTGCTCAAATTTAGCCCACAAGCTCACCACAACTCGAGGTCCTGTTGTATTCTCCGCATGTTGCCACCGAGCATTCGTCTTGGCCTATGAACCGGACCGTGCCGATATACGCCGACCACGACAGTGTCAGTGGGAAGATCATTATGGACCCAAGTTGTCGCTCCGGGAGAATTTCTCTTGTGGTGCGTCATCTGCAAGTTGCCGGAAACCAATTTACTGACTCCACCCAGTTAACTGGGACATTCTCCGTTAGACGAGTGGCTCAGAAAACCATCAACGACGTGAAACCTGAACCCCAGCGATACATTTTCTTTTACGCCTCACGCACGATAGAGGTGACATCCGACTCTGCCCCCAGCTCTCCCAACAGTCTCCGCTCTGTCTTTAGGAGGAAAGGCAGAGCCAGTACCGCAAGCTTTGAGACGCGTACATTCCCTTTCGTGTTCGATTTGGGCCAAAACCACCCAGAGAAGATGTTGCCGGGCACGTTCTGCTCCTCCGGTTCCACCTCGATGCCTGTCGAGTTGTCCTATCAGCTCATGGCTACCTGGACGCCTTCGCTACTGACCTATCAATCTTCAATGTGGGTCGCTGCCACAACGACCTCCTGCCTCCTAACTTTGTTACAGAATACAAATCCCCATCATCCTTCAACCCGATCCTGAGTTCCACTCAATTGATGGAAGTCCCGGAAAACAGGACTCCTGGCTCGAAATACCGCTCAAGGCACAACGACCTGTACCCGTTCGGTGTGCTGTTAGTGTCTTCTCTTTCGTTACCCTCTAGTTGAACTCTAGCTAGATCACCCTCCCAAGCACACTCACATTTTCGCGGACGTCTTCGATCCCTTTCTTCGTGGTATTCACAACTACTCCACGGTCCGCCTCTCTGGCACGTGAGATCGCAACGGATGCTACCATTTCAATATCTGTAACGTCCCAGTTCTTCTGGCGGGAGGAGGAGCAGCCATCGGCCCTTGACCCGACTGCCACAATGCATTCATCAGATTCGCGTTCGTCGCGAATGAAAAGAAAAGTTGTCAAGCGCATGCGATCAGCAACAACCTTCTGGTCCAATCGCTCCGTGGATCTCGATGGGGACGAATCACTGGCCTCCTCCTCTATGAGCGAATCACCGCAGCTCAAGTCCTTGCCGTCACTCACGCCGCCTCCGCCTCCGCCAAAGCCGTCAATATACTCTGATACTCAGCTCGTGCACAAGACCATGGTCATTGGCTTCCCCAAGCGCCCACGACACGGCAGCAATGGGAAAGCCCACCCGTCTTTGGACGCGCATCGTTCGCTACCAGACGGCTTGTTCAAAGACAAAATCCCGCTCAAACCAGATATGCTCCCGAGCATAAATTGGGGCGGAATCACCCTAAAATACTTCTTTGAAGTCTCAGTGTCAATGGGTACTGATGAGCTCAAAGCACGAGTGCTCCTGCGCATCACGTAGCTTACTGAACGACTTCTTTTTCTTTTGGCATCTACCTTCGTTCTTATATCCCCCCTTTTGGAACCCGGAAACGCATTTGTACAACACCCTGCAATTATCCTTACCTACTTGTATTCCTATTAGAAGCTTACAATGAAACCAGAGATGATGGAACAGTGGCTGACTTGGTCATGTGATTGGGAGATTCAACGGCCATAGCTCTGAGCCGCTGCCTTGCCATACCGCAAAGCAGCCTTAGTTGCCTCGTCCAAGTCCTCCTCCGTCAGTCCCAACGCCTCATTCGCCAAACCATGGCGAGTGTGATCACCCTCGCCTGTCGGGAACAAGACTCTCGCATAGAGTAGACGAGTGAACGCCGACCTGTCGCCCTTCTTTACGGCCTCCAAAGCATCATTGTACTGCACCGCGGATGGGATAGACTCAATCCTCCAGTCCGATTCGGATGTGCCTGTGACACGTTTGGCGCTCTCGAAGATATCATTCTGGCTGACGCGGAAGCTGGAGAAGTAGACGACTTTGTTCGCCCAGTCTTCCAGGACCGGAGCTTTGTCGTTCTCGTCTTCTCGTAGCCTCTGGAGACTGAGCAAGGCGGCGAAGGCACGGCCGCATTGGTCCCAAGTCGAGACAGTGATTTTCGTATTGCCATCGTCGAGAATTTTTGCGGTATGTTCCTCGACATCAATTCCAAAACTCCCACTCGCAAGCGACAGCTCGTACCAGAACCCCGTTGACAAGGCGATCCACTTGCTCACGCCGAGTTTCTCGATGAGGGCAGCAGGAGCGGTAAGAGCAGTGCGAACGAAACCTTCGTTGAGGGGATCTGGGCCATATGCATTAGGCATAATGTAGGGCACACCAGCCTTCGCAGCTGCGTTGATAAGCTTGGTGTCGACGGCACCACCTTCTTCTCTGGCACTGACGCCCAGAGTAATCACAAGCAAATCTTGACCTTTCAGGGCTTCAACAAGTGAATATTCGTCGTCATAATCGATGATGATACGATGAACAACATCGGGGATGTGGGCTTTGCTATTCTCCCGGGCTAGGGCCGTGATTTGGTGTTTACCAGTGGCGAGGAGGTATTTTGTGAAGTATGACCCGATGGTGCCGCCAGCCTGGAAAGCCACGTGAATCTGACTCGGATAAAGCTTGAATAAAAGCACATACACCAACGATGGCGACTTTCTCAATGCGATTAGAGAATCCGGTTGCTTGGTCTTTGGCGAAGATAGGAGACATTAGAGGTTGAAAACAGAGTAGAGGGATACGATGCTAGTTTGATTCCGGATTATGTAGTCGACAGTCGGGTAAACGGTGCGCAATATGCTGAAGGCTGAGTCATCAACCAGAGATGCCGAAGACAGGAGGCTTGCGTGTTGTCTGAGGTGAGCGATGCCACGCATGTGAGGGCGGTCGTAGCAATGCGTAAGCTTATAATTGCGGATCCCAACTGAAAAAAAGTGACGAATTAACAGCGTGGCCCATGCTGCATGCAGCGAGCAGGTTTTCCGGTTAATCGGCGCATATGACAAATCGGTAGACTTAATGTTGGTTCTAGGATATGTTGGCAAGACCGAGAAAGATGCAAGTGGAAGTATGTCCTAGACATCGAAGTCGAGGGGGAAAAGAACATGATGTCACGTGTCATGATCACTGATTGATCTGATCAAAACGACTTTGACCGTTTCACTGCATCGCAAGTGCACCCAGGACAAAGAGCAGATGTATAACGGACAGCTCCAGAAGCAAAGAAAGATGTTCTCATGGTCTTTCAAATGTTCTCACCGGCAACTGCGAGTCAAAGACGCGATTTTCCAACCTGAAAGGCAGTGAAAGCTGCCGTTCGCAATCCTTTTGACTGTCGTTAAAGCTTGTGCATACTCCTTTTCCCGCCTTACTTGCATAAAGGGTTGTTTCAGTAACAAAGCGAACTTGCTTCCGTGGAATCGTATAAAGTCGCATGAAAATTCCAGCTCTTCCCACATTCAATGCCGCGCTCACCAAGACTCGAACCTGCCGACGCTCGTGCTGCTTTACTGCATCGCATCCAGCTACTGCGCTGTAAACCGCAAATTCACACAGGCAAGCGCCATCGCTTAGATCTACAAGGAGCTTGCCCCAAGAACACCCGTCGACCCCATCTACCATCCAGTATCACAAGTCGATCAATGGATCGCATTCCGAGGGTCTTATCGCCCATTAACGTCTCTCAACCGGATATGTCTTTGGATGGCTTCTCGGGGACGATAGTGGACGACTATACGAGCATTGTGAATGACTCCTTAGATTCGAAACCTAGCTCGTTTTCGAGTCATCCCAATTTCGCAGTTAATATGGCTCCACATCCCATTCCACTCATACCCGATGTTTTGAAGGACTACAGTGCTGCCGATGAGCTATTTTATGCATATATAATACAATCCTGAACATGCATATGTACTCGAAATTTGCTGTCCGCTTCGATTGGAGTCACGTGCGGAGACCGTGGTCGCGTAAGAGTCAACAAGACCAAATACACGTTTCTTTCTTTCGCCTTCATCAGCTGGTCAACGCTGATTTACAAGCCAACTGTGAAAGAGGCCAACGATCACCGGCAATATGTCCTTCGTCTTTAAAAGAGGTGTTAACGATGACACTCAGCTGCTTTACCATTGACCTCTCTTTCAGATGGGTGCGTGCAAATACGCGCCAAAAACGCGTCCTGATGGGTACCCAGACGCAAAGAGAAGATGCAGTTTGACAAAATCACGTCGCGGATAGAAAACCTCATCTATGGCCTCAACCAAAATTTTGTTGTTCCGCAGGAAGTGACACAAAAGGTTGTGGCCGGCGTCTACAACGGTATCACCACGATGGAGCTTGATGTATGTGTACCTTGAACCCCCTTGTGCCTTCCAAATGACAATCATTCAGAATCTCGCTGCAGAGACTGCGGCCTACTTGACGACGAAGCATCCCGATTACGCCCTCCTTGCAGCTCGAATCGCTGTGTCAAATCTCCACAAGGAAACCAAGAAAAACTTCTCCCAAGTAATATCGGATCTCTATCATTTCGGTGAGTGGTAGTCTTGTCGTTCCCTACTGTTTTGACGTGGTTAGTGAACCCCAAGACGGGCAAACGGGCGGCACTCATATCAGACGAGACTTATAATGCAGTCATGGAAAATGCGGCTGTACTAGACGCCGCTATCATATACTCGCGGGATTTCAACTACAATTTGTGCGTGCTGGAGCATTTCTCGTTGCGGGACTGATTTTTGGTATAGCTTTGGTTTTAAAACCCTTGAGCGTTCATATCTACTCCGCCTCAACGGGAAAATCGTCGAACGGCCACAACATATGCTGATGCGCGTTGCTGTCGGCATCCATGGTACCGATGTGGACAGGGTTATTGAGACCTACGACTTAATGTTTGCCTTTCCTATATGTTTGCACGTGTTCTGATCTATCCGATACCAAGGTCAAGACGGTATTTCACTCACGCAACGCCAACCTTGTTCAATGCAGGGACACCTCATCCTCAACTGAGCTCCTGCTTCCTCGTGTGCATGAAGGATGACTCGATTGAAGGCATCTACGACACTCTCAAAAACTGTGCCATGATAAGCAAGAGTGCTGGCGGAATTGGAATCAATATTCACAATATACGCGCTACAGGGTTGGTCAATCTTCTTCCTTGCTCGAGGCTCCGGCTAATCATTCAGTTCTTACATTGCTGGGACTAATGGATATTCAAACGGCATAGTGCCAATGCTCCGAAACTTCGATGCTACGGCCCGATACGTTGACCAAGGTGGCAACAAACGACCCGTATGGATGTACTCCATCTCAGGGAACACAACTCATCATGATTGGTTTTAGGGCGCCTTTGCCATCTATCTCGAACCGTGGCATGATGACATTTTCGACTTCATCGACCTTCGCAAGAATCACGGAAAGGAGCAAATGCGTGCTCGCGACTTGTTCCTTGCTTTATGGATTCCGGATCTTTTGTGAGCAGCCATCTTTTGAACTAGCAATCAGCTTAGCGACTACAGTATGAAGCGTGTTGAAGCTGGCGGTGATTGGTCTCTATTTTGTCCTAACGAGGCCCCCGGCTTGCATGAGGTTCATAGCGCCGAATTCGAAGCGCTGTATGAGCGTTATGAACAGGAGGGTCGTGCTCGCAGAACCATCCCTGCTCAAAAGCTATGGTACGCTATTATGGAGGCTCAGATCGAGACAGGCACACCCTTCATGCTTTACAAAGACGCTGCTAACGGTCTGTCTTCGTCTCAGGCACCTCTTAATATTTCGTTGACAAGTGCCGCAGCCAAATCAAACCAGAAAAATCTCGGGACCATCAAATCGTCCAATCTTTGCACCGAAATTATCGAATATTCTTCGCCGGATGAGACCGCGGTCTGCAACCTTGCGTCTCTTGCTCTTCCCAGTTTCATTGTTGATGGTGTCTACGATTTCAAGAAGCTTCACGATATCACCAAAGTTGTCGCCTTCAATCTCAACCGCATCATCGATGTCAATTACTATCCAATTCCCGAGGCTCGACGGTCGAATATGCGCCACCGCCCAATCGGCATTGGTGTCCAGGGGCTTGCAGACACGTTCCAGGCTCTACGCATGCCCTTTGACTCGCCTGCAGCGAAACTGTTGAATCAGCAAATATTCGAAACGGTTTACCATGCAGCGTTGGAAGCAAGCATGGAAATGGCGGTGACCGATGGACCCTACGAGACTTATCAAGGCAGTCCTGCGTCCGAAGGCGTTCTTCAGTACGACATGTGGGGCGTTACGCCAAGCTCGCTTTGGGACTGGAGCACACTTAAAACCAAGATCGCACAACACGGTCTACGCAACTCCCTGCTTACTTCCCCAATGCCGACGGCGTCCACAAGCCAAATCCTCGGCAATAACGAATGTTTTGAGCCATATACGAGCAACATTTACACCCGGCGTGTCTTGTCTGGCGAATTCCAGGTAGTCAACCAGTGGTTACTACGCGAACTGGTTGACCTGGGTCTGTGGGACGGCGAGCATATGAAGAACACTATCATCGCACACAATGGCTCGGTACAGAACATCCCGAATATCCCCGACGACGTCAAAGCGATCTACAAGACGGTCTGGGAAATCAGTCAAAAGACAGTGCTTGAGCTGGCGGCAGACCGGGGGGCTTTCATCTGCCAAAGTCAGAGCTTGAACGTCCATCTAGCAGCCCCGACGCTTTCCCAATTGACATCCATGCACTTCTACGGTTGGAAGCGAGGACTCAAGACAGGCATGTACTACTTGCGGACGAAGCCCGCGGCCCAGGCGATTCAGTTTACCGTCGATCAGTCTATTTTGAACGACGCGAAATTGCAGAACGCAAAGGCAGTAAAGGCGAAGCCTTCGACAGTCGTACCAGCACTTTCCCCATCAACGTCCTCATCTTCGCATGATGCTTCTCCGGCCACTCCGGCAGCTCCTGCGGAGACGACTGCCAATGACGAGGCAGCCGAGGCCAACGAAATGCTTGCCAAAATGGCTGCTGAAGACCCCGAATTCGCGGCGGCGCTTCAGAAGTTGGAGGAGCGAAAGCTTGACGAAGCTAAGCTACTCTGTGCGCTGGAGAACAAGGAGGACTGCCTGATGTGCTCTGGATAGGCTGTAACTTCTGGGCAGGACGGTTTTTTGTATCATATTACCCTATATTTAGTGTAGAACCAGCAAGAAATACTCATAAAGATTACCTTTTTCGTCTCCACCTACAAGGGTCAGGAACCACTTGGAGAAAATTGATGTTCATCACGATTGTCCGCTTGATCCCACCCTCCATGTCCATTGACAGAACGTCAAATAGTTGGTTGGTCCATTACTCTGAAACTCCACTGAAACTAAAGTTGGACCAAACAGACTAGGGAAAACCAAGCAAGCCCGTCCAACGTCATGACAGTCGTTAGTTGCGGGAAGAGCTCTCTAAAGGCTTTCGCGGGGGGGCCGATTATGTCGAACGTCACTCCATACCTAACGGATAGTAAACCGAACTTTGGCACTACCAACTGTGTCGCAAAGGCTCTCGGACTCGGAGGTTGAAGGATTTTCTGATGCGGTGCCTTGTACTTATCTCCAGCGGCGGTCAGCAAAGCCAATTCTCAAGAAAAAAATGCCTGGGAATTATTAATGGGTATCGTCATGGTGTCTCATCGATACTTGACTCTGGAAGCCCACAAGATTCACCTTTTCCTAAAGCAAAATGCCGCCAGAACCGGCCCCTGTTCTCTTAGAGGAAAGCATCACGGAATTGAGGCTGCTGAGACGGGTATTTATGCCGTCTACGTGCGCCGCCCATCGCCTCCATGGCTTTCCGGGTGTTCTTTGCCCTTTTTCTCTGCCTGGTTCTTGCTTTGCGCAGCAATGCCTGCGAGAATGGGCGAATCCATCCTAAAGTGTTCATTATAACGATGGTGCGCCGCCTCGCAATGGACTATCGACGAGATTGACTAGATTTAGTTCGACCTGGAAGCACAAGTATGGTTCAATATCCCCGAGTTCACCCTTGACCGCAAACTCGTCTTTCCTGGACTCCCGCCGAAATATCCCAGTGTCAATTGCACCAACGACGGGAATATCTGTCTTGTGACGACCGGGCAGGCCGAAGTCAACGCAGCGTCCACAATCTCCGCCGTTGTTTATTCGGGAAACTTTAACCTCACTTCAACCTACTTCCTCGTTGCAGGCGTTGCGGGAATAAACCCCAAGCTAGCGACAATTGGCGCAGTGACGTTTGCGAGATATGCGGTTCAGGTTGGCGTACAGTTTGAGGTGGATGCACGACAGATTCCAAGCAATTTTTCTACTGGCTATTTTGCTCAAGGATCGACTGGGCCTGGCCAACCTCCTAGTGTTGATTGGTGGTACGGAACAGAGGTATTCGAACTGAACGATGCTCTGCGACAAGCCGCCTTCAACTTGACAATGCCTGCTATCTTAAACGATAGTGTCACTGCTCAAGCTGCCCGAGCGCCGTATAGCACCGCATCTGTGTTTGCGCCTGGCGCGACCGACCCTAAAATTGTCCTATGCGACACAGCGACATCAGACACATATTGGAGTGGCGATTTACTTGGTGAGATGGTCGAAAACACAACAAAAGTGCTCACAAATGGGAATGCGGTCTATTGCACGACCCAGCAAGAAGATAACGCGACCTTGAACGTTCTATTCCGGGCGACATTGGCGGGATTGCTGGATTTTAGTCGCGTCATCGTCATGCGCGCCGGATCTGACTTTGACCGGCCATACGCTACGCAAACGGTCATAGACAACTTGCTGGGGCCTACACCGGGCTTCGCACCGTCGCTGATGAACCTTTATCTCGTTGGGATCAAGGTGGTGGAGGGAATCATCAGTCAGTGGGATGGTAGGTTTGCTGCAGGAGTGAAACCCATGAATTACATCGGAGATGTATTTGGCTCCCTTGTTGGTGATATCCAGCCAGATTTTGGACCCACTGCATGTAGTAATCAATAGCTAGAGTTGGTTCACATTCACTAATTCGCATTCACAAACAGACAGACCAAACAGAACACCCAGAAATGAGACCGAGTGGTCCCGTGATTTAAGTGCCTCAGGCTGTCTTGAAGCCCAGCTCCACGCTCCCGCCACACAAGCCTGAAATCAAACCTACTGCTCCTCTTGCCAAGAAAACTGCAATGAAACTGACAATGGACGCACTATAACTATATCTCATTATTGGTTGTCTGTTATATTCACCAGGACCCACAGCCTACAGGACACAACGACCAAATGAAGAATAGCAAGGACTTGAAAGGTCAACAATTTTTACAAAACAATATTGACTGTCTTATACCGCCCTTTCTACTTTGTTGGTCGCCGAATTGATATCTTCAGTGGGTTTTTCAACAGAGTCGTTGGACAGACATCTATCGCAGTGGCAATAGCCTCGCTTTTCCTGAGATATTTCGCAGGACTGGTTGTGGATAAACGGTATGACACATTTCGGAGACAACCACGCACCGTTAAAAATGCGCTGAACATCATACCTCGCGAGTTGCGCAAAATGAGAAGAAACTCGCCCAGCTTTCCCAGATCCTCCATCTGGTTCATCGTGGTGATGGCAAAGACAAAAGTAAGACAAGCCAGCGGATGGATAGTGAGGGTGAGGATGATAACATCGACATAATGCTGGCCACACCATTCTGTTCCTTTTTGAGAACAAAATTGGGCAAGATCAGCTGTGGCGGGTCATTTTGGCGACACACGAGAGTAGCAGGGACCTACCGATGTAAAGGCAGTATAGCAAAATGAAACAAAACGGATATAGTCGCCGGATACGGAAAGAGGGAGCTGTCGTTGACAAAACCAGAGCAAGAACACATTTTGCTAGAGCCACCCAGGAGAGTTGGAGCACCGGCTGGGTGGCTATAATCAGAAGGACAAGACGCCGAGCCGAGGTCTTCATATCGATATCCATTGTGGAGGGAAAATTCGTTCAATGAGAGACACTTGAGTTGTTATCTTTATATACGGCTGAGTTTTAGCACTGCCTTGGCTCCTGTCTGCGGCCCCTAGGATTCTGCATAATTAGCGCAAGTAGCGCAAGTACAGTCTCTGAAATGACCGCAATGGTCCTGGATCGGAAGCGTACTACGTAGCGCCGGATCTGACCTTGACCGGCCATACGCTACGCAAAAGATCATAGAAAATTTGCTGGGGCCTATGCCGGGCTTCGCGTCGTCGCTGACGAACCTTTATCTCGTTGGAATCAATGGGACACATTATGGGAGGGAATCATCAGTGGGATGGTAGGTTTGCTGCAGGAGTGAAACCCATGAATTACATCGGAGATGTATTTGGCTCTCTTGTTGGTGATATTCAGCCAGATTTTGAACCTGCGTAGTAGTTCACAAACAGAACGCAGTTCGTTTGTGTTTAGGGTAGCCCAGAAATGAGACTCATCAGTCCCGTGATATGCACCATCAATAGCCCCAGAAAACCGCTTGATCTGGTGATGGGACATGAGACATGAGACAGGCCTGTCGCATGCACTTCACCTTGAATCCACAGGGCACATCTCTACAATTACACTGGGTAAATAATAAATAGCACCCTGTGCATAAATAACATGTCCCTAGGGAGATCTTCAATATTACATGGGGGGATGTTACACCTGCACCCTGGGCACACTCAGCCTTTTGCCCTATGGGGATATAGAAATTCCCTCTCATTTAATTCTGATATCTGACACTATAAATACAATGTATGCTTAAATTTCTTTCTTAATATATATTACCTTTGCATTATATCCTATTGTTAAGTGCCGTGTCGACCAAAGGGACGGGGACGGAGACGGAGACGGAGTCGAAATCAGAAACGGAATCGAAGTCGTAGAGCACTTGGGGCGGAACACCACAGAAGGATGTTTGGGTGACCGGGGCTTCCAGTTGACCAAGACAAGACAAGAAGGGAAGAGCGGAGTCGAGACGACGCTGGGAGATAGAGACCAGCAACGTTAATTTACAAACTGAAGTACTGTCAGGGGAACCTCCCTTTCGGCCCCTCGGAGACGCCTCCGATTCCGGTCCGACTCCGGTTCCGTCTCCGGTCCGGCCCTCCATCTCGCCCGCACAATCACCGATCCGTCAACGCCCTCCCGACGGTCGCCCTGGGACCTCGCCTGCGACGCCGCCCAAGCCTTCTGTGCCCGACAGCGGCAGCTACGGACAAGCAGTATATAGTCAGCTACCTAGCAGGCGGACCCTTAGAGTTTCTTCTCTTTGGATCCTCCCCTGCTAGGTCAGCTTCATTTGTATTCACTTACCAATGTTCACGCCTTTGGATCCTCCCCTGCTAGGACCTTGATCTCAGGCCTCCGGGGTTGCCCTTACAGCAGAAGAAACTCTCTACGGGATCAACCGGACAAGATTGCCAGGTTCGGCGCTGACTCAGGCTCGGAGTACGAGTCCGTTCCGCCCTCGTCACCGCCCCTGCCACTTGTCCCCTCCTCCTCTACTCCTGTGGTCCCCGCACCCGTCATGCCGTCCGGAGTCACTCCTACCGCAGACGCCCGGCTGGACTCACTCGAGGCGAAAATCGATAGCCTAACTGAGGCCCTTGCTTTACTCACCAACCAGGCTTCCGCTGCCGCTGCCGCCGCTAATAATGCTGGCGGACCCCAAACACCATCGCCGGAGACGTCGATTCCGACTCCGACTCCGGTCCAGGGCGACTCCGAAGCCCTTTTTGGTGACATCAACCTCGCCTCAAAATTGGTCTTGCGACCAAACCCCCCGTTCACCTTCAACGGCGACCGGAAATGCGGCCGCGCGTTCCTCTACGCGGTCCGCACCTACGCCCGCCTTGCCCCTGAGGCCTTCGTGGTCAACGGAGAGGCGGCGAGGAAAAGGCTGTCCGCTATGCCATGTCGTTTATGGCAGAAGGACCCGCTCAGCAATGGGCGGAGCGCCACGGAAGCAAAGCCCCGTTTCCGTTTCCGTCCTGGGGCTCGTTCGTTTCCGAGTTTCGACTCCGGTTCGTCGAGGAGAATGAGCAAGATCACGCTCTCTCCAAGCTGGAGACTTCCGCCTATCACATGGGTACAAAGGATGTCTACCAGTACACCGACGACTTCGAGGACCTGATGGACCTCGCCGGATTCGAAGACGCGCTGGTCAAGGTGACCAAGTTCCGCCACGGACTTGACCCCCTGATCAATAACGGAATCACGTCCTCGAACGACCCCCCGGACCTCCGGGATTACCTTAGCTGGCGCACCCGGGCCTTCTGTCAATACGAGGCCCTGGTCCGAGCCAAGCTGATCAAGTCAGCCGCCCCCAAGACGCCTGGCGGTTTGATTCGGACTCCGTTTCCGGTCAACCGCATCCCGGCTCCGGCCCCTTTCCGCCCGGTGGCTCCGGTCGTGCCACCGCCGGCCCGCGCCCGCCTCCGGCGCCTCCAGCTCCCGTCCCTATGGAGTTGGATCGCACCAGGGCTCGGGGTGCCCCTCGTCGCGCCTGCTTCAGGTGCGGCGACCCAAACCATCTCGCCCGGGATTGCCCCCTCCCCGCCGATGTCCGCTCAATGGACATCCTCGACGAGGTGATCCAACAACTCGGTGACGAGATGTTAGCGGAGTTGATCGCCCGCTACACGGACACAGCTGCCCTGCCGGAGACGGCAGCGGAGTCGATGGCCGGAGAGGATTTTGTCCCCGCGACGAGTGACTGGTGTGCCCTCGTTCGCGTCTATAAATCGTTTTGCCTCTTTGTATGATGAATGCAGTTCCTTGCCCTACAATGAGCCCGAAACGAAAGACACACCCTCTCCTGCCCCCGCTGACTCCGTCTCCGACTCCGCCCGCGACTCCGGTCATCGTCCTCCGCCGCCTCACTGCCTGGGAAAAGAAACTGCCCAAGCAGTACACCGTTGCCGCTGCCCCTGGGGCGAACTCCCTCCACCTCCCGTTAGAGCTCGAGTCCACCACCAGCGCTGAAGCTCTCACTCTCTGGGCTTGTCGACTGTGGTGCCACCTCCGACTTCATTGACACGAACTATGTTGCTCGGAATGGCATTCCGGTCCGCACCCTCGATCAGCCGATTCCGGTTTTCAATGTCGATGGCACCCCCAATGACGCTGGCTCCATCAAACAGATCGCGGACTTGGTCCTGCGCTACAAGGGCCATGCCGAGCGAAGTTCAGCTGGCCGTCACCCATCTTGGCAAGCAAGACCTCATCCTGGGGTATTCCTGGTTGCGGAAACATAACCCAGAGATCAATTGGGAAACCAAGGAGGTCAAGATGACACGGTGCCCCCGCAATTGCTCGACCTGCCGTGAGGAAGAGTGCGTCGAACGGACCGAGTTGCGGCGACTCCGGTCGCTTCAGAAGCGTCTCCGCTCCGGCCCGTTCCCCTCGGTCTGCGCCATGGACCTTTCTGGGTCTGATGACGGAGACGATTCCGTCTCCGGTGACGACTCCGGCCTGCCTGATCTGACGCCGGACTCCGACGACGGACGATGACGATGGTCAGCTTGAAGATGGTGACCGCATCTTCTACACCTCGTTCCGCCCCTCGGAGGAGATACGCTGGCAGTACTGTCTCGCAACGCCTGGCCGAAGCCTTTGCCAGGAACTCTGCCCCTCCGCCCTCCGAGATCCCGGACTGGGCTAAGGAGTTCCAGGACGTCTTCAACAAGGAGTCCTTCGACACGCTACCGGAGCGGAGAGCCTGGGACCACGCCATTGAACTCGTCCCCGACGCTAAGCCCACCAACTGCAAGGTGTACCCCATCTCGCCCCTCGAGCAACGCGAGCTCGACGCGTTCATCGAGGAAGGGCTTTCGACGGGCCGGATTCGCCTCCAAGTCTCCGATGGCGTCTCCGGTCTTCTTCGTCAAGAAGAAGGACGGCGGACTCCGCTTCGTCCAGGACTACCGTGCTCTCAACGCGATGACTGTCAAAAACCGGTACCCCCTTCCGCTGATCAACGACCTCATCAACCGGCTCAAAG